TAAAAGGGCACCAGAATGAAGCCAAATATACACTTCGTCCAATGCCAATGCCACACTTTGTCGCAGCCAGAGAGAGATGGAGCTATTGGCATGCTCCAAGCTGGACAGGGTTGTCTTGCTATCGCCAGGATGTTTGCAGTCTTCGCAGAAGTGGTTGGGAGAGGTATGCCAAACCTTGTGTGCACCAAGTGAACTGGTGGGGCAGTCCCAGTGTCATGGTTTGCGCAGCCATATAGGGAAGTCACCAGACAGACCTGGTTTTCATTCAAGGAAACCTCAATGGTCTCCGTTTTTAGGATGAGATCCTGAGGCCTGTGGTGCTACCTTTTTTGGGACCAAGTTTGGGTGGGAGTACTATTCCAGCACTACAATGTGCGACCCCATGTGGCCTGTGTGTGCACCAGCTTCCTGGAAGAGAATAACGTCCATATCCTGCCTTGGCCAGCCATCAGTCCGGACTTAAATCCCATTGAAAATGTCTGGGATCTGCTCAGTTTGCATGTCTGCCGACATGAACATCCTCCTGAAACTCAGCAGCAGCTGAGGGAGGCACTGGTGGAAGAATGGGCAGCGATTCTACAGGAGCAACTCAGACACTACTGCCGATCCATGAGGTGAGGAATAACCGCTGTCCAAGATGCTAACAAGGGGTCATGTGAACTATTGACAGTATGATGCAATTCCTGCCACTTTTGTTTTTTTTTTTCTTTTTTTATTTATTTATTTTTTTTTTTTGGGGGGGGGGGGTTCATTATTGTTTGGTTGTGTTATTGGACTCAAAAATGTCAAAACGCTGAGAAAGTTTGCCTGAGGATTAGAAATGGATGTAGGGTTCATATAAAACTGGTGGATTTCAAAAATAAAATTATTCTGCCCACAAAAACTCCCAAAACTGAGTGTTGCATTTCTTTTTTCCTTGAGCGTATTTTACTCAACCCACTCTCTGCGCAGAGTGTGAGGGCTATATGTAAAGTTGTAAACAGTGCAATTAAAAATCATGCATCCCTGCATGGATGAGAATAGTTTATTACTTAAATTATTATTTTATATTTGTATTAGTTAGAGAGCCTGTAAATGTAAACCATTTCTTTGTACTCAATAAATTATTATTATAAAATACTGCAATTTGTCTATACATGATTCCATTTATTATAAATATATATATATATGATATATACATAGCTTAAGGGTAAATTGACATCAATATATATAGAAATTAAGCAACTGATATTGCAAAACAAATAATATAATAATAATAAACAAAATGTATTTACTGTGGTATTCTATTTACATATGTACAAACATGAAACAAATTTTCTTGTTTACTATATACAACGTGAACAAGTAAAAGCTCTCAAGATTGTTCATAATATCCATTGCAGTTAATGGGTGCATTTACATGGGTGGCGTTTCATGCATGCACAGTGCTTTAGTTCTTGTTTTCATTCAGTTTTTGTGAAAAAAATGAAGAACAGTCAGTATCTGATTAACTGCCTTAGTTTGGTAAGTAGCCAAAATTTAAATGTCTTCAGCCTCCCTATGATTGGTACCCTCCTGGGCTTGGACACTATATATATAAAGGAAAAACGTGTGAAATGAGGCTCAAATTATCTCTTTGAAAAATACTCTTCACATCTTGATACTTATACAGATACCAAATTTAGAAGGGGAATGATTAAGAAGAGTGGAAAAAATTTTACATTGAATTCTGCAAGTTGTTGAATAATGAAATAAAATACCTTTTCCCTCTGTAGTTGGAGCTAATTTTTCATCACCAAGAGGGATTTCTACAAATCCTGCGGAAAAATAAAAATTGTTGTCAAGGCATAACATCATGGTGCCGCAGTAGAATTGTATTTGTATAAGGAAGGGATCTTTTCTATTAGAATATGATTTGTTAAATAGCTTTGCTTGGGTAAAAATAAAAAAAGTAGAATAACCTTTGCACTTTACTTCAGAACATTTGAGCAGCTGTCATTTAAGAAAAAAAATGTTGTGAACAGTTTTGGGTTTCATATTTACATGTTAGATTAAAGTCCTGATACTTTACCTTGATCAATACTGCTTTCCTTTTCCCAAAATGTGCGACAGCCAAAGGTAGAATCTGTCTGCACAAATACAGCCTCTCTCTGTACCTTCTGTGGGGCAACAGTACTGCCACTGGATGGAAATACTCTCAGGTGGTCAATGCCCTCCACTGCTGAAAAGAATTAAAGCCATCAATATTTATGCTTACTAACTTCAAGTTATAATAAATGAATTGAAAGGCATACTTGCATGCATTTGAAAAAAAGAAACTTGAGTATCTCAACACTGGGTGTTTTGTACTACACATATTTGCTCGCATTTGCATTTTATCAGTAAATGCATTGTAAATTCAGGAACATGAAGAGAGGCTTTAACCTTGAGGTACGCAGTTATCTTTTCCAAAAAATGCACAGCATCTGAGTGTGGAATCTGCCTGTACAAATACATTATATTTTTGTTCCTGCTTTGGAACTAATACAGCAACACTGGGTGTATTGTTCTGTGGATGGTAAATGCCCCTTGGAACTAGAAATGAAAAAAATAAATATTGATGTTAGATTCATATATCATCAGTTGAAGTCAAAAAAATAAATTAGATATGAGTATTTTTGATTTTGAAATATGTAACAAGCAAACAAATCCCCCAATTTCTCACCTTTTTTATCTCTCCATCTTTCTATCATTTCCATAACACCAAATGACTTCAATTTTAACATTTTAAACTGAAAATGTTGAGAAAACAAAAAATAAAGTGAAATAAAAAATAATAAAACATTGAAAAATAATTAGAAAGAAATCATAAAACATCAACAGGTTAACAAATATAATCCAATACGAGAAACTAATAATTCCATCTCAATGTAACACATTGTTTTTGTATTAGGGTTCAACAAGTAAAAAGAACTCAAAGAAACGCGCAAAACATAAAATAAAAACTAATAAAATAATCAACATTCTCTATGAAATATCTAATTTTGTTAGTCCTTTCATTCCGCATTTGATGTGTACTCATTTCAGTTCGAAGGTCCTAACGCCGCATGTAAAATGATCAAAGTTGATTCCCATAACTAGAATATGGGCCATAAGTAGTTCAAAAGCAGTGAGGATAACCTCCAAAATCTCTACTGTTTGTATTCAGTTTTCTTTCTTAAATTTCAAACGTCCATGAAAGCAGTGTCACCCAAGTTAAATTTTTTGAAATAATTTTTCGCACATATGAATTTTTTAAAGTTCATGTCTCAAAGAATGTTTGGCTAAATGCTTTAAGAAGTGCCTAGAAAGAAAAAGCAATGACTGTGGTTTGTTTATTACAATAAATAAATAATAATAATAACCACTGCCTTACATTGAATAAAATAAATACTGACATAAAAATGTCAATACTCACCTCGCTCATTAAAAAATGCGCAAATCTGACTGCTTTTGTTGCTAGGCACGCGCTCTAATGTGATTGGTTGAAAGTTGGCGGAAACTCGTGCGTTTCCGTACTTTGCCTCCTCTTATCAACAATGAACAAATAATATGGATTCATTGGAAATAAATTTTTTAAAGACTTGAAAGTCTTTTCTTTATAAATGTCGTCAGCGTGTTAACTGTTTAAACATTTCAAGATTTGTATATTTTGTCCTTTTTTTTCTTTTTTTTTTCTTCACACTACTACATGTAAGTTCATGGTGTTTGTCAGAACTTATCGCAAGTTAGTTCGCATTTGTCAAATCAAGGTTTTAAAACCAGTTTGCTTTCATTGGTACTCACTTGTGAAGCGCTATAAATTTTTTTAAAAACTTTTTCGAAATTGGTGAGAAATTCTACCACTTATGACGCACTATTTTAAAGTAAAGTTTTATTAGAAAAACTTCATTTGAAGGTAAACACTCTCAATATAGGCCCTATATAGGCCCATTTAACATTTTTCATATTATTAAAAGTAATTAAGCGAGCGGGAGAATTGTTTGTCCAAGGGGAACTTTACTAACATCAGTCTAGCAACTTTAAAAAAATACAGAGAGAGGGTCATGTGCCACCCTATTCTGAACATTACAGAGACAGGTACTTAAAAATGAAAATAATAATTACTAGATTTATCTGCTCTCTCTCTCTCTCTCTCTCTCTCTCTCTCTCTCTCTCTCACAGACACACACACACACACACACACACATAACATAAACTGACTAAATTCTGAACCTTCTTTACTGTCGCTTGCACCACCATCTCGCACTTTGAAATCGATCTAGTTAAATTTTACTAAAGCAGAAAATCTGCAACTTGTCAGGAAGCGAGCATGATGTTTAACGTCTCTGAAAATGTCTAGAATGTTTGTTTTAAATTACTTAATAAATAGCTTAAGCCGGGTTTTAAATATTTGATTATTTTTTTGCAATATTTTAGCCATTTATAAGATATTTCAGTGACATCTGCGAATAGCTAGGCGATACGGTGACAGGACACGGGTGCTTTTTACGCAAAACACGGCAAAACTGCATTTTCTTTGAAAGTAGTTTGCAAAACATCCGTTATCAGACACTGTGAATAAATATTTGAGGTTGAGGACAAATGTGTCAGTAAAATAAACGTGCAGTAAAATAAACCCCTTAAGCGCAGTCTGATTTTTGTTAGTATTAATACCGTGCAAACATTATCCAAAATCGATAATTTTTAATACTTTCAGCTGAAGCCTTTACTAAATACGAAAATTTCCCCATACCAGGAAGGCACAAATTCAAAAATATTCCACGATTTAAAAAAAAAAAAAAACTCGATTTATCAATTTCTGTCACCAGTGATTACGAAAAAGTTGAATTCGCCAATATTTCCGACTCAATTAATCGCTTTTCTTTCTTTCTTTTTTTTTCCCCAAATTGTCCTACATTTTGAGAATGTGAAATATTTAAATTATTTTCAAATTAAAGCACAGTTAATACATCAAATATGTTTAAAAATATGAAAACAATGACAACTTTGCCTGGCTCAGATTATGTACTTATAGTTTATTTACACAATAAATCATCGATTTGCAATCATATCAATGCATATATACAAAAGCTAGATATATAGTATATTTTACACCTCAAATGTTGTTTGTTGACACCTACATGTCACTAATAACAAATTTTTTCAATATTGCGTCCTGAAAAAATCTAGAAGAAATGGGGGTAATTTATACCCATTAATAAATATACATAAAATATGTAAAAAAATATTGATAAATAGCAACCCAGATCTTTAATATACAGAAAGCTAAAAATCCAAGCCCATATTAAATAACTAATAGTATTTGTGAGTGCCATCATTACATAAGCCATCAGTATTTTGATTAATTTTAAAAAATAGGTGGGGTGGAGAGAGAAGAACCACCAGAAAGCTACAAAAATTATTTACAGGTTCTTGTATTAAGACATGGTAACTGTATGTTGTTAAGGTTGCATGGTTCCAAAGATGGCAATCAAAATCAAAATCCTTGATGGAATGAAAATTTATAAAATTTTTTCAAAAAAATATAACACTAATCAATTAGATACATTTGAAAAGATGCCTTGTCCAGCATATCAAAAAAGTTATGGCTGTAAAAAGCAGTAAGCTTTATTGATGCTGCAGTTCATACGGTTATGACTTTGATAGAGACATAAACACATCTTTATCCCCTAATTGGATTATCAAAACACAAGGTTCCAAAACAGGAAAATCTTCAAACTCTTTGCAATCTTTGCAGTTGTACTTAGAAGTCCAAAAGGTTTCCCACGGCTGGTGAATGTGTAGTAAAACTAACTTCTGGAGAGGAGGGAAGGAGCAAGGATGTATCATCACCTGCAAGAAAGGACAAAGTAGTAGTTGTACAACTGTACTAGATTATTTAATTGCACATTGCGACAAGTTAAATTTTCTATCAACTGTACAAATTGGAAATTGCTGCATGTTTCATATACAAAACCTATAGCTTCCTCCACTTGCTCTTCACGCCATTCATTTTCACTGTTCACATCAATGGACTCGCACTCCTCTGAGTTGTGTAATTACAAGACATTCACACAGTATGTTTAATTCACAATTTTTGATCAGTTGCACAAAGCCTACAGAAAATGCTGCCCTACACAGCAATGCCTGCACATTTGTTGTTACGGAACATTCTTTGGAATGTATTTATTAAATAATACTGTGGTAAAATCCACACCATCAGATAGATCTTATTCGTGGTTTTAAAATACTACCTTTGTCCATTATAAATAAAACTTTCAAGGTTTGCTGAATTGATCATTTATATTGCTATCACTCCAAATTTTTCAAAACTTCTGAATCTTACCAAGTATATCCTCAAATCTATCTGTTCTTTTCGCTTTGTTAGTTGCAGCTGAGTCTCTGCCTAAAAACACAAAAGAATAAAATTGAAAACAAGACTTGTGTTTATTAACAACTTATTCTAATGGTGACAAGTATGCATTTATCTTGGGGGAAAAAGCTTGAACAACATGTTAAACATAGCTGCATTTCTCAAAACCAGCAGAGTTTAAATCAATACAGGAGGGATATAGGAATTTTCTTCTAGTCCACCTTTGTAATCCTCAAATCAAAGTTAAATGAATTTTGATATAAAGTTTCAGAATTAAATTTAACAAATCACTTAGAATGATTATCTTTCATCATAATTAAGTCACCTTTCCTCCCAAAAGGAAGCCCAGGAGTCTCTCCTATGCCTGGGCTCAACATGGCATCTACATCTATCAAAGACCCATCTAAAGGTAAGCTTTCCCTGTGGCGTGGAGTGTGAAGGTAGCCACCTCTGGCATCTTGTGGCAGCAAAGCTATGTCATGTGGTGACACAGGCATAGTAAACCCATGTGGACTTCTAGCACTTTGTGCCCCTTCCTCTCTGCCATTTGTAGATGCTGGTTTTTCACTTGCCCCTGAACTCCTTCCATTCTGTCCTAGCAAGTTCGAATAATCAGGTGAATTTGGCAGTCTGCTGCCCCCTGGACTCTTAAAATCTAGTATATTTTCTGGTTCATCTATATCTAGAGAGAATTTTTCATCTATTGAGGTCTTTCTGACTGGACTCTTTTCAAAATACCTTGGATCAATAACATCTGCTGTAGTTGCCTGTTGGCTTTTTGATGATAGGTTGCTCCCGTTGACATGTTTTGACAAGGAGGGCGACTTGTTGTTTTGCAATGATTCGAGTGGTGTAAAATTATTCAGTTTCAGTTTTCTGTACCTTGAAATCAAATCATCCACACTGGAGTCTTTCTGTACATGTTTCATGTTGTTCAACTGTTCACCAGCTTCAATCCCATGTCCCAAATTAAAACCTGCTGAAGAACCAGTTGATGACGCGGCTGGGGATCTCGCATTACTTCTACTGGATTTTTGTTCGTCATAGTTTCTTTTCTCACTCCCTAATTCTGTCTGCTTTTCTTTTCTGCCAAAAACATGTGGAGATACAACCATGCGTACATCTTGTGGTCCTACATGAGGAGAATCCTCCATGGAGGGACTGAAAGGCATGGTCACAGTAGTCAACAGGTCGTCCTCATCATCAAAACTCAACAGGTCTTTTGGGTATCCACTGAAAGCACTGGATCTCTGAACCCCATCTTCAGTGAATTGACCAAAAGGCATATCATTTGTTGAAATTGGTGTCACAGAAGGATTTGACTTTCTAGAATGATCAGGTGATTTTGGAAATTCAGGGGTTGCAGAATAATCCTGTGATGCTACATTTTGTCTTTTTGCCCTGTTTGGTAAATGAGGAGTTTTAGATTCAAAGAGAGCTCTGTACTGGTCCTCTGTTGAAATAGGGGAGTCCCTGAATGACTTATCTTGTCTCTGTACAACAGAAGACACAATGGAACTTGACTGATCAGAACTGCTGGACTGCTTTCTCCAAGTCATGTCTTCTTGCACTGTACCTCCATTGAAAGTTAAGTCATTCAATAAATTTGTAACCTCTGAGGCAGCCTCAAGTCTTTCTTCAGCCTCTCTTGCAGACCTGTTCAAAGTTTGTCCTCCAACTACTGTTTCCATATCCAACAAGGTTGGGGAATGTTTGGGTTTTCTTTTTGAAGATGGAGTTGCACCCTTAGGTTGATTAGGATTGGCTTTAGCTACAGGGGACAGTGCATCTTTCTTTTCATCTGGCACTTCACCAACAGTAATGATGTTTTCTTCATCTTAAAAGCAAATTTGATTTCAATATTAATCAAAATCAATATTTCATCTTATTTCTAGCCTTTTCAAATTAATAGGATTAAACAGAAGCAAAGGTACGTTACTCATGGACAATTATGTATTAACTCATCATCAAGATTCACAGATGTTATTGGCATCAATCAGTCAGATGTTTAACCAACAAGTTAGAAGCTTGACATCTAATCCAAAGAACCAACTTACCTGAATTTTCAGGTGTGAACAGATTCTTTGTAACCTCATCTAGCTCAGTCGAACTTGGTCTTCTGGGGAGCTGTTCCTCCATCAGTGTGTCATGCCAGGTCATCTTCTTGGTATGTCCTCCTTCAGGCGTCCTGGCTATCTTGTCCTGGGATATAAATGCCTTTGTGCCTATGAAGAAGAAAACAGTGGGTTATTTACAGGCTCAAGCTGTTTTTTTCTTCTTTTGATAAATGCTTAAGATATTCTGTTTATGCTAAATAAATTAAAACATATTTGGTGTTGTACCAATTTAGCGTGGCTTTGGTTGCAAATTTTGCAGTATTTGAATTTATTTATTTATTTATTATTATCTTCGCAAATTTGTATGAGCAATACAACCACCTCATTATCAAATATCAATATTTCATTCAATACATAAAATTTGTCAAATGTTGACACTATCCTCTACAGTGTCTATAAACATAAGACTGAACCAATATTACGTACATATTTGAGAAAAATACTAATATAATGTCACCTTCTCTTACCTAGTCCTTCCAAAGGATCTTGCAAGTTAAGATCTGCCATGTTCATAGAGTCAGGTGTGGACTCCCCTGAACTAAGACCACTGGTATATTTTCTGCTGGAATCCATTACCGCGTCTGCTATCTACAGATAAACAAAACCTCAAATGAAAAGCATGACTGGATGCATATATATTTGATTACTTATACAGTTCACATACACTTCATGCAATGTAAAATAAATCATCCTTGCCTAAAATACTTTATATGAGGCAGTGAATTGCAGACAGACATTATCTATCATGGTTTCTAAGGAAATGGACAATATAGGGTTACTGTAAGCATATGCACATGTGGTTGTTTTAATTCAGCATAAGCACATGTAGTAGTTCTCATTCAGAATGACTGTACCCTGAATGTGAAAGTTAAGTCAAAAAAAGTCAGTATATGACCCAAATTAATAAGAATTTGCATTATCTGAGGTAAACTTTGCTTTTGTACCTTATCAGCTAATATATCGTGTGCTCTTGGTGATGTTCTTGTAGAATGCCTCTCAACCCTTGGTGTCTGAGACTGGGGTCTTCTTGTGTTCACAGTGGTCTAAAATGTAAAGTGCAAGGTCAACTAAACCTATCTCTCCACTCACTTCCCCCAAAATCTGTCAACAGTATGCATAATAATTAAATCCAATCCTCCCCCACCAACTCCAGCAATAAATTGTGCTAAAATGAAGCAAGATTGATTTCCATATTCTTATGTATTCTTCCATTCAAAAGTGTAAAAAATCCTACCTTATCTCTTTGTTTTGACTTAAACCCTGGCTTTGACTTTGACACCTGCTCTGTCAATTTCTCCCTTGCTGACTCTCTAGTACTTCTACCTTCTTGTGTTGTTTCCATTTCTAATGTCTCAAACATGGTATTTACTCCATTTCTGCTGTCCATGACAAGTGGACTTGTGCCTAAACAGGAAAGGTGAATGTACGTGCAAACTGTAAATTCATTATCTGTGTTAAGAAAACATTGTACTATTCAAATATACTCATTCCTGTCTTATTAATAGTAAGTCGGTTATTTTGCCCTCATCTTGAGCAGGGGTACACAATCCATAGTGATAGCAGACTATCACTAAATCCTGGTGACCGTGTGGTACTTACACTTAATTTCAGATACGTACTTGTCCAGGAACATGCTAGCATAACAAAATTTCATCAAATGGTACAGAGAGAAAAGTACTGATTTTTAAGCATTTTACAAACAATTTAGTAACTGATTTAATTAGCTAAAACAAAAATATGCAAGAATGACCCAAGGATACAACAGGAAAACATGGCAAAGGTGTCTGAACTCAGCAAGCATGTACAGTATGAGTGTGATAGTAATGAGCTTAAGAAAGCAGGTACCTGCTAGAGTACCACGTGAGGCACCAGGAGTCCCAGGCGCTGATCTGATCCTCGTCCTCTGCTTGTTCCCCACACGCTCTACCTGAACCACAGGAATTGGTAGATGGCTCATTGGTACACTGCAGATAAAAAATATCCATAGGGCAAAGCTAAAACTTAAGTTACCATTATTATCAATTAGGTAAAGTCATGTGTACATAGATAAATTCTATGGCATCTGGAGGATGCTAATATTTGCCAGCAAACAGAAAACATGTCAAGCTTGGTGCAAACCTAATATCCAATATGGTTTTTTAAAAGTCAACTAAATAAATGTCAAGTTGGCAAAAATTCATTTTTTTCAGTTAAAACAATATTCATTGAGGGAATTTATACACAAACACAAAGCCAACCTATCAGATTGGTAACTATCAATATCTTAGAACTAGGATTACCACACCAGAAACGTACTTATCTGCTCCATATGGCTGTCCCTTAATCCCAAGTTTTGGACCATAGAGGGGAGTACCTGCACCAAGAGAGGCCTGCTCTCTTCTCACAGTTTTCTCCACAGAATTCACAAGGCGTGACACTGCCTCTGGAGTGGACACTAAAATATGAAAAAGTTTCACTTCACTGACCATAACAGAACTAAAAACACATGAAAACTAAATTCTGTACATCGTAAACTTTGCTTGCAGAGATGACTAGACTGCAGAAATTGTTCTATAATGTTACCTTTATTAGGTGTCAGAGTAGTTGAGATATTTGGTGGGGTTCCCTCCGTCAAAGTGGAATCTTCTTGAAATGAGATGGGTGGTGTGGGTGGAAGAAGTCCTAAACCAAGTGACTGAAAAAGCCAAAAACTAACTGTCACTCAATTTCTTTATTCCATTCTTTCTTTTCAAATTGTTTTCAATACCTCATGTTCTAATCAAAACACACACAGACCCTATTTTATAATATTTTTTTCATTTGAAAACTTTTTAAGTTGCTTACTGCAGTTCTGATCCCATGAGGCGTCCTTCCAGTTACAGGTTGCTGATCTAAGGAATGCTTTAGTTGGTCTATAGATGCCTTGAGATTTGGAATCAGCTCCTTTGCCAACTTTGACCTTGAAACAACACAAAAAGAGCAACTTATATCATGTGTATGATAGGAAAATATAAAATAGAAGATTTACATGCATTTTGTACAAATAAATATAGTAACTTAAAGTTGAAAATAGGCAGAAAGACAAATGCACACTACATTTTCACACTACATACGACTACATCAGAAGCTGAAAAAAAGGCAATTTACAATTACCTCAGAGCCTGGGTATTAGACAGATATGCATGGTGTGTATGAACTTGAGTTGCTACTGTGGCTAAATGGTCCCCAAAATTAGGCACTCCAGCTGAAAAATTAAATTGTTAATCCTGTAGTATATACCTACATAATGGAGATACCTTCCTGTTGAAACCGTGTATGTCATATCCAAATTGTAATTATTCAATTACTTTTAATTTGAATTATCATCAAAAACATACCTCAGCAAAACATTACCCGGCAAAAAAAAGCCTTCACTGCATCCTTCTAAGGTCAACTTACCTGTGTGCAGTTTTTCAATGTAAAGATGCAGGGAAAGATTCCAAAGATGCACCAGACTGCAATGAAGTAACATAGATATCAATAGAATGTAGTTATCCGACTTCAGTGTACAAAATCTGAACATTTGAAAAAAATAGCAATAACAGCAGCGTGAACAAGGCCATGGCAGAGAGTCTTTGTGTAGCTTCTGCTCTTCAAGATGTCCATAGTTTCCTGACATTCGAGATATTTTCTTTGAACAGTGCAGAAAGGAAAATAAAGCACTATAACTAGACGATGTAGGGCATTTAACACAGTGGTTACTTAATAATAGCTAAATAATATATCAATTGTGCACATACCTTAACAGATTCAGCTTTCCTCCTTTTAAAGTGTTATCAACGTTTCTCTAAAAAAAGAAAATTAAAAATAAGTTTGTGTAAAAATAAGTATTGTGCAAATTAATTTTAGAGTACACTCTTGAAAGAGAAATCTTACACAACAGATTTTCAAAGATGTAAGTAGTTATGCTCCTTTTATTCAATTAATTTAACATGAACTTTATATTACTGTACACTAAAACCATTTTAAGAATTCCTTACCCTTTGCAATTCACTCTCACACTCTCGCAATAGTAAGTCAGGAATTTTGACATTAATTTCCCCTGCATCAATTTTATACTGGTCTAGTGTTCCATGAAGAATAGATTCTATAACCTCACATTCTTGTTCTTTTGAGCCATTGAAGTCGTCCAGGATTTTCCATAATTCCCTCACCTATGCAGAGAGCAATTGCAGAATTTTTCTTAAGATACTGTGCCTTTCAATCATCAAGCCAATATTACATCTCACCATACACATAAATTTGAGAAACACTCAACCATTGTGACACAAAACTTAATGATGACAAGCAACACAACTTTTTACAAATATAGTTAACTGGGCTCAAGTTTACCTTCTGAACTTTCTGTGCTCTTTTTACTGACTGAACATCCAATGCTGGGTCGTGTATACCTGACCTTCGTTTCGGAACAGGGCTGGAAAAAAGTATAACTAGGAGCTGAAAACTTCTTTAGGTATCTGTACACTTGCATCTATTGTTTGACTGAACGGAATCTTAAAGTAGCAAAAAAAAAAAAAAAAAAAAAAAAAATGATGTTACCTTCCTCCTAGAGTAGTCCCCTTCTGTATTTCATCTCTGACTAGCCTTTCTTTGTCTCTGACAGCCTTGCTTAGGGTTCGATTATCTTTAACAAGTTCACTAAAACATAAAAGTGTAGATAACTGGTTCAGTTCTACTGGGTCTAAGCTAAAATCCAGAACAGCATTATGCTATGCTCTTAAATTTCAACTTTTATAGAAAGTCCATTTAGGTTCACTTTTTTTTTTTTCAAAATTCACAATCACAAAATTGAAAATGTCAACAAAACAATGACACCACATCAATATCCTCTCAATGCAAGACTCATTAATACAACAGGTTCTAAAACACCTTCCACTACATAATTACTTAAAAACAACCCACACCTTGCATATTCTTTCCATTGCTGCTGTACTTGTACTGTATCCTCAACATGCTCTAGGAACCTCTTCCTGTGCCTGACTGCCCCACACTTGAGGCTCTCACTTATCACATGGTCTATGGCTAGGTTCTGGGGAGTAAGTACAGGGTGCTGCAGCATGTCCCTTGTTTTCAAACCTTTATCAAAGATGTGTTAACAATTAAAACAAATTCATTATCATTAAATATAACAAAAACATGTTCACACAAGATTTCATTCTTAACACTTAGTAAGCATATTGGATAGATGCTGCAGGATTATTTTTTTCAAAAACAAAATTTTAAAGTATTGCTTTGACTAATTCAGAAAAATTTGTTTACAAATGACCATGTTATGACTATTTAGATCCATCATAGTCTCAGTTTATTTTTTCCAATGGCTTTTTAATGCATGTGGAAATATTCGTAAGTCAATATTTTGATGGCTAACAGTCCATCTTTATCATGAGAAACAGACTACATACAATGGTCATAGCTTTGTCTCTTGGTAAGTGCACCCCAAACCCCACAATTTGCCTTAACAGTATTTTGTACATGCCCAAGTGCTTCCAAGATACAGAGATACAGTAACATTTATAATTGTGCCTATGATCTAATTTTGCTCACAAATCTATTTTCTCATACTTTTGCAAATCCATATTTCTGCTGCCTTATGTCAAAGTATTTTAATGTAAAACACTTTACAACTTACCATGATCATTCTTAATTGTCCTCAGTATAACATATCTTGAAAAGTTGAACATCAGCTGATAAAAACGGTCACCTCCAGGTGACATGAATGTAGATGCCACTATCCTGGGTAAATGGGCATCCTTTTCTTCCTAAATGGAAATAAATATTTCTATGAAAGCACCAGCAATATAATACTACATAAAGCACAGAAATCAACAGACTATTACTGACATTGCTACAAACTTTTCGGATTCTTTATTTTGAAATTTGATGGCAAAAGTAGGGCAATTGAGGTGATAAATAATGGGAGGTTCTTACTACAGAAATCTTTTATTTGAAAACTTATGGCACAAATACAAAACATCATCATAAACCTAAATGAGATGCAGGCAATTACCTTGGCAATCATTGTTAGCCAATTATTGCATGCTTTTCTAAATAGTTGTTCCACTTTCTTGTCTATCACTGGCCAACAGTCACTACAGAAAAATAAATATAAGTTGAATTTCATACAAGGAAAAAAATTCATGATGCAATGTTCTTTCTGACACAGTTTATTCTTTTCTTTTCAAAGATAATCCATGAGTGTGACATTCTTACCTTACTCTGGGGTAGCACTAACAATTTTCTTTTTCGCTTAGCTAAATCACCACTTTTTTGTCAATTTGTTATCCAAATGGTTATAATTATGTCAGTTTTAGCATTTGGCTACTAGTAAATTGGCAAGTGTTAGGGCTACCCTCGTTACTATAATGTCAAAACATAAACAGCTTGTATTCGTCTTCACCTAACAGTATCATGTACAAAGCTTACCGAAAAGTTTCTCTGCACAACACAGGATCCAACTTATTGAAAAGAAAGTACATAACCACCTCAAAGGCTTTCTTGTTTGGCAGTGCAAACATATCCCTGAAATGTAGTATGTAGTACTTTACACATTTCAAGTCCTCACACAGCAATAACAATTCCATTCCAACTTCATATTTTTACTTTTCTCATAGTTTTTACTATTTTCTATCATTTTATTTATTATGATTACATGATATATGAAAGTCTATTTAGGAATATTAACTTTAAAACGATAAGTTAATATCAACATGCCATGAACACATACCTGTTAAAAGGAATTTTATACTGTGATTCCATTGCCCCTGTATCAAATCCCAAGAGCAAAAGGTTAGTAAAGAAAACCTGTCTCATGTCAGTAGGGTCAAGTGACACCCCTAGTGGCTTCTTGGCCTCCAACTCCCAGCTATGCTCCATACTTAATAGTGCTTTTTCAAACAAATTCACCTGAAAAAAAATAATAAAATAAAATGAGTGGCTGTTTAGTGCACATTTACTTAGTGCTATTTGGAGATAATACTCATGTGCTGCCTTAATGAAGCTTATATTCACTAAAAATGTGTATAGATCTCACACACCTGCCTCTGGAAAATTGCTCGAAGTGACCAAAAATTCAATGTTTTCATATACTGAATGTAAAGGCAACAGAAAGATGCAAGTATCAATATACCTGATCTCACACCACGTCTATGCAAGTCAACATTCTGGACCTGTGGTACGGAAGAATAAAGACACTGCCACATTTTATCAGTCCTCAAAATCGGGTGTCACTAAATACCCAAATTACTCAAAATGACACCTAAATGATATTCTAAACATTTTTTTCCACCACAAATTACAGTACATGTCTTAAAATCAATACAATGTTTCTCTGCCAATTAAGAAGTGGGCAGCCATCTAAATTGTGCACTTCTGTCATAACTGAGGAGCTGCAAAATATTTCCATTTACAGATTAAGATTACTTTAGTTCAAGATTAATGTAATTTGGGGTGAAGGATTATTTTGATGTTTAAAGCCATTTTGTGTCATTTCGGTATTTTGTGACACCCCTGGGCCTGGGCCCTCCAGTCAATTTTCTGAGACATTTCAACTCATTATTTCGTTAAACCATAGTCTAATCAGTGCGCGTGAATGCACGTACTAGTGCACCTGTAAACGTGTGTCCGTTTTATGTTTGTGAGGTTTGTGTTGAATACACGTCAAGAGTGAAACAGAGTACTTGAAATAGAAACAGCGCATGAAATCCAAGTATGTAACATTTAATTTATGTACGGGTATCCTCATAAATTACCATCATCTTTGCTTACCTGCTTTGTGTATTTTTGGTAAATCAATTTAACGTGCCATTATTTCAATGACAAACTTCCAACAGGCGGTCGCCATATTGAAATAGACCGCCAACCAAAGAGCCCGTATGTAAAAGTTAGCTTCGATGTTACGTTCTGCACTTTAAGTAAAGAAAAAAATTCATTTGCTTTCTTAAATACAACTGTGTTATTTTCAAATTTAAACAGTAAAGAAAAACTATAAAATTCATGAAGACTGTTTTTTTTTCTATAAAAGTAAGGCAGCAGTTAATTTATGTAACCAACATGGCCACAGTTAGTAGACGATTTTTGTTGAAGGTTATAAATTTTCGACAGTTTGTGCCAGGTATGTGTAGCGTTTCTCTTACTTTTGTTACGATAATTACGTTTTACTGACCAGAAACATGTCTCCTAAATGCCTTCACAGTAGTCTCTGCTTATAATTTTATGTGTAGTAATAAAAAGGGATGTGCATTTCCATTATGCTTATTTGATAGAAAAACACCCAGCAGACTTGCTGAGAAAAAAAAATAGTGGGGTTTTGAAACCATGTCTGTATTGCTGTGTTGACTGTGTAACCGTGTTGTTACAATAATGCATACGTGACATACATGCCTCAAGTAATAGTCGGTTTTACGGGTCCCTATTTAATTGTTAATCCCGATAGAAGAGATGCCAGCGCAATCTGTCTGTCTATCGGGAAGTGGCCTTTGGTAGAGTACCTGTAATAACTCATTAAAAACGTCATTAAAAACGTATTAAAGACATACTAATTATATTCCATGTCAATAGAAAGGTTTGTAGAGTCTAACGATACCAAAGTTATGAAAATCGGGCCAAATTGGTCGAGTTATTAACAATTAAATAGGGACCCGTAAAACCGACTATTACGGTAAGTACCTACTATACTGGTACCACTAGAGTGTACCAATTAAGTATGTTCGAAAAATGAAGCAAACAGTTTACATGATTTTAGGTGGTGACGCAAATTTGAAAAATATTTAATAAAGATCTATAGTCCAATCTAAAAATTAAATCTGTTTATCATTCTTAGGATTGAGAACACATTACACAGCCAGATCCATATCAACCTCAACATGTAGACCATCAAATGAACAAGGAAGTTCTGGACAAGAGAATAAACCAAAGAAAAGTGATCTGAAGAAAGCAAATACACCAACTGGAAGATTAGATGACAGAGTAGTAATGGAAAGAGAAGAACACAACCCAGCTCCTTACAGCGAGGAAAAAGCTTATGATCCATGGCCAAATGATACGAACCCTTATACAGGAGAGAAAGGGGGACCCAAAGGTCCAGAACCTACTAGATATGGTGACTGGGAAAGAAAAGGAAGGTGTATAGATTTCTAAAACCAGACTTATGGAATGTAAAAGACTTAAAATTGTTGGATTGTGACAGTTTCACAAACAGCCTACATACTAGCTTCATTTTGAAGGTCTTTTACAATACAAAATATGTGCATTTGATAGACGAGGATAATTGTAACCTATTTACTTGAATGTATATATATCAAGTTGCAAGCGGAGTTGTGAATGGCATTTCATTGACTAAGCACAGATCATGTCGAGCTGCATGCAAATAAGTAAGAAATATTGGCAAAGTGAGCTTAAGCGCTCAAATAAATTTGGTGACCAATTAATTCATGTTTGTAATATATTTATTAAACAAAAATCTTAACTCAAAATAAAAGTCATATGTTGTTATTTATTGTTGTCTTTTTAAGTGCCATAATAGTTCCAATACCTCCAAACAAGAAGTCTTGATTTACAAACATTCAGTGCAGAAGCCCCAGTTTGCATTTATTTGCAATATGGAATGCTGCCTTTGTGCTGTAAATTTCATTTACCATATTAGTGATATTTGAACATAAAAACTTTCCTTGGCTTTGCTGTAAGTACACCTATATACACCTTAAAAAGACCAGTTTGGACTGATTGCATATAAAGTTTGATCAGTTTGTCTTAAACTTTTTTAAAATTGTTTTGGACAGCATGCCAGTCGTACAGTCAGATGGGGAACATTATCAAATGGTCATCTACGGATTTGGTGAGGCAAACTAATTGCAATGCTAGATGTGTAACAGTGTTTACTACAGCAAAAATTTCACTACAAAACTATTTAAAAAGAAATCTCACTTTTACTACATTTTTACATGTTAACTAATGTTTTTTACAACTTTCTGAGGAAATATTTTCATTCCTGCTGTTCGTAAATTTTATTCTTCCTTTCTCTTGAGTTCTGCTCTCATGGTAAAAGTCAACATTTTGGTCTGAAAGACCTTTTGCCCTTTCCTTTTTCTGGCTTTCTCAGACCAAGTTTGCAGGCAACTCCTGATGAAGACTGAAGGACTCCTGCACGCGTGTTTGGGTCTCACACTGTACTTGGACCCTATCCCCCATGAATCCATTTCAAAATGGCAATGCTTCAACCCTATTTATTTAAATGTCAAACCCTTCATGACCTTAAGGCACAGAAATGTTGAAACACCTCCAGAATGTGAAGATCAATGTCACTTGTAAACAGCAGATTTTCCAGAGTGTTGATGTACTTGTACACTTGCTCATGGTGCTGTAAAAATTACACATTACACATGTTACACTTCAGTTTTTGGCTCTAAATATCTTTTTTAGAATGATATCCAGTGCCAGATTAACATTTATTGTCTGAAACATTGTTTCCTTTAGGTTTATATTAACATAGTAGATTCTGAATAACATAAATTAAAGAAGATATTTAAATCCTGTTAAGAAAGTTAACTATGATTATGATAATCAAGTGAATACTCAAAACAACCATCAGCAGCAAATGAGCTCTTACCAAGAGGAAAATTTGTTGAAGCCTTTCTATTACCCATTTATACCAAGGTGTGTTGTAATCCTGACCTTCGGCTTCACACCGTGCCAAATGTTCTGTCAAAATCATGATGAACCTCTACAAAATAATTTGAGCTATCACTTGCAAAATTAGATTTTCCAAATACAAGAAACCAAAAATTGGCAGGACCTTTTTCTAAAGTATTTACATTTATTATAAAATTTAAGGAGCAATTTATCAAAGGCGAATAAAAAATACATTAACCACCACAGAAAAATTTGATGAAGGATTTACCTGGAAAATGATTAGAAAGAGATTCTTCTGTTCACTTTGGGCAGATTCCAGTTTTTCCTCCATTCTTTCAATCATCTCTTCTGTAGGGACATCATCGTCTTTGGAGTCTATATCCATTCCATCTCTTGCCTGAAATAAAGAGAGAAATATTAATAATAAATAATTAGGAAAATATGTCTCAACATTTCTTGCACTAATATGATTTCATTTTTTATTTCAAAATACAATAATTAAACCTACAGAAAGAAATACATCTAGTTATCTATTGACTATAACCCCAAAAATATAATGTTCATATGTAACAAGAACAAAATAATCCATGTCACAACGGCATATGACATTTACAGAACATTAGTTTAGCTATTCCTATTCAATAGAACAATTTTCAAGAAGATAAATTTTAAGACATACCCTTCTCTCAGCTGCCTCAAGTTTGTCTTTGGCTTCTTCCACTTCTTTTTGCAACTTGGCAACATGTTTGTTCATCTTGCGGATGGTGGAATGGAGTATCTCCCACACAAAAAAGCTACACGAAATAGATAATAATTCCCTACAGTTGAATTTTGAGAGTAATTATACCCAGTAGAAAGGTCTTTTAGAAATTGTGATCAATACATAATAAATCCTAAGTATTATCTTAATTTTCTGTCAATATATTGAACACACATATCCACATTCTTATGTATATCAGTGTCACAAGGCACATTTAACCCGAAATCTCCAAATGTCCTTTCTCATCATTTTGTCTAAGTATTTTCACCAATTATCAAATAGGACAAAAAAGGGACATTAAAACACTGCTACTCAAATTCACTTCAGTAAGATCAATCTCAACTAATACCTTGTGAAGTGGGGAGTCATCACTGAAGAAAACAGCCAGTTAGCTACTGCAGAACATTCAATAATCTGGGTTTTCAGCATTTTATCAATAAGAACACACATCATCTGAAAGAAATTGGGCAATGGCAATGTTAACTATAATAGGAAATGTCTATTTGACCAAGGGCATTCAGCTCTGAACTTATCACCTCAGACATTTCTGTACATTAAGTAACTTACATAACTGATTGCATATAACCTGAAACTGCTCAGATTTCATTTGTCCTGTTACAATTTTTCTTTCTTTTTTTCTTTCTTTTTGGAAATAAATCAAAGTTATATAATTTCACCTGTTGGTGTGTTCCCCAGACTTCATGCACACTCCTTAAAATGCAAATCTGTGCATCTTCTGTTTCTGCCAAGGTTTTGAACACATAATGGAACCTAGGGAAAAAACATTTTAATTCAACATTAATTTTTTGTAGGATTGAGTTAATACTAAATTATGAGCAGTCAACAACTTTAATCACCAAAAAAGCATAGTTTGAGTGGTATATAGTGTCTTCAAAGATTTTAATTATTTTCAACTAAATATAAGTTGGATGAAGTAATAAAAAAAGCCTAAAATCTACTTACTTGGCAATAGCTGCAAAAGAATGACTGAATGACTTGCTTCCCAAGAATAACAGAGTTGACACAAATACATCAATTTTTAACGGGTTGTAAGCTGGGTCACCTGTAATAAATGTTACAATACTGAAATCATGTTGAACAATTACAATAATTCTTCCACCTCTACTGTTATGCAAGAAAGCCGCAAGTTCAGGATGAGAATGAGCACTTGTACAAAATATACCTTAAAACTCCTTACCTTCTTCATCTGACAGTGGATTGGGCAAATCCTTCAGGATCATTGCTGCTTCCTCTGGGGTACACTTACTCTTGATTGAGGACAATAGCTTGTAGGCTGTTATGGTGCCTGGTAAGGAGCCTAAAGTAGAAAATAGAATATGCAGAAAAATACAGCCTTAGGCAAGGATGATGTATATACAGGAGTGGCAGCTTTCTAATAGGACATAGGAGCCATACAGGCTCTAAACATAACCTGTCATTAAAGGCAGCTGTTAAAATCATATGGACTTCATCTAAACAGTAATAAGAGCATGCAATGGTGCAATTTTACTGTCTATTGTTTGTTAAAAGAATTATTGTGGTATGTTTTTCTAAAATAAGTATTTCATTTCACTTTTTTAATTTCAAAATTTAACAACGCAAACACTAAAACTAAAATTGTACTGACACTCACACATCCTACCCTTAAGTCCATTACAGGTTTACACTCTCCTAATTTTCAAGATTAATTTAATCCTACCTATACTTAAAATAGTGATGCAATTTTATCCTCACAAAATATTTCATTCCTATGAATGTACACAAATTGTAAATTTGTAAATGCTTGTTATCTCATCTTAACCTATATATTAATCTATATATTTTTTCTAAAAATATTGTGGTACGTACCAGCGCCTTCCTTTTCATACTTATACACCGGATGTGGCTTGGTTGGAATAAGGGGCGCAAATGAGTCGGGGACAGTTTCTAAAATCCTCTGATGGTACGATAACCTGTGACCCAAAAGTGTTTAAACAGATTAAATTATAACTTAATCCCAGAACATGAAATAGAAAGTACTTACACCTATCTTTACATTTATGAAAGAAATATATGCAACAGAAAAGCATACACTATTTGAACACAATCTCAAGCAAAATTTTAAAACTTGCTCTAAAAACGGTGAATGTATAACAAAACATTACAACAGTTTCCATCTACAAACCTCAAACACTGTAACAACACCTCCTTCACAAACATGGGTTTTGGTAACAAAGGATCCATTTCCACACAAGTGGACCAGTCATCCCAACTCCAGCGGAACTGGAAGTTACTCAAATGGTAGGCAAACCAGCTGACAAATCTGAAAGAAGCAAAAATAGTTTGTTAAGATTAACATTCACCCAGTTGGAGAAAAAGTAGTTTTTACACTTTTAAATCTATCACTAGACTGACTATGTTAGTGTCTTGTATCAAGCAGCTAACTTTCAATGCATTTCAACTTACAGTTGATCAAAGAAAGGGGATCTACACATTGTTCAATTTTAAAAATATAAAAATATTTTGTCTCCATTTCTTTAAAATTTCAAAACAAATACAAAATGTAACTTATTGTAAAGGGTAATTAATCTTATTTTTAAACCATATAAACCACACACAACATGCTTTGACAAACCTTTCTATGCAACTTGTATCCATTGTGTCTATTCTTTCATACAGCATCTCTGTGGCTTGAGCAAGCTGAGTTCAAGTTAAGAAAATGTAATATAACTCTTTCTCACTGGAGAGGTGGATAGAAATTAAGACAGGACTAAACCATTATAACTTTGTACACTTCCATGCATCTATGAAACATATTTTTGATCTTTTGTTTAATGACAAGTAAAGGATACCACTTGAGGCATGGTACTAGGCTGTAGCTTGCAGAGTTCAATCAGCAAAGACCCATAAAAAATTTCCAGGTATGGAGGATGTGGCAGTCTAAACAGCTGAGAAAATACCACCTGAAAATGTTCATGAAAATATGCAGTTAACAAAGTAAATACTGACTTTAAGCTCCCCATTCAAAATCTAAAGTAGCATTATAAATTTCATATGTAAGAAGAATCTTAATACTTTGTCTCATAGCAAAACTTTATTAATAACTGAATGTTATGCAAGCTATTGCCTGTAAATTTCTTTTAGAAAAATCTGCAGTTTTTTCATTAGTCTTCAACATTGAACTCAAATCATTAAATCATCTTTCCTGTCATACATACTTTCAGTTAGGGGGATTTTATCTAAAGTCTGTACCTACCTCCACTATCATATAATTCAGAGGTAGTTGCACCTTGGTTGGGAAACTGAGTAATGCTGCAGCACTGAAATATGTGAATTTTTGTAATAAGAAACTGGCCTCTAATATCACTCATGCTACCCTACAAGTTTAAATTATAATACAAGGTCAATAAATCTTAAATCAACAGCTTACCAGTCTTTCCTCTCTAAATGATGTGTGTGTAGTATTCTGTGTAAATGTTCTTCCACCAAGTACCTCTCTATAGCGTGACTACCTGGCATCACAGGACCCTGAGACAAAATGTCACGATCACATCATTAAATTCATTAAAACCATTTCAGTGTATTATTTCTCTCCATAACATCTTTTCATATCCATAAGTGTTCTAAAACCCTCAGATTCAATTGAAAAGAGAAAACAACTATCTGGTATACAGAGAAGTGAGAAAAAATGTTTGAGAGGCAGAAAGATATTCAGGAAGCATAGCCCATTTCATAGCAATAGGGTATATTTACATGAACATTCATGAAGACCTTGCCAATGCCCTATAATTTAAATTCCACTTAGAAAAAAAAAACACATTTCACAAAGAACTAAAAATATAACATTTTCAAAATGATCTGCATGAGCCAATGGTCTTAAACATAAGCTCACCTCTGGTACATCAGTATAGTCAAACATTCTGAACACCACTGAGGGCAAAGGATAGGTAGCATCATCATCATGTGAAGGGGGGATAATCTGGGGTAATGTGTGCTGTAGTGCTTCACACAGCACTCCATCAAATGCCAGGTATGGACGTAATATTTGCCGCTCCATCCATTTGTTGTTCTTCAGCATTTTGATTTGGGCCCATAAGCAGTCTAAGTACTAAAGAAATTGGTTTAAATTTAGCTTATAGATTTATTTGTATCACATACAAATTAAATCTAAATACCTAGGCTCTTAGAAACTACAATGTAACATTCTTTTTTTTTCTCAGTATAAATTTTATTTAACTGATTTCGTCTACAGCTGTGATATCTATTTGCAGAAAAGTTTTACAAACAATTTTTGACTAGTGCAAATATTCTTACTTCTTCCTGTGGATGTGGGTCATCTGATGTCCAAACCCGTAATGCAGTTACATGAATCTTTTGTCTTTTGCTGAGAAGAAGGATGAAATTCTATTATTCACAAAAGTTATAATCAAGATTCAAATAAAAAAATTCTGCACAAAAATTCTGTTTCTGCAAAATGTGAAACAGTACACAATGTTGGCATCACCATTTCTTTTAATCAATGCATTTTAATTTTGTGTACAAAATACTTACTTTAAGTAATTTTCAATAGTTTGAAGCAATGCACTGAATTCTGTTTCCTTTTTCTCAAACAGTTCTCTTCCTACCCATGGCAGGGCAGATAGCACCATGAAAACAAACCAGTCAGATCTCACCTAGAAATAAATTACTGAATGTTTACTGAGACATCACCGAAATTTCAGCATCATCTTTATTCCTCATAAATTGAATCAACTGAACTAAATGTCAATGATAAAAAGAAATCCAGCATTGAATAATGGTTTTAAAACAACATGTTTTGAGAAGAAAAAAAATTTTTTTTCAACTAACTAACATCTATCAATTGTTTTGACAAATTGTGGACATATGTTGTAGTCTATGGGTGTATTCCCAGAGATTTAGATCGATCCAGGGATTAAGATTTAGATCGATCTAACTCCCTGGGGGTTCAAGCTAAATTGCAGTAAGCCGAGCGCGCACCATGGTTAATTACCCTCTTACAGCTTTCAGTAGGCGCGACAGATGCTTAAGCCGGCTAAGCTGACAGTAATCTAGTGAGACTTCCCACAGGGATAGATCGATCTAAAAATCTATGGAAATGGGGTGTATTACACAAAACATGAGACTTACTTGTGGAATGTTGTCCTCTAGAGTGACTTCAACAAAGTTGTCAAACATTGCCAATAAAGAGGATGCAACAATCACATGGCAATTCACAAGATCCGATAAGAATCGAACCTGAAATAATCATCAGAAAAAACCCTGTGAGTAAACATACATAGTGGCAATAAGAATTATTAACTTGAGAAATATCGATACAGATATTATAATATTACTATGAGGACGGAGCAACAACTACAACAACAAAAAACTGTTAGTCTTAATGCAATAACTTGGTTATGCAACAAACTGATTCTCAGTGGGGTACATTCATAGTGCCAAGCACAAAACAAAGTATATTGTATATTGAAGCAGTGTTTTTACTTACAATCAGTCTTGCATTTTCAAACTGGCAAGTCTTGAGAGATTCTTTAAGATTCCGGACTAGAATCTCAACAAACTGAAAGTGTAAAGAAAAATCATAGATAAAAAATTGCACAACCAAGTACATTTAAACAATATTATAATAAAGCATATCTGACTCTATATACAAATTATCCTAAAATTACAATTTTAACAACCTTAAAGGCACACAATGAGCATTAATTCATTAATTTATTTATTAATTACTTTTATAAACAAATAATATAATTAACAATTTCCCTTAATCACAAAGATGTGCCATAATTAAAACATTTCACCAAGTTCCATAAACCCCTTATTTTCAGTCATGAGTAATGAAAATAAAGAATGGTAAATTTCATGTGGCTATAAAAATGAGAAACTTTGGACTAGGGTATATATATTGTAAGTTGTAACATTCTAAACAGTTTTGGATAAACCATTCTGTGATAATAAAGAGAAACTACTAAAATTTCAAGTTAACTCATTGTGACAATGTTCTTATCTTAAATGATGACAGATATTCATACAAAATTCAGTAACAGAGACAATATGATGCTTGAAACATACATAACTGTTACGCTATATAATGTCCTTTAAATGTCTTAAAATTTACTCACCTCACCTCCACAGTTGTAGTTTCTGGCATTTAACAACCCAACCAATGTAGTATACACTGACAGCTTCTCTGGTAAATCCGTAACACTAAAATTAAATAGGTATCATTTAGTTGCATAAGAGACAGATCTACTTAGGCTAATTTTTGGTCAATCCAACAAAATAGCATTATTGTTAATGTTATGTTTTCACATAATATAAACCCTATGTCAAGCTGTTTGAAATATAATTATCTTATAGAATCTATTGCAGAATATACCATAAGGTTTTATTAAGCTAAAATTCATATAGGACTACTTAAAGGTCTTTCAACTTTTTAAGAACTCATACCATTCACAAAGAATTTTGATAATCTTGTGTTTGTAGTTTGGTAAGTCTGCCTCAAGGACACTAGCAAGACCTTCAAGATTACTTTCCAATGAAGAAGTACTCTGAAAAAAATCAATTAAGATTTATATAAAACACTGTATTGTCTAGGTAAATTATAAAACTCTGAACACATTTCCTTTGAGTAATTATAACCCCAACACTTTTCAGGTACAAATTATAACTGCATAGCATGAATATTAAAATTTTAAAAGTCTTTAAATGAATAGCTGAGTTGAGCGACTGTTTGTTTTACCTTTTCCCCCACCCTTGTTATGAGTGATTCCAACCTGTCTTCAATATCTGTGGGCCCCGAGGTACGCCGTCTCTTGTGAGAACGCCCTACAAATAACATAAATACATCAATGACAAAACTTCACTGGACACTGAAAAGGTAATCAGATCACAAAAAAGTTGGTAGAGTTATTTTCTTTCAACAAAACTGACATACAAAACAAATGCGAACCTTTGTCTGTAATTTTAATTCAAACTATCAACCTGCATTTTACAATTCTCGTTTTAGCTGGTGGCATAGCCACTACTGATAAGCAGATTTCTTGTATTGAACACTCTTATTCTTAGCAGAAAATATGGTTATTATCATTTTTAATTCAAAAATACACATGCGCTCTTTCAGGAAAAGCGACTTGGATCCTAGTGATAATGAATGGAAATCGCTTTTCTTGTGCCACTGCTGTTAACTAAAATTACAGAGTGCAGACCCACTAATGAAAATGGCAGTCACTAGCATAGAAGTGCCTTTTTTTATATCTGTTATGCTGAAAGCGCTCTTACCGTCCTCTTCGTCACTATCATCACTAAAAGCACGCCGGCGTGACATTTTCTAATTTTGAGTCTCCAATATGGCGGTGTGTACACACTACAGCAGTACTGCAGCAAATACTATTTTTGGCGAATCACAATCAGTTGACTCTTGGGTCCAAAGTTCAGCCTCTTCAACCAGGCACTTTATGAAAGGAAAGAAACAGCAAAAGGTACGAAACGTAGTGTGCAGACTTAGAGATAATTTCAAAACCGTTGTTTTGACGAAGGCCAGCAAGACAATGTAAATTAATGTTGCTTTGTGTCAAATTGCGAACGTGGAAATATAACGTTACAATGTGCATACAACTGGACTGGTCTCGTACTGTACATGTACGTGTATGTCAACTCACAAGTGAGTCTGCAAATTCCTTGCGTGGATGTAGAGGCAAAATTAGGTGTGCAGAAAACTTATTCTAACAAAAAAGCAGTTTTAACTTATTCACTCTCATCGAATATCTCAAAGCAAGGTCTTCCTCTGTTCCTGCATTAAGTGAAGCATGAGCTGCACCACTGAAGTACAGTAACTGCACCCCCTTACATAAATTTTGTACAGGACAAAAAAAAATTACATAAGTGTTATTATTTTTCATACTAAGACTAACAGACATATTATTCTCTTCCAGTTTTAAAATGGCTGTCGTTCTGAGAACAACCCTGGTGAGGCACTTAACCAAGAAAACACTTTTTGCACAAAGATGGGTACCTCAGGCGCGAACAGCAGCAGCAGCAGCAGTAGCAAGTACAGGCAGCTATGAATCTGTATTGACATCCCATTCAAAAATTTTAGACAGAAAAATGATGTCAACCAAGGCAGTCCTTGATCCTGCAAAGCTTCGTGACACTTGGGAAAAGCCATCATTTGACATAGACAAAATGACTTCCCTCTTGGACCACGACAACCACGATATGAGGAAGAAATTCCGCGAGTACCTTTGCAATGATCCAGATATCATCCCAAGGTACAATATTCCCTTGCACGAAGAAAGAGAACAAGCCCTGAAGAAGCTGAAGAGGATTTGTGATCTGGGCTTTATTTCAGTGCTGGACTTTGTAAACAACCCCTTGCGTATCTTTGCAGCACATGAACTTGCTTCCATTATCGATCCTGCCACTACCACCAAGATGACAGTTCAGTTCAATCTGTTTGGAGGCACGGTCCTGAAATTGGGAACAGAAAGACATCATGAAAAACTTGTTAAAGGTGATACTTTTGTCTAGTTGTAGCTGATTTTGTTTTTAGTACAATATAAAAATTATAGTTTCTTGCTTTTTTTTCTTTCTTGTATTATTTACAAAAAAAAAAAAAAAATTCAACCATTGTATAATTGAATAAAACCTGACATGAACCCAACTTACTTTATAAGAAATTTAAAATGAACTGTTTCAATGTTCCGTTCAAACAAAAGAAGGGTTTTTGGAATTATGAGTAATTTATTTTGTCTGTCCTTGGTAGTTAAGCACGACATGTATCTAAAACCTTTATTTCAGGTATTGACACACTGGATGATGTTGGATGCTTTGGACTGACAGAACTTGGCTATGGCAACAATGCTGTGGAGATGGAAACCACTGCCACATATGACAAGAACACCCAGGAATTCATCATCAACACCCCAACACCTCTAGCTCAGAAGTACTGGATCACCAATGGGGCTGTCCATGCCAAGCACTGCGTGGTGTTTGCACAGTTGATAGTGGAAGGTGTGAACCATGGGATACACGGCATCTTGGTGGACATCCGTGACCAAAATTTAAACACTATGCCTAACGTATTGGTAGAGGACATGGGGTACAAGATGGGGCTGAATGGAGTGGACAATGCCAAGCTGACGTTTAATAATGTGCGAGTCCCCAGGGTAAATCTGCTGAACAAGTATTCTGATGTGAGTGAGGATGGTACTTTTACAACCTCCATCAAGAGTAACAGGGCCAGGTTCCTGACTGTGGCCGACCAGCTGTTGTCAGGCCGTATCTGTATTGCTAGTATGAGTGAGGGGGCAGCCAAGGCTGCTTTGGCCATAGCACTCCGCTATGCTGCCTCTCGACTGGCAGTGGGACCCAAGGGGAAATCTGATACTTCAATCCTACAATATCAACTCCAGCAAAAGGCACTTCTTCCTCTGCTGGCTCGCACCTATGCCATCAACTTTGGATTGGACTATGTGAAGGATCGCTGGGCATTCCAGAACCCAGATGGCTCGGAGCATGCAGATGTGGTCATTATGTGCTGTGCAATTAAACCGCTGGCATCTTGGAACCTGGAAGAAGTGGTATCTGTAAGCAGGGAGCGTTGTGGTGGTCAAGGCTATTTGTCGTGCAATCGTTTTGGCACTTTCCTAGGCCTGGCCCACGCCGCCATGACAGCAGAAGGGGACAACAGCGTGCTGATGCAGAAGGTTGCCAAAGAAGCATTGGCCAAGTTTAAACCAGCAAAATTGTCTCCACCAGGTTCAGAAGACCTCTCCAATACCAATTACTTGCACTACTTGATGCAAAAGAGAGAAAATACAATGTTCTTGACCCTAGGATTGAAAATGCAGCAAGCTGGAAAAGAGGGTTAGTGCACATAATTTTTTTTTTTTTTTTTTTTTTTTTTTTTTTTTGATAAATTTATTATTATAATCCACGTCAAACTGTCACAGGGATTTGGTGAAATGATTGGTTAAGAAGTATTTTTGCTTGTTTTGGCTGGTGTTAGAAAACTAATGTTAAGATTTTGTATGAGGCATCCTCATTCAGTAACTTGCTGTGAAAACTTCCGAGTAAACAGTTACATAAGCAATGTCCAATTCATCATTTTTGTTTTGATTGATAGATTGATTCATTCATTCAGCAATTCATGTATTATTCATTTTAGGCATATTTGATTCCTGGATGTATGACTGCAGTGACCTAATCCAAGGAGCAGCTCGGGCTTATGGAGAGCGCCTCATCAGTGAAAGATTTGCTGCAACCATCAACGAGTCTGATTCCTCCCTCAAACCTGTCCTCTCCAAGCTCTATCACCTCTACCTAATAGACATAGTAGAGAGGAACCTTGGGTGGTTTATAACATCTGACACACTCCCTGTAGCCATGGCCAAGGAAGTGAATGCGGTCTCAGCAAACCTGTGCAAGCAGCTTTCCCCACAGTCCCTAGCCTTGTGTGATGCCTTTGCCATTCCAGATCCCATGCTGTCTGCACCTATTGCCTTGGACTGGGTTAAATACAATGAGGTGGACAATCAAGGGGAGGTGGTATGAGGATAAATAACTAGGTTTGTATTTGACTGTAAAAGGAAAGCTAACAAAAGCAAGCTATAATCTGTTAAATTGGTCAAAGATATTGGTAACTCAAAATAGACTGTTTGTGAAAGAAATGTCTTTAACAGTGCCTGGCAGAATGGATTTGTTTTCTTATTAGTATTATACTGATAATATTTTTAACTGAAAGGCTATTGCATTTCAGATGCTAAAAACAGAGATAACAAAAGGCATGACTAATAGATGGTCCAGTTTGATGAATGGTTCTGTAGAGAAAGACAAAGAAAAACAACAATCAAAATTTATATTTGAACTTTTAAAAAATGTGTCAGGTATCTAAGATGAAATCAGGTATGCATAAAATGCAGTGTTATTGACCAAATGCACAAAGTGTTATACTGTCTTTCAGAAAAAGTTATTAGCAAGTTTCACAACTGAGGTCCTTCACTAGGTGTATTTTTTCTGTGATAAACTAATGAAAACTTATGTTGGTGTGGAGGAAACTTGATTTGGTAATTGAGTGATGCAATAGTAAAATTTTCTTCAATCAATCACATACAAGGTGCTCTTAAAGTTATAAAGTAGGATCAAAGTTGAATTATTGCTTGTCAAGGATAGGCTTGCTGACTTCGTTTTATAGTGTAACCACCAAAAAGTTTTTCAGTGCATATCTATTTGTAATTTGAGCCTACCTTCACGGTTATATAGAAAAAAAACAATGTAGACTTGCTTCGTGACTCATGTTGTACATATGTTAATGAACTTGCTGTAAAGATATTGATTCTGATTATTTTAATGTATTCATTCTAATTAATGTAAATATTGTATTATGAATTAACATTTTTTGTTTGTTAACAACTACTTGTAGTGAGGGTATTTTATATTTAGGAGTGCTCCTAACGTAAACCAAAACCTGAAATGTTTGCAGCCACATGTTTTCAAAGTTAAACTAAATGCAATGCAAATAAAACCTAGTATGATATTTTTCACATCCCGAGTTTTGAATTCATTGGTGTAATCATATTGCGAGACATGGAGAGGTTCTTTATTTTTATCTAAAAGTAATTTGGTTAGCGTCAATCAGTTCCAAATTCTGCCCCCTTAAGTAAAATTACATGCATGGTAAGGCATTTGGCACATTTTAGGTGAAATATTACATTGTGCAACACGTAAGTCATAAGCTATTTTGACGATATTAGTAAAACCGATTTTTGCACTCAGTCAAAATCAATAATTATGGGAACTAGTGCTCAAACATTTATTCACTGAGGCAATCAATACACTGTAAGTATACAAAGGGGATAACTTAACATGTTCTTGCCTTAACGACATTCGATTTCGGCCTCATCGCAGACCGAGACACAAAATCCCAAAATTGTGTCCCAGAGAACAACCCGAGATATCAGTTATACAGAGCCATGAAGTCACGAAGCACCTTGGCAAGATCCCTGGCGTAAGTAGGACGGCGACGATCTGTGCGTAGATGGACAGGAGATTCTACCTGAATGCTATCGATCCTTCCACTAAATCGAGAACCATAAGTCATGGTAGAATACCCCCCTGTGAAATAGGCCGCGCGTCCAGGGGCCCTGATACCCGGGGAGGGAACCGCCCTGTATCCCCTTCTGTTGAGTAATCTGCCCAAGCTGTAGTCGCCGCGGAGTAGATGGTCAAAAGTAACGTAATCACGCAAGGAGTTGTAGAGCGATCTGATGGAGGAAAATTGTGGAATTGCATTATTTTCATTCAGTCTTCTTGTTGAGACGAGGTAGCCCAATTCAATCCAACGATTGGGATGACTTTGACCATGAATGTCAATGAACAGACCAGCACCTCTAATGCGGCCATACGCTTCTCTGATAAATGAGTGGTATTCTCTGTACGCCTTCATGGCATTCGGTACACCAAATGCTGCCTCGTTCACTGATCGGTTGGGGTCCATTTTCACTGGAACATAAAGAAAAGGGACAAATCTATCAGGGAACTGGGACGTTTTTACTGCCATTGCACAAATGTAGTTAACGTTTTTAATTAAATTAAAATGCCAATAATATTATACTTCTTGCACCCATCAAGATCAAGTGATTTATCTTGGCTGCTGTCTGTGAATTTAAAAAGTATGTTATTACAGTTTGTTGTAGAAAATTATTTTCGTTCCCGAGGGCCATGTTAATTTTTTGAGGAAAAAGCCGCAGAGGCAGAGCAATTGAATCCCGGAACGCTTTCAAGGGGGTGGCGCCATATCAACTGGTTCAAAATGCGCCCTTAATTTTATCTTATATACAGTGTCGCGGTTCAGTCAAAAAGGTCCTACTTAAAACCTCAGAAAGCAATAAAAATGATATTTCGGCTGATTAGGACAAAATTATGACTGTTCAGGGTTGTGAACAGTTATTTAATTAATCATCATTGTTATCATCATTATTATTTCATTTTTTTCCTTTCGCTTAAATGATAAAAAATAAGGCGGCTCGTGCTTTGTCTTATTATGAATAAATCCCCAAGTATCAGTTAGCGATCATTCATCACAACACTTTCTGCAACCTAACTGTTGACCCTTTTCATGTGTCTGTCGTTATAATGGCCTTCTTGTGACAACTTCTGTGACTTGTGACAATAACATTGCGCGCATGACATTTCCGTGTAACAATAGCCGTCTTTCATGTGTTGCAATTGGTTACTAACTTACAAAACAGATTGATGTTTTTCCTTCTCTCAGTTCTATGTAATATTCTATAATTATATTCACAAACTTACCATCTTACCATATATATATATTAGGCCCCGTTCAGAAGAGGGGACTAATTAGTCCGAGGGTCAAACATGGCGACCACTACAAAGCTTGTCGTCTAATCCGCTAATAGACACTAAATACAGGTAGATATCCAGCGGGGAAGTATTCAAGTGGGTTTTCCACATTTGTTCCTCGGACTTGTTTGTCTCCTATTCTGAATGGGGTCTTAGATAAGTGAGAGTCACTGATCCCCCCCCCCCCCCCCCCCCCCCAAAAAAAAAAAAAAAAAAGTGAACTTTGGGTCATGTCAGTCACGGTCAGTGTAATATTTGCATTTTAACTGTTTAATATCACTTTTTTAATTACTGTTGATTTTTTTCCATATTAGAAAGTGCTATAGTATAAAAAGCGAAAATAATGGGGCAAGTCATTTTGCAAAAGTAACTCAAAATGTGTGCTTCACTGACTTGACCTAAATGTTCACTTTCTTGACAGTGGAATGAGCCATGAAATCAAATAAAGTAACAATATACTGCTGTTTATTTATACTGGCTATGACAAAAAAATTACATATTACCTCTGTGTAGATTGCTGATGATTAAGTGTGGCTTGATGCCGGTTAGTTGCTCCATGTTCTCCCAAACACGTATAGCCAAGTCTCTGGTATTTGTATCTCTTGCAGTGTTTGCCTGGCATCGGGACACATCCGGGAACCCACACGAATGGCGCCAGACACACCTGGAGCCGTCCCAACAGCCGGCGACCCTATCCGGCATACTTCTTGGTTTGAGGTAACCACCATGGGGTGCAGCTATTATTAATCTGCTATTGGGATCACCTAAGAGGAAAGAATAATTTAAATACATTAAAACGAAATAATTGAAGAAACGGAAGGGATGATAATAGTTTTTTTTTTTTTTATGGGAAAGTTGCTATCCCAAATCGATCGAATTTTATAACGGTTTATTACATTGGACAAATACTTTTAACCTAGTAAGTAAGCACGGCATCAGTGAAGGACGGGATGAATTTCTAAAAAAAAATGAATCAATGATATTTTAAAGAAAACGGCAGTGAAAAATTCTGCCCAGTCCTATATTCACCGAAATTTTTGACGTCCAAAATCCTAATATGTTACGTTAGTTTCAACGTTTTCGCAGCTATTCTCAGTTGTGATTTCTGTGCATTTTTTCAGCCATTCCAATTGTAAATTTAACGATTGAAAACACGAATACGCCTAAGTATTCCAACCCAACTCAACTGTTTTTAAACATTTAAAAGATAAAGTTTTGAAACGTTTTAAACGGCTGCAAACGTGGCGCCTACTTAAGTTACCTTAGCTGAATGCTAAATAGTAGCGTGTGGGGAAAGGTTAAGTGTTAGACCTACCTCTGCTAATTTACATGCAAAAGAAGTAAGAATTTGTAAAAAAATTGATGTAATCTGGGGATATAGTCAAATGTTTTTTGAAGTAACAATAAGCGATTTATGGACGTTACACGTGTGACATAACACCGTTTAAGTTTCAAATGGGCTTACACATCTCGCGCCACGTGAGGATAAGAGTAGGTTTTTTTAGTAAACAGCCCAATTTTCCTTCAGAGAAAGGCACAATAGGTAATATTAAATATCAAAATAGATAGATTTGTCATAAAAATGAATGAGGTGAAGTTGGCATAAAACATTTTGGGTAAAGTATCGTAAAAAACGATCAAACTGTTTCTAAAAAACATTTTGCAGCAAAAGTTCATCTTTGCATTAAACATTTATACTTAACGTTGAAACTTAACATTTACCTGGGAAGTACTCCACGTAACCGAACGTCCCTTGCAACATTGTTATCACACTAACACCATTACAAAATATAATAAGCAAAAGTGTAATAGAATAGCAAGACATTATCTCCAAGACTTCTTCAGCTTCAGGCCTTTGGAATCGGGATTGATCACACGGGACCGGGAAGATCCGAATGTATGCGCTTTGAGAGCGACAAACGAGTCAAGTCACGACAGGTACGAGTTGACAATTTATTAAGTACTGTCTTTGTTTCTTTTCCTCGTTTTTATCAAACATTTACAATATTTTGCTAAGTTAAATTTCATAGGCCGGTTGCACAGGCTGTCAGGGACCACAGTATTGAAAAAAAAGTGTTATTAGTATTTTTAAAACTTTCAGACACGATGTAGTATTAATTCAGTCAGTGGAAGGCTTTGTCTGTTAAATCCACACATGGGAAGCCAAGTTGTACATGTACAATGTATATGTAGCTTTAGGTAATTTTTTACACCTAGCAGTTCAAATGTTAATGTCCTTTGTTTCAAGCTAGTTATCTGTTAGAGCTTGATAACATGGAATTGTGTCTGAAGTAACCAATCGGTTTATAAGTTAGGTGATCGACAATTTAATTGATAAAGTTTAGCATAAAATCTGTGAACTTATCTAGAACATGTAACTTTTGGCTTAGAAAAAATATATATTCTGTTGAAGTTACAACATGGAGTCGTTTCATTCTTTTTCGTGTGCAGACGTGGAAACTGGGAATCTCCGTACCAGTATTACAGATAGCGTTACCCAGGCCCTGCATTAACACCCACGAGTAGTCTAGGTTGAAACTTGGAATAACCGACGCCCAAAGTTTTGATCAAGAGTAGGCCTACGTGTTTTCATTAATCAAACGTTTAAAATGATAATAACTCTTCGTATGAAATCTATATTTCACAATAAAAACATTGTGAATAACTCATAGAAATATAATATATTCTGTTTTATGACGAAAACAGCAGTTATAGCTATTATTCTGATATCTGAGATTGTCTTCTGATCAAGTGACCTCCATTGATGGCTATACTCAGTTATAATCTCTTAAGAGATTTTAACAAAAAAGCCAAACTTTTTAGAAAAAAAAGGGACTTACTTTGAATGTAAAAATCGATTCATTTAACCATTGGTAAGTATGGGGAAAGAGTTATTATCCCTTTAATGATTATAGCAATAGGCTTAAGGCTCATAACTAATAACAAATGTAGGCTATGACTAAATAAGCAATATCATATCACTAGCTGAGGTCCTACCCTAAACAGATAGTTTAACTGATAGCGGCTTGCTGGGGAAATCAGTCAAGACCCAATTATAGGCTTATATATTTGGTTTTTATTAGTCTCAACATGTTGCTATCACTTGATAGTACTAGTACTGTATAAGGCCTATATACCGGTACATTAATAGGCATGTGTTTTTCTGCTTTTAGTGACTGGCAGCCGCTGTCTGAATCGTCACTTGCCCGTTGTTCGTTGGCCTGTACACGTCAGTGACATCAGATTATAGATAATGATACGTGTCATTATCATATGATTCATACTTACTTGTGGTTCATTATTAGGTTTTTATTTTCATCAGTTTTTCCAGCAACGACAACTTGCCTCGTCTCTCCCTCAAATCCGGCTTTAGAGAACCTTTAGGGCCTATTTATTGCCCATCGGGTGAGAACCGATAAGAGCATACGAGCAGGCAACATTAATTAATAATGGGATGCAATGCATTGTTCATTGAAAAATATCATATATATTTTTAAAATGCCTTTAGGGCTACATCTGTTACATCGCGGATAAGTTCGCTTGGAGTAGGCCTATGTAGGCCAACCAAGGAGTTATAACAGAAGGTTCTGTTATAACTCCTTGATGTAACTAAAATGAAAAATTAACGGCCTTTCAGTACTAATCGAAGCTAGCTGAAGTAAACTGTAGATGATCTTGTAAAAAGAATGTACACATCAACTTGAATTTGTTAACTCAAACTTGCCTTCATTTCAAAGCAGCTGTATTGTATTATGAGGAACCAAAACCGAGGCTTAGTTGCGGAATGGATTGTTTGATAAACAAATTCTTCTTGTTGCAGAGAACGGAAAAATTGTCACTGAGCGAAACGGGATCTAACTATTTTTGACCATATTTATTGGTTTATTTTAGATCCATTAGTCGTGTGTACCCCAGTAGTGTGATAAATTCGCCTTTAAACTTTGCCTTGGTAAGTTGACGCTGGTGAATAATCTTCTTAACAAAGGTGTTCAGCTTCACAGTTTATGGATATGCCAAATGTTGTCTGCTGACAATTACCTAACGAGTACCGTAGATGTTACCTTGTAGACAAGGTCTCCTGGGAGCCATTTCCATTATTCTTGTCATTTTGATACGGGGGGATTATAAAGGTTGGTGGATTAGGGGTTATAAGGGTCTGAATTGGTTCAGTTCACTCTTCACTCTCCACTCTCCCACACAGACTACTGGTTCTGTATATAATAAATTTATAACATACAAATTGTTTCCACTATTTGTTAACATTTTAATTTAAAAATTTATAATACCCTGATTTTACTTTAAATAGAATGTGTAGCTGTCACTAGGGTTACGTAATCCGTTTTAAACTGAAAACATCTTGTAGAACTTGATTGCATTTCTTTCTTATCAATAAAAAACATAAACAGTTTTATGTAGACTAATGTTATTATAACTGAGACGTGTTGACATTTCTTTACCAAATATTGGTATAATTTGATTTCAATTTGGAAGTTTCCAAAATATAATTTGGCCATGAAATAATCATTATGACAGTAGTACCATTGAAAACTGCCCCACTAACAGAATACTGGGATTGATTATTATACATGTCGCATTCAGAACAGTGGACTAACTAGTCAGAGGGTCAAATATGGCCGACCCACTTGAATACTCTCCCATGGGGAATCTATTCAGTGTCTATAAGAGGATTAGACAGTAAGAAATGAAGAGTTCTACATAGTGACTGCTTCTTGGTTTTGGGTGAAGTGTTTCAACAGTTATGAAAAAACTAAATATTAAAGCTTATGTTGTTCTCATTTCAGCGGAAGGGATGAAGAAGAAGAAACAACAACTGCCTGTCCCCCAATCTTGTGAAGGTAGCACGGATAACTATGTGCAATATATTCCTGGTAAGAACATTCAAAGCGGGCTCATTTTATGAAGCTTTATTATAATAGTAAATGTCACCATCAAAGTATTTTGTGATTTTTACAGAGTGAATTTCATTACAAAGAAAAAGAACTGAACCTGAATGAAAAACAGTATCAGAACTATTTTAACATGCGATTGCTTTTTATTATTTATTGTTATTCATTTTTTTTTTCAAGGAACTCTGAATTTAATACTCACAGCTCCCCATGGAGGGCATCTGAAGCCAAAGTACATCCCCAACCGTTGTGAGAAGAGGTGGAAAGATTGTGAATGCATGTACAGGTCTTGTGAAAACCCAGATCTTAGTATTAGTGTTCACAATGACCGAAAAACACAGGAGCTCACTCTTAGTCTTGCGGAGGAGTTAGGAAAACTTACAGGTGGCAGACCTCATGTTGTCATAAATCATCTCCACAGAAGTAAGTTATGAAAGGAAAGTTTCAGACTTACTGGAGTTTGTTAACTTTTGTGTATTTACGTATACTAATGTGGAGGTCTTTCCTCTGGCTATACTGTATAAGTTAGACATCCAGTCATATTAACATAAACATAACATAAAATTCTTTTAATTCTGTAATTGACTTAAAATTTTGTCTAGTTGAGAGTATTTCGTCTCCCTCACAGAGACTGTAGCTGGTCTATTGAGAATACTGGTGAAAATATTCTTGGAGGATAATGCAGTGCAATGGGTAGTTTATAGAGTAATAAAAATTACATGTACTACTTAAAGAAGGGAAAACACTGTTTTGTGGCTTGTGAAAGATTTGTTTGTTGTTCTCCATTGACTTACAAATGTCAGAAACTACTTACAGATTTTTTTCACAGAAACTTGATTCACAAAATCATTCATGTATTTGTTAATTGTAGAAAAGATGGACGGCAATAGAGGCGAGTGTATTGGTTCTTTTCATGTACCAGCATCATTGAGAGCCCACAGACAGTACCATAGTACAATACAGAAAGCCAAACAGAGTATCCGTGGTGCAGGGCTGCTCATAGATATCCATGGCCAGGCCCATCCAGAGAGACTCATAGAACTTGGGTATTGTATTTCTAAAGCTAAACTCAATGCAAGAGAGCTTTACCATGAACATACGTCAATCAGATCTCTCTTTGAAAGGAAGAAGGACAAAGTACATTCGTTCTCCAACTTGATCAATGGAGAAGCAAGCTTCGGAGCATTCCTGGAACAAATGGGTTACCCCGCTGTGCCATCAAATCTGCACCCATCACCAGAGGAGGCCCCATACTACCCTGGGGGCTTCACTGTACAGACCCATGGTTCCAAAAGTGGAGGTCTGATTGATGCTATACAAGTGGAGTGCCCGGCTTATCTTCGTGAAGATGAAAAAAGGGCCGGATTTGTTCATGATTTGGCAGTGGCCATTAAGTCTTACCTAGATGCCTACTATAATGACTGATTTATCTGGACAAATGTTATAAATTTATTTTCAGTTGTTTTTCTTAAAGTTACTAACAGCATTGGCCCAGTTTGTCAGACATTTTAAGGATGATGGGAGATTTCTATCTCTAACGGTGCTTTTTCTCTCAGTTGTTTTAAGTATTTTTCAAGTATTTTTTTTATTTTGCACTCCCAAATCTTGTTGAACTTCTGTAGACTGAAATCGTAACAGCTGAGATATGAGGTATTTCCCCCGTACTTGAAATTACTTGAACACCCCTACAGAATGAAAGCTGTGAACAAATACAGGTTGTTTCTTTATAAATATTTACTTTTTTGTTGCATTGTTGTGATAAAATAATAAACATAAGTTTAAAGAAGATATGGAATGAGATTTTTGCCATTATTTTATATATATATATATATATATATATATATATATGGTACGTCTACATGTCGTAAAATGTGTAGAAAAACCTTTCCTAATGTCAGGTTTTCAGTCTGATAAAGGTTCTTCAACTATAGATTTGCTTGGACTATGTCTGACATCTATTTTTAAAGTATTGGAAAAGATCTTAGCGTTGACAAAGTTTACCTCAAAAACGCGAACTCCATGATGCGTTAGTTGTGCCAGGTTGCAGCCGAGCTTCCCGTAGGCATATCCCAAGTGCAGCGGTCGGCCTTTCAATGTAGCGCCAACAGTGGACAATGCGCTCCACCCAACCCAGGAATGTTTCAAAAAAGAACCATGCGCGATCAAAAGACGGATAATTTCAACAGCAGGGCGTTTTCAAGTTTATGCTTGTCAGTTCTTCCGAATTACACACTGTTACTATCATCGTTTTGTTGATATAATATCGTTTTCGTCGTGTCAACAGTTATTTCTTCGCAATTCTAGCAGCGGTTTGATTATTTAGTGGGGATATCGGATTAACTGCACTGTAGGTCGTAAATATGTGGCAGAGATCGCGCTTTTTTCTTTTTTTTCTCTTCTTTCTGTTTTTCCCCTTCTCTTTTTTCCCCTTCTTGATATTTCTAAATTGAATTATTTGGGGATTTCTTCACTGTCGTTTTTGTTGTAGTTTTGTTCGCACAAATGTTACTCTGTCCACTCGGATTTTGAAGATTATACATAAAATAATTCAGTAGTTTCTCTTGGGCATTTATATTCTTTATAGCGTGGTATTAAAATGTAATGGGCCATAACAGCTGGCAACGCACTGTTTCAAGCTTTTAGCTCCTTTTTATGACGGGGTATTTATGGTTATAGTACTGGATACAGATGTACTTATATTTTCTACACAGAGGTCCGCGTACGTACATTGTATCTTTTAAATTGAACGGATGTTTTCATGACTTGGCGAATCATCTCAGAATTCAAATATATCATTTCTGCGTTCCTGCATACAATTGGCGAGGGTTGCTTTTTTGTCATTGTCATTGTTACCCAATTTACTTTAATGCGTCCAGTGTTCAAACATGCTACGCATATGATATCTCAAACAATCTGAGTGATAGGATATTTCCTAAACGCGACTCGCGCTGTATGATGTTGGGACACCAACTTAGCGAAAACTTGTCTCAAGCCACGCTATGCTTGATAAAAAAGAAAGAAATCACCTCAATGTCATATGTCATCTTTTCCATAGAAGTGCATATCGTTTATAATACTTTCAAACAATCTCAATCCATTCAACTTAGCTGATATGACATTTACTCATGTGCTACATGTAAATCCGTCTCGGCAGATTTCATTAAAGGGGACTTTTGTCCTGGATTGAGAAATCAATCTGACAGCGGTGCACCAAGCGTGGTTGGAGTCCTTTTGTTAATCGATCAATTCAACGGAAAATTTGATAAACGCACTCGATTGCAGCTAGCCAAGCATCAAATGATCTACTTCTCAATCCATCTTATTCTTACAACTTTACTAAAGCCAGCCCTTTAGGCAGCCAAACCTCCGTATACGATAACATTGTTCAGGGAGATTTGTATGGCTTGCAAGGGACTTCGGGAGATCATGTTAATCGGCGCTGACTTTTGGCCCTAGTATTATGGCAGATCTTGCTAATCATGTGGGCGGGCTCGTGGTGGGTAAACTATTTCGGGTCCCAGTACTACCTATTCCTGCGATTTACAGTTCAATGCATTTACATGGTGCAATTTCTAGTTGATCACTGGTAGATTGCAACGCTTTTTTTGTGATCATGACGTTTTTACATTGTTTTCAAGTATGATCAGTTGCACAGAATTAAACCAGTATGGAATAGTTTAGATACACACGCAAGTTGCATCGATTGGTTTCACGAATGATTTTGTTTCAGCACCTGTAGAGCTGTCATATTCAAGAGGCAGTCAAGGGGATATAACGGGGCCGTATGGGGTCTTAAGCACTTTTATTACCATCGGTCTGGTTTGTAGTGATGATCGATCCTAAATCTGTCACAAATGAGTAGTTCATCAGTTGGTGGAACGGAAACAATTACGATATCTTGCAGAGTAAAACTACTACTACTTGTCGTCCGTTTCCTCGACAGGTGTGAATTTATGCCTTGGTGGCGTGCCGACGACAACCACTGCTGCTTTATTTCTGTTGCTTTTAATGGACTGTGACTGCCCGCTAAAAATACTATTAGCTCAAATATTGAATACCAGCACAACAAAGGTCTGCATACCGGGATCATTTTCGCGTGCGAAGTTAATTCCTTCGCTCCGCCTTCTTTTAATACTGTGACGACGTCACGATGCTAGCTCAGCGTGGCTTAATGGCATTAACTGATATTTGGCAGATAGTAAATAGACACCTGATTAAGTCAATGTAGAGGCAGCACAGCCGTCGGGGAAGCAACATCCAGATTGAACTGAAAAAGGTAATACCAATAGCCTCACTCAAGAATTTAATACATTCTTGTTTTACTGTACAGTCTGACTAGGATAGTGTACGTGGTTGCTGTCGAATACGATTTGCACAAGTCTGCGCGGTTTATGAAGACTGGTAGGTGGTTAAATTTATGTAACTTTTTGAGAAGTCGGCTGCATACGAAATTTATGTATACATTTTGGTTAATTTTCTTGTTAATATCTTATAGCCATTTTAAAGTTATGAGTGGAATGAAACATGGAGCGCTTAGACCACAAGCCGTGTTCAAAGTATTGAAAAAGGTTTGGGAAGTGGCGTTGCATTTATATTTTTTCGATCGGTAAAACCAGCGGTACGGCCGTCACAACAAGTTCACAAAAGCCTTGGAATGCAGACTTTGATTCTCTCTCGCTGTGGGGCACACACCTTTCACACGCAGACAATATCACCTGACGCTTCGCATCTATGCCTTTTGCCGACCGACCGCGAAGTCTCCAAAGTTAAATGAAAGCATGACAAAACAACCAATATTTTCACGTATTAGGCTGGGCACGCCGAGTGCTTAACTTAAATGTTTTCCCATACCTAACCTTAATCATTTTAAGTCCTTCGTATGTGGGGGCACGCACAACGTATGTGATTTCGAGACTTGCTCGCGATGATGTTTCAGCGACTTTGTTTACATTCGACACAAGGAGACTTTTAAAAGTTCTTTTGAGTCGTGTTTTCAATAAATCAGCAATAAACCCCTCGTTCGAGCGCTTTAATGCGCACTGTTTTACTACCAGAGCATTATAAGAACAGGGAGGAGTTGTTATAATACAATGATGGAGGAAATACAAGACGGGGCCTAATATAGTCGAACGGTTTGATTACATACTGATTGAAGATAAGAATCAATTTCTCTCAATACCAGCGTGATATGTAAGCTATATCAGTTTGCATACCACATACCTCTCCATGCTCTTTTGTAGGATACTGCAAAGCAGCGGAGGGAAAATAGGGAGGAGAGAAAGAAATGAATACGTAGTACATTGCTCTAATGATGATGCTTTTTATTCTTCAATGACACGAAGGATAGACGAAGCGTCTATAAAATGTCTCTCCCCGGACGTAGGATTTTCTCACCATATTAAGGACGTTAAAAAGTGTGGAATAATAATTTACCCCCCCCCCCCTTCGCAACAAAACTGTCTTATACTGCATTATTATTGTCGAATTCTGAAATCAAAATACGACCTTTCCGAAATCTTTATTGCGCCATTTTCTTCATCAGATGACGCTTATGTATAAATGCAAAGCCTGCACTGGAGAAGACAAAATGATATGTGTCACCCATTTAGTGTATGAGAAACGATCTTTAAATCATCATTCTTGTTACCGAACACAAGCTAAAGAATCATCACCTGGACACCCCCCCCCCTATTAAATTCAAGAATGGATCTCTAAATTGCATCCTCTGGCCCGTGACGCCATTCATCATTCATGTAATCAGTGAAAGGAAATGTTTTTAACCTTGCCGTTCACAATCTTTATCCTTTTAATGCATTTTTATATTAGCACAATCGATTTCTAACTCAGATGCGTGTCTCGACACAATGTGATCTAATGTTTTTTATCATGAGCTTTGAAATATACGTGAGCAGACAGACCCTATGAATGCTTACGATTGATGGTTTTCTTTTCATCGGGCCTTTATTACGTGGTGGGCTTATTTCATTGCTTTACTGTGGGGCTTATAAGACCTTTAGGAATGTATTAGAGATTGCCGCCCCCTCCCAAAATGATAATAGCCGTTTTCCCATTAAGTATGTGTTAAAACATGTCGTTGATTAATCGCACTTTGTTGAAAAGAAAAACTAGTAAGTGGGTAAAGGAAGGGAAGGACACATCCCCGCTTTAACTGTCTTCACTTATTTTCTCTAAAAAATACTTTCACTTGAAAACATAAAGTATGAAGTAAGTAAAAATTTGTCCAAAAGTTAAAAAAGCCTTAATTGTTTTCATTATATACCGAAGGACAGTTAACTTGACTTGACATGTCTAAACTTTCTTTTAGGTAACGGGAAATACTGAATTGAAATTTTAAAGTGAAGGTTCGTAAATGACAGGCATTTATTTTGTTTAAAAGGTAATCAATTAGAACAAAGGTGGATTAACATTTTTCCAATTACCATTTAAATGAAAAGTGTTTAAAAATATTTATATTCCAAACTCCTAAAAATGTGTTTTATTTGTCAAAGTCATTTTAAAACGCGCTTAATCAACTCAGCTGGACAGTCCTTGTGATTTACGAGTATTTACTTCTGGTTTTAAACTGACATTTTTGGTCAAATATAGGAATCCGTCGGGAGGGCCTGTCGCTGCATATTGTGCGATAAGCGTCTACTTCACGCCTACAGTGATTAGTTATGCTACTTTGAAACATCTGCGTCTTAAAACTGCTAAAAAATACTGCTTTGTTCCACTCTACTGACATTCCTCTTACCATCGATATGTTTAAGGATGATTTATTTGCTGCAATAACAGCGACAATAGCTTTAAGTTACATCGTTTGTCATTTTTTGGTCTTGACAACCTGTCAGATCGTAAAAGCATGGATTGAAGTTTTTTTTTCCTGTTAAGCTGTTAAGGCCAGACAAAATTGATTAGTTGGTTTACGAGCACGTTCGACTTCCATTTTTAAGAAATCAGAAAAAACAACCGACTTACCCTAAAATTGAAGTGCTGTGCCCGTTAAACATCATATGATTATCAAAAACAAAAACGTAAAAGATGTTATTTACCAAGCCTGTTTGCAGAGAGACGCCACTCGTAAACCCACTAACAAGTTTTCCTAACCACGGTCTGAACTGACATGCAAGTATAATGGTCCATAATGTGAACCTACTAAAACATTGCACTATTATCACTACACATTAAGGTAATCACAAACCCAAGGTATTCTCAACACGTTTATCGATTTGAACATGTCACATTTGATTTTGAATCAGGCTGTTCTGTATTTGATAAATTCTTCAGCCCGCCAGGTGCCTCTAGTCGTGATGGTGTCACTGATGGGACACCACACTTGAGGTATAGATGGTCACCGTGATATTCAGTATATTAAAGCTCACGTGAATACATAGAGCACGCTGTTATACTTATTTGCGTCATGTTTCTTATTTGTTAAAATGCCTTGCCCCCTCCCCCCACTTTTTTTCTGAAAAGTAAGACCAGCCATTTCTCCTACATATTTGGCTTGAAATCCAATAAGAGTGCGGCCATACGATATATTCATATGTATATTCATATGTTCAATCATATAATCAGGTCTAAATGATGACAAGTTGGTTTGTTTAAAAAAGATTGGCTCCCATGCAGGTTGGTCACTTATTCGGCCTTTTTCTTAGTTAGAAATATGGGCAATACAATGTTATATATGGTTTGAATCCATTCGATAGTATCATTTTCCTACAACCTGCGGCCTGGATAGCCACCGTCTAAACATGTCAGAAAAGATTGTCATTATTCAAAGTCTAATAAAAGGGAGAGGATAATTGACCGAGGATTAAAATTATGATGAAAATTGAAATATTTGAAGTTAATCTACTATAGCCAAATGAAGTCCGGCAACGTTAAGAAATATGATTGGATGTTCATGAGCAGCTGCAATCGGGGATTTTTTTTTCCGGCGACCTGAAGGGTATCAAAATTCACGTATGTCCATAGGTCGCAAGTGGTAGGGGACTGTGAAACACGATCTCGAAGAAATGGAACATGGCGTCAAGTGTAAGGGCGACTGTCGGGTGCAAGTCCTTGTGCGAATATGTACAATGGTAGACTGGGACGCTAGGTATAATCATCAGATACCGTCAAAACGTGCTTCCTTCCTACTGTCTGGTATGTAGAAAACATCTTAACGAGATTTTTCAGCGATCATTTTAGATACGCTTAGATAAATTTAGCCGAAAAATCACTCTAACTAATGCAATTACCCGTGAATGTCAAACTGTGGGCTTCATCACCTACATTCCGATGGTTGTTTTTATTGACTGAAATCTTTGTTAATTAAAGTTATTACTATTGATGTCTCACAAAAGTGTATATTATATCCACCCTGAGCTTAATATTACTAACAGTAGGGATTTCTTCCTAATAAATACTCTCTGTTACTGCACATAAGTGAAAGACAGATGTAGTATTTCAGGTTGACTAGCTCCTGCGTGCAGAACATCCAGAAAACGCTGAATAAATAGTATTTTCTTTTGCCTCTTTTTTTTCTGGAAAAGTTAAGAGGATCACATTTTCCCGGAGATATTTGGCTAGGAATCCAGAACGAGTGAAGAAACGTGATATATTTACACACATTTAGAGCCTAAACTTCCTCTCTGCTTCAGTTACTTTTATTATGTAAGTTAATAATCTGAATGGCCCCATGTATGTTCCTGTCAGAAATGTATTGGCTGTAGGTTTAACAATCTGATGATATGTTTAAATGTACCAAGTGTCCAGTTCGAAGGCTGGGGTAATTCATTCTGTCGGATGAAGAGGTAATTGATGGGCTGAATTGAGCTCAAAAGCGATCTCGAAGTCTCACAAAAACCACAGATCATCTCTTGGCGGCGTGCACGGTGACCCGAAGAGCTGCACATCTAAAGCACTGAAAGCAATGCGAGGGCATGCTACATTGGCGATCATATTGCGTGGACCACAGAATACTACTGTGTCACGTTTAGTCTTGTTTTCCATTTTCTCCACTTTGAGTTTCAGTAAATTTGATAGTTGGCAATACTAGTGAAGATCATAATGACGATGAAGCTGATATTGCTGTGGCATTTAATTCAAATCTCAAGTGCTGTTGCTTACGCTTTGATATTCACAATGGAGAATTCCTGGGCCAGGAAACATCATGATTGAAGTTTTATGTGCACGAGAAACATCAAAGGTTGGGAATCATGTCATACACCGTTGATCCAAGTCTCAGTAGGAGATTGGGAGAAAAATAACAACACGATAGGTCAGTTAGACCTTATCATGCTTGTTACGGGCTGTCCAAAGTTCAAAACGTGATTAATAATTGAAGAACAGTATATGTTGCATTATTTCTTTTTCTTTAATTCGAACCAACAAGTACACCTTTTTCAGACTGCTTAATGATGAACACCGTTTAACTTCTCTGACTTTTTCAGCTGCTATAATCCCATTACGTCTTGATTTTAAAATGAGAAGTGATTCTGCGTCTGAACAGAAAAAAAAATCGAGAAAGATACAAAACAGTTAAACTCTTCAGCGTTCTAGCTAGGCCTAACCTGATGACGTATGATACGCCACCTTTTACTTCAGCCGTTATTTCACCGCCCAAAGGTATAAATGCTGTTTTCGAGGGGGTTTTGCACGGACAGGGTAGAGCTTTGAACAGTAAATTGATTTTAGGGGGTCAGTTTGATTTAGATGAAAACCACGATCTAATTAACCTTGGTGATGTTTACGATCCGTGCTGATCAGAGTCGGTTTATTGTTGATTCTTGCCGGAGATGCTTGGGGCTGTCCCTCAGCGCGTAGACTGGGTAGTTAATCAGGGTCCAGCCTAGTAGCACGCACAGCCACCGCCGTATGGTGCCACCGGAGTGGTCTCTCCTGTCGGTCTCTCCTGTGCAGTGTGCATTGAATTCACTCTGATTGAAGATTTTGTGTCCAGATTATCAAAGCTGTGTCAGTGAGCACATGAACTGACACCGGTATTCGACTGCATTTGCATTGCTAAAAATCTATCTTGGCAGGTGGACGGCAAGATTGTGGAGCGGTACGTTCAGGTATGGGATCCTGTCAGTCTTGCACTTAAAACGACTTATCATTTATTGTCTCTGTATTTTATTGCCTTTCGTACTGAATTGCATTCTTTAGAAATGTACTTAAATGTTGGTCTTTATTTAACAGGTAATGTAACAGTTGCATGATAGATGGTTTGCAAAATATGCATGCATTTATTACGTGCTATTCTATTTTTGGAAGATAAGTGGGCTTGACCTGTCTTTGTATCAGTCAGTGATGAATGTGCTGATTGTTACATTGGCATGTTAACAGGTAAGAGGACTTGTCTGCTAAAAGAGGTAATTAAAACACGCAAGGCGTCTGCGGTAGACGGTCATCCTGCTAATCCGCAGAATAAAGTACTTAGGTCAACGTCCCTTCGCACGCGCCAGTCAGTGTGTTGGAACGCTGAAAATTACAAGTGGCTTTGCTTGATAGTGATTTGACGACGTTAATATAATTATAGTTCTATTATTCAAGAAAAAAAACTTATTTTGTTATATGCATAGGCAACGAACTGAAAATGATTCCAAGTATCTTTTATTTTATTATCTCGCTTCTGTAGCTTCGTTATAACAACACATACGCATGGGCGGATCTAGAACACTAAGCTAGAAATCAGTCTACCCAGATTATCCCCCAGTATAACTGTGTGCTCATCACTACTGGTTTCGCTTTTATTTTCATTTGATTCCATTCATTTCTGTGAAAACCATTATTGCCGCGATCGTGTGGTATGTGCGCATGTTTCTATAATGCCACGTTGTACCAGCTGACATGTACGACATCTGTCTTATGGGTGGGAAAGAACGCTCTCCGCTTGAAGATGACAATATGGCATATTTTCTGCACACTTTTAAGGTTTTTAATGATACTTCTGTGAGCTTTAGTGCGGGTCTTTTGTCTATTCTGGGACACAAAATCCACCTGCAAATAATTGTCATTCTTGGGAGGTCGGGGAGGGGGTATGCTAACCCGAAAGCTCTTGAAAAATGTGATGATTTGGCACGTTTTTTAGTACATAAGACATACTTGAGTAGGTCCAGGATGTGTCTCTGCCGCCCTTTGGGTAGGAAGTAAACCCACTTTTTGTGCTTAAAAAAACAGATGGGACGGTGCTTGGGGAGGCTGTCCCGGTATACAGAGACTGGGGGTCCGTATGGCAGTGTCTGCCTTCCATTAGATTCATTCAGGTTAAGGCTAGCTGATGTAAGGGGGTCAAAATCTAGGACGGGGCCTACTTGTAGAAATCAATGGGAACCGGACTCTAAATCACAGGGGACTCGCTCGTTAATGACACCGATCCTTGGTTCCATCACTTAAAAAAGTAACGCAAAGTAACACCGAAGTAATGTTATTGCTGCTTACATCTTCTTGTTAGGTACTCAAAAGATTTAACACCGCGTGCAGAGACCTCAGAGAATGTTAAATAAGTTTTCGGTTTCTCGTGTTTAAATCCCCCCCCCCCAATGGCGCCTAGAGTAAGTTCATTACTTTTATTATATATAAAGTATCCAAAAAGAGTGCGCCGAAGTCTAGGTAACATTTTTTTTCAAAGGATAAGGAAAAATAGGAATGGCATTTGCATTATGAGGAACATTTTTCATTTGGAAAATAAAAGGAACAGAAACGATAGGAATTTCCTCACATCACTATCGCTTTAGGCGTGCTTTAATTACACAATTTTGGTAAGAGGTATAGCATACGGCTTACAGTGCAATATATAGCCATGTTTATAAGGAGAGGCAAGGGCATCTCTGGACTAGTTCCGACAAGTGAAGTGTCAAGTGAGTTATTCCCTACTACAGAGTACGGTTACTGTTAATTGGATATGCTGTAAATTTTAGCCTAAACCGACGTCTATAGTAAAACGTACACGCTACGCTCGTTCTGTGGACCCTCCTCTTTAACCGTTATTTATGTTGTGTAGTGTAATTCTAGATCACAAAGAGCGAAAACAAACTTCTTTGCAATTCCACCGTGAATTACCTTGGTCTTAGATTTCCACACATGGGATGGAAACCGGGTTGAACCAATAACATTCATCATACTGATCTGTCAAAGTCCCGCTCAGATCTTGGTGGGAATGACGATTGCTTAAAGTTATAGAGTTTTAATCAAAAGAAATCTTAATAGCCCGTTTTAATGATTCACAGACGCTTATTGAGAACGTGAAACACACTGCTTTTTGTTCTTCCTGAATATTTTCACGAAAAAAGATGAAAAAAAACGCAATTTCATCATTCAAACATTACAAAGTTTTACATTATCACACTACAACTTAAAATTTTACCTGGAAATTGAGAAAGGGAAAGTTGAGTCCCCTTTCTTATCATTTTTCAAGGCAATTGGAAATAACAATTACTTTTACAGCAATTTAATTCGACGCCAAGAAGGAAATTATATTACGTCAAAATTGCAGCAAAAGGGGGTGCATCAACTATCCATTCATTGCAATAATTGATTCATTTGGTTACATAGATTTTATGGCTGTCTAGCTGATTGAGTCGCTCGTTGCCAGATTCATCTTTTGTCATAAGCCCTTTTGCCAATTATTGTATTCATATATTCAGTGGGGTGTTTCTTATAACATTATGGAGCATAGAAGCTATGAACTCAGACTAGCTAACCACGTGGTTGGATGCAGTTCAAGTACCCGGCTTTCAACGCACACTTTTAACAGGCACACTTCTCTCATTGCAGTCATCACTGAAAAGAGATAAGGAATGGACCGATAGCGAAAAGGTCGAGCAGAGAACTTCACCAGGTGTTCATGTGGAACAGAGAACAGGTGAGAAAACCGAAGAGAAACTTGTCACGTATGCCTGGCATCATGCTACCCTTATTTTGGACGGCATAAGATTTTAATAAATAACGTCAGTCTAAGAATGAACTCGTGACCATGACACGGGGAGAGCTGTGGCGTGAGGTGTATGGGGTCGAGTGTAACAGATCAACTAAGAACTCAAATCCGTTATTATTGGCCTTTGAAATAGACCCGAGAGACTGTGCCCTGTGGTATCGTGAGAAGTTGCCCAGATATTATCGAAAAAAAAAATTATGACGACTCTGTGCACGGATACCGAACCTGACTGACGTGGATTTCTACCCTGTCTTCGTTATCACTCTGGAACAGATAACGCTGACAAGAAACTGTCGCATTGATGGAAATAGATAACAATATACTGGCAGGGTCGACCTCAACAATAAAGGTGGTTACATTTACGTGGGGGACGTGTGTTAATACGAACTACGCCTATGCAATTCACTGCTATCGCAGCAATGTCAGGCCTAAATTTTGTGAAGACTGTATCTAACTGGAAATGCGCCTGCAGTCATTTCAAAAATAGAAATTCCTATTAATGAGAAACTAAAGTCAGGTAATCATTCAACATGTAGGCAAATTTCTACCCACATTTCTTCCTTAGCCTTAACTTACAAATATCGATTTCATATTTACAGTTTATGAAAAACTGTATTTTTATTGTTGTTCTCGTTCTCATCCTTGGTAATCTACGAGACTTCGTTCACATGCAATGTCTATTTTCTATTTTCTATTTTCTATTTTCGGTATGTCTTATGAGAGACGTTGTGAGAGTTTATGCGGATCAAAAGATATGTCATGTTAATGCTTTCCACGCACGGTGTAATCGCCAGTGGTACTAGTCAGGACAGAGTGTGATTTGAATTTTACCCTGCAGCTGACGGATGGAAGCCCTGCAAGGTTGCGCAGTCTGTAACAAGAGGCGTTTTAATTACTACATGCTGGATTTATGCGCCTTTCATTCTTGGCAGTGAATGATATTTTTTTTCACAAAACGTTAGTTCACCTGCGCCTGTGGACAGAAATGAGTGGAATTTTCATGTTGAATATTTTTATTTTGCGGTAGCTTGCCCACATGATTTTTTGCAACAGTTGAAATTGTAAATTTGAAGAGTAATGTTTATCTACCGCAACCCTGTATACGTCGTAAATAATACAAGTAGCCATCTGTGCATGATCAGGCGGCCTTTCAACACAGCACGCGCGCAAGAGGAATGGAGTGGAAATGTGCCACATACGGACTGTCATAACTCTTGTATTCTGCCCAAATTACGCGATATGTTTATATTTCTCAAGACTTATAGTCAAAAAGGTGTGTAGGGTTATCTTAGTCTTACAGGTACACCTTGCTGAGTATATTTTTCTGATTTTCACTTTTTTGCTGAATTACGCACTATACGTAATTATACGCACCCTGGATTCACTTCGCTATAGAATGTGTAATAATAGTCTCTCTGTGATTTAATTTATTTTCAATCTCGTTAAATTTGATAGAGAAAACAGGCATTGGCAGGTTGTGTTGATTTTTCGTTAATTGTAAACTACGCGAAACATTATTCAAATGTATTAATTGCAGGCGACTTGATCTTGGGAAAGATTGGGCACAACATTCGCAATAACAAGTATCTCCCGGTGGGTTTTTGTATGCCAATATCTTTGGCAGGGACTCATCCAGGACATACTGCACGAGAACCCTGGAGATGCCATAACAGACATGCAACACTGAAATGTTTGGTTGCGGTTAAAATGCACTATGCTTCTGTCTGTAATAACGGCCAGAACTGTGCCAAGTGTATTTTCTTACGTGTCTGTGAATGAGCAGCAAAAACATATGTTCATACATTGTTCGGTTATTCCTTCAATGCTTTCTAGGACGTTAATTTTGATTTAATACGGCTGCCTTCAGCGTTTATTACTGACGCGCCTTCGGTTTCAGATAGCGAAAAGTATAAATTGCTGTTTAAAGTGCTTTGATTTCGTATTTGTGCGAAGGGGTGATGTAAAATACATAAACTTATCACTAAGTATGCTATTTGTTATGTTTGATAAGAGTACTTTCAAGTGGACTATTAGTTTACTTGTTCTTTTTCAGCATTATGACGGAAACTGCTAGCTCCGATGGTTTATGAGAATGTATGCAACTCGCCGCGGATTTTCCGGCTTGTGGCTTGTGTTGACGACGCTGCTAGGGATACAGGTAAATTTAATAAATCAACGTACAGCTAGATTTGCGTTTTGTTGGTATGCATGCTCTCTCTCTCTCTCTCTCTCTCTCTCTCTCTGAAACACACATTTTATTCCTAAGAATTAATACACCGAAATGCCTGCTCGTAAGTTTATCAATTTAGACGCAGTATTTTTGGACATTATGGGCGTTAAAAGTGCCTCTTACTTGTTAAGTAGTTATTTTCAAAACATAACGTGATGGGGGCTTAGAATATAAAACAACAGGGAACCTTTTTAGTTACCTTATTAATCCAGAGCAGAAACGTTTGACATGTAATGTACAGCATGTAACATCTGTGTACATGTAACATGTCTCAGTACTTGATTTGCGAGCCCAAACACTTCAAAACTGTTCAGTCCCTCTTATCAGGTGTATGCATTCACCTAAACAGTTGACAAGAAATGTACCCTCAGATTACCCTCAACCACTTGCCCCATGTTTTAGATAATCCGATGTTGATACAACCTGCTCCGAACATGTATCTGATTTTATAATATCATATCACGACCCTGGCGCGACACCGAGCACCTGTTTTGACTGCTATCGGGAACTTTGGGAGTCTCACTGACATGTGCAAGGTCGTGTTGACTTTCGCTTTGTTCTAATATCACTGCGTATTTGTGCTTTAATTCTCTGAAGCGAATCGTTTTTTTTTTTTTTTTTTTTTTTGCAATAGAGTCAGCGATGTTTTCCGAAATGATTTAGCGCTAATTTTTTAAAACAAACTGACGCCTTTTTGCAGTTGGCGAACCTACACGCACGAAAGGATAGACATTGCTTAAGACTGGTTCCATGAACTATTTTTAAATCCCTTTTTTCTTATGTAGAAGTGGATTGCTGGCATCGTCTTATGAATTTTAAATGGCGCGTTTTTCATTATTAACTCTTTCGCTGTTCTTTTTCATTTCTACCCACATTTATCAATGTGTCTAACTTTCTTTTAACTACTCTATCTGTCTTTTTTTACCTGTCAGTTCTTACATTTCTTATGCCTCAATCTATTTAATGTAATGCGACTGTTTATTTATCTTAGATTAACGCGATTGCTTAGACTTCTTCACTGCCTACTTTTCTCATTATTTCTTTTCTTTCTATATAAAAAGAGGCCATGCCGTATTTGGGATTTCAAAGTTGTGTTGTAAAACATCTTGGCAAGCTTTCATTACGTAGGTTGTTTATTTCCAATCAAACAACAATCAAATAAGCACAGATCGTTAATTCTTAAGCAGTTTGTTTTAGCACAACTACCTTTGTCCGTAAGATATTTCTTGGTATGTTAAAATTCAGCTGTAGGATCTCATACCGTTGTGTTTAAAAGAGAAAAGTATTTAATTTATTTATCAACTCCCACAAAGTTACGATCTTTTGTTACCTCATACGTGGTTCTCCACTTGCCTGCTTCAACAGTTTTCTTTTGAAAGATGTACCGTGGAACATAAATCCAAACACAATAGTCGTTTTATTAAATTTCCATCAATCCATTAAGCAATTTGTATCAACGAACTCGTGTGGCAGTTTCTTTTCCTAGTCGAAACTATTTGGTCGTTTTCAAAGTGACGGCCGCAGGGGACTGTAAACCGTGGAATTGTCTTAAGCTGAATCTATTATCACGCTGATCCTAAAATTTGGTCAAAACTAAAGATCAAAGACCACAAGAGGAAATTGAATTTCAACTCCTAGCTGCGCTGGTTTAAATCATTATTACATTTTATGCGTACGTTAGACACGCTTTTTTTAATCTCTCTTATATTTCAAATCGTTCTCCTTGGCAGGGAAGATAAAACAAGTGAAAGTTTGTATCATATCATACATCAGTATGTAAGTTCGAAAGAAAAAAATGATAAAAAATGAGGACAACGATGCCCAGAAGCATAATCTGAACTGTCCAAGCCCTAGAAAATGGTTCGGTGACATCGATAATAGTCAAGTTGATAAATTGTATTACTGAGAACGGGTTTTAAAGAGAATTGAAATATGAAACACCAAAATATTAAATTTAATGCCTGGTGTCCGCTTTGGTTATGTAGAAAGGTATGAATGGCCCCTCCACGCTAGCCAAACGTTCTGGGAGGCCAATCGATGCTCGTTAAGCGAAACAAAAACCAGACTCTCAAAGGAATAAAAGGGCAAAGGTAAGCCTTAGGGGATTCAGGGGCGATTTTGTGCCACCACCATGCAGACTTTGGTTTTCGACACCACAAAAAGGTAAATGTTGGAAATGCCAGGTGCCCGTTAAGGGTTCTTTCTTCCTGGAGGCGTCCTTCAACTAAACAAAACACCTTAACACTTTCCAGTTACACTTCACCTCGAAAGTTTACAGGCGTTTTTTTTTTTTTTTTTTTTTTTTTTTTTTTTTTTTTTTTTTTTTTGTTATTAGTTCAGCATATTATTTATTTTGTCAAATTAAATTCTTATGTGGCACTGGAAATCGCACTTCATAAACCATTTACAGCAAATCTACATTTTGATATGTTCCTATACTCGAAGCCATTTTTCTGTGTAATTGAAAGGTGTTTATGTACTTTTCCTCAAGTTGATACATGAGCTGCGCAATAAAGAAAAACACTGAGACAATATCCCTTGTTTTGATTAAAAAAGACGAGTAGTTAAAGGGTGAAATTGTGGAAATAAACCGAATGAGACCGGCATGCTAATACTGTTGTTTCATCATCTATCTCAACAGCATCTTGAATACAGGCCTGGATAGCTGAGGGCTACTTTAACGTACGACTAAAATGTTTCAAACAGGGAAGTGCAGTTTTTTTTCCTGTCCCGGTCGGTAAATCTCGCGAGTTTGTTCGGCTTCTGATTGAAAGTTGTCATCGTCTGAACAGACCAAGTGGATATTCGGAAGACTGACGCAGTTGTCAATATTTTTTTACCGAAATATATATAAATAGTGTTTCTGTATCCTACTTGTTTGCAAATTGAGCTCTCGCGACCTTTTAAGTGGGATACCGAACCGAGAAACTGTGGCAATACTAAATAATGAGCTTGGCAGCGTTGCACTTAAATGTTCTCTTAAAAGCCACGCGGAAAAGGAGAAATTCAAACTATTATGTATTGTTTTCTTTTTAACCCTCGCGGCGCAGTTTTATAAGATAACTGGCGTCCGACATGAGGTTCAAATCTCTTCCTGTCAGTTTTATTGTTCCATGGTCTATCATCAGTTTTTGTATGGACACATTATCGTCTGCTGTCGTCATTGTAGTCATTATTGACAGCATGCAATGATGGCGTTTTCTGCGATATTGAGTTGACTTATTGAACTGTAATTGGTATTTCGCCAGGATTGAACGTACCTCGACGTGAAAAAAGTTCCAAAACAGGTACTGCTCATGTTGCCATAAGTAAACTGCCCATATATATATATATATATATATATATATATATATATATATATATATAACATAACATACCACCGCTGTCTCTGTAGTCTTTATGCTAATGTTGAAAGTGTTTCAAACGAACTAGGGTTTGTATTTTCGAAATGTCAGGTCGTATAATATATGCATATATTCATCGCCACGAAAATGATAAATACATTCATATATACTTCACTTGTCATTAGAAACAGAATCGAACGTATTATTTATTGAACAAATCTACAATACGTTGTAGCGCCTGTGTGCAGGCTCCCATTGGTCAGGTTGGTCGGGATGGAGCGGATGTTCCAGAACGTGCGACGGTGGGGCATCGTATCAACTTAGACGCTGCACAGATTGGAGCTGCCAAGGGGCTTCCATACGATACAAAACTTGCAATTCCAAGGTGAGGTTGTTGTTTTAAAAATATCGAAAAAATTCCATTTATTGGCCTTTTATGAATGGTTTCACTCATTTTGCCCTCCTGCAACGCCAAAGCAAGACACTATTCGGTCTAACTTAGAGTTTGGCAGATGCTGACTTTGAACTTCCTCCGACACGGAGCATACAAAGGTATCACTGTTGCCATGTCCTTACTTTTTGCTTTTAAATCATTTCAGCCATGCCCAGATTCGACAGTTGACTTTCGCGGCCAGCAGTGCGCAGCGTATAATGACGTACCTTACTACAACCAGCTCTACCAATGGGAAGCGTACCACGAGCCACGTGACCCTTGCTCTCTCCGGTGTAAACCTAAGGGTCATGATTTTGGTGTTATGTTGGCCCCGAAGGTTTTAGATGGCACACGATGCAACCCGACTTCACTTGACATGTGCATAAATGGAGAATGCAGGGTGAGTATATTGCTCTTAACTGAACTGAAACCTAAATGTATTTTATATTGATTTTAAACGCTCCGAAGATCACAGGAGTCCGAATTTAGTACGAAAGATGACGAAGAAAAAATTAATCGTAAATTAAAAATAAAAAATCTTGTGATGTCTTTTCGGTTTCACAAGAGCTCTGTCAATCTATTTATAGTAACCTTTTAGGCTAGTACTGATGTAGGCTATATTTTAACTAGATTAGTCTTGGGAGAAAGAAAGAGAAACATTACATCGCACACAGAGGATTTTAATAGCTTAATTGCCAAAAGAGCATTAGTCGGAACTCCTTGGTCGGAACAACACAAATTTCAAAATAATAAACTCACTTTGATTTTGAATGGATGAAATCGGTCCAAAAAAGGGTAGAAATCTGCATATAAATCTGCTTAAATCTGCATATAAATAATTTCCATATTTCCCTTCAAAAATTCTTCTCCTTCAATATTACTTGGAATACCCTACGTGTGCTGTTACTTTCAGACTGTTGGCTGCGATCATGTTCTGGATTCTAAGACAGTGGTGGATGCGTGTGGCGTTTGTGGCGGAGACAGCTCAACTTGTCAACAGACACGACAGACGACACGTTTCCACTGGCGGGAAGCCGACTATTCAGAGTGCTCAGTAACCTGTGGTGTAGGTAACTTGATTACCACCTGCTTTTAAACTCATATTACAGGAAATCTCACAAAAGCTGTCGGTTCGCAGTCGCGTGGGGCGTGAGAGAAAAGAGCATCGGTATTAAGGTGAAAGAAATAAGTCGAAAACATAATAGTCTGAGATATTTATTACGCCTTAATCATTAACTTATAGTGTCACTGTATCTTTTTGGTAAAGTAAATTTGTTGTCCTACAGTGTGTGCTTCCTCTTATATGTGTTAAGATGAACATGAAGAGCACTTGCTTTGCGTGGTTAGTATGCTTTGCGGTGGCCAAAATAGTCGTCATATCTGAAAAGAAAGAAATAAAGAAAATCGGAAAATAATGATCGTCGTGATGACCATGTCAAATGCCTTTCAGGTTACAGGGTAACCTCCACCGTCTGTGTGGACACATGGCGGAATCAAATCATCCACAGTGGATACTGCGAGCTGAAAAACAAACCCAAACTTAGAACGCAGATTTGTCAAGCTCCATCTAGTTGCATCCCTGTGTACGTCATTTTTTTTTTTTTTACATCATGGTGAAATGTTCTAGATATTCCAATCAGGAAAGTGAATGCATTATTTTAAGAAATGATAAATTCTTGCAAAGGAATAGCTAGTTTTTTTTTCGAGGGGTGTTCAATTCTATGCCTGCCAAGCACCAGTCGTTTTTTATCTTGAATTTTTTTGCGTAGAGTTTCATTTACGTGCGGTTGTTTAAGTGTTTGTTTGCATACTTTTTTATGAAGAGAATTGAATTTTTGTTAGAAAAACATTTACTTTTAACTTAAAGATGGAAAACAGAAGATTGGCAGGCGTGCAGCAAGTCGTGTGGCGGAGGAACGGCGGTGAGAAAGGTTTACTGCGTGCGCGAATTAGAAAATGGGAAATTTGACCGTACAGCGGACAAAATGTGCACAGGAAGTAAACCTGCCAATAAACAAAGTTGCAATGTCCAGGAGTGTCCGCGTTGGTATGCTGGACCATGGTCACTGGTTTGTTACTTTTCATATCATACTTTTTTGGCTGAGCTATAGCAATGTGGGACGTGCATTCTCATTCAAAATATAATAAAACCATGCATTTTACAGAAATATTGCCCTTGCTTACTATTTCAAATTCTTTTGTACTTGAACCCCCTCCTATCCCACCCCCAGAAAATCCCTGGATTCGTGAGTGTAACTAATCAAATCGAAGTGTGTCTTTTTGGGATGGGGTTGACGCCGTGCATTTTAATAACTTAAGTTGTTTTTTTTTTAAATAATTTTTTAATTTATTAAAATACTAAATAAAGCTCTAATGGCAATAATAGTGCAGGCTGTTTCCAATGAACAAGAAGTGGAGTTATTATATAGACCGATGCTTAAAATATATGAGAACTGGTGACTGTGATTCGAAAACGGTGACCTGACAAGCACAACTCTGTCTTTTCCAGTGCTCCGTGACGTGTGGCACTGGGGTCCAGTACCGTGAAGTGATCTGCAAGCAGGTTGATGACCTCCAGTGCAGTATAGAGGACAAACCCATCAGTGCCCAGGACTGTGATACACAGACTTCCTGTATTGGGGAAACAGGTACTTTTTTTCTGATGCTTGTTTGTACGGATGCATATAGCTTTGATCAAGAAACAATATTGTCTGCTCTTGTTTGTTCAACGCTATACATGTAACACATCGATGCAAATAGTCCTAAGCTATTCAAGTCTTTCGGACCAAGATAACTGCCGGAAAAGAAGCGTATTGTCTTTACTCTTTTACGTTAGCCAACAGGCCACAATGACTGCTTTAAAGCTATTCAGATTATTTCTCTCGAAACTTGTGTTGTAGTTTTCTATCTGAATTATTTTCTTCCGTTTTTTGTTTGAAAGCCGAGACGAACGACCGATCAGGGCAAGGTAAGGGACTGAACTTGTACGTGTATCTGGCCTTTAAGTTTTCAATATCGTAGTAGTCTATAATTAAGAAGTAGACAGCTTTGCGCAAGTGAGCCCACTACTAACAAATGCCGACATTGTCCTTAAAAAGCTATTTGATGGGAACATGTTATTTCAATGTTTTCTTTTTGTTAGGTACAAGTCTCCCATTGAGTCTAATTTAACAACTTTTTTGTTTACACAAAATTGTATCACTAGCTAGTAATAGCGAAGCGGGCTGTGCATTAGGTTTGGTAATGTAACTACGAGCGTCTTCATTCTTACGCCGCCGTCTTCATTTGCCTTCGTATCAGGCAATCTTTCTCATGAACTTGGCTAAACCTTTCCCGTAAATATATTCTATCTTGGACTGCTCAATTTTGTTCTACGCCTTTCGACCTCCGGTGTGCAGCAGGAAGTTCTTGGCATATTATTCGACTATATAACAGCACATTGGTTTAGGCAAAACGAAACCTTATCCATATATGCGCACAGTTGGTTTGGTAGTAAATTTTGAAGTTATGACATGACCTTGGAAGTTAAACGAACTTTTTAGCGTTTCTGTTGTAAACATGTGTTATTGCATGTTCGTTTTATTTTTATGGCCATTAAGTGTTTTATCTGTTTAAATATTAGCATTACTTTGTCGACTTTTTTTCTCGTACATTTCCTTGTGGCGTCTTCCTCATTTATTTCACTGCTTTGGTGGTCATATTTCACAATCATTGGTTACTGGCAAAGGTTTGATGCACTAGTGTTGTCTATTAATCTATTCTCCTTTCCCTTTTCCATATTATCATACACAATAGAGGGAACATGGAATGTAGACTACTAACATTAACTCCATTTTTTGTTATTTCAAAGCAGCTAATATTATTATTTCGTTTTCTCCCTACATCTATAGCATGATGGGCGCGGAGCATGCCGGAGTTACGTTACGAAATTGAGTGGCAAAGATATTGTTCTGTTGCACCAGACAAGCAGTGGGTGTGTTTATATTTGATTAAGAAAATTATAACAGCGCACGCATTTTGTCTAATTCCCGCTCTCGTGATATCAGTGACAGCTTTTTTTCTCCCTCAGAAACCGTCGAGGCGTCTTACAGGCTGCCGCGAGTTTTTGATGATAAAAATGCAGTAGAGGAGTTTGACAACTCGGCAGGAGATCGAGTGAATGCTATCAGTGCATCGGCAGACAAAAAAGATACCATGATGGCGGCGGATAAACCTGCCCCACCGATCCAGGCAGACCAAGCTATTTCTTCAACACCAACGTGAGTAAGCCACTCACTGAATAATGTCCATTATCTTGCTGTCCAAGAATGTGCATCGTTGATGCCAAGTGCAGTCCAACTAATTGGCTATAGGTACAGGGGCGACTTGATGTGACTTTAATTTTGAAAATTGTTCTTTTATTATTTTGTATCTTTGGAGTGATTTTATGATATTTCCTTTACTTAATAGGGTTGTCTGGATGGAATTATTTTGCAGGTTTATAGCTACAGAATGGGGGCCATGTAGCACCACATGTGGCCAGGGGGTGAAGATACGGTTGGTACAATGCAAAGTCTACCTGGCTTTCTCCCGTAGTGTCGTGGATTTACCTGACAGTGAATGTTCAGGTAGTAGCACACTTTCTCTCTATTGCAAAGGCACACAGTCACATGTACTCGCGATGTTTAAAAACGTTAAAATATTTACCGATATTTCAAATATACTTTTATCATTTAAAGATGAAATTAAAGAATTAACCAAAAGATAAATTTATTCTTGACGTTCTTTTAGAGGCAAAACCACATGAAATAGAGCAATGCAGCTATGGCAACTGCTCTGCGCTGATGATTCCGTTCGATAACATCGTTCCTGAGCAAGTTTACTTGTGGAAAAGCCTTAGGTACACGGCTTGCAGTGCCCAATGTCTAGGTGGTAAGGAATTAAACCATTCAGTTTGATTGGAGGCTTTGTTAATATTTGTTAAATAAGTAGCAAGACATAACGAGGTAAAACGGCATGCAGTGTTCATTCAGAATGTTGTCACTTGATGGTCAACGCAATTTTGAATCACCTGATACATGTTATATGCGCCCACCGCACATATTATATACTGTACACTGAATCAAACATAAAAACTGTCAGGTCTAGTTACTTTCGTCATTTTGGGACAAGTTTTTACTGTGCGCCAGGCCAACTTGCACGATAATGCATGTACATGTTCCATATGTTTGATTCGCTTTGGTTTCTTTTGGTATGATTCAATTTGAATTTTCATGGAAGTTGTCAATTGTTGATCCTATATTTAAATCCATGCAGGCTTTCAAGAATCCATAGTAGAGTGCGTCCGAGCATCTGATGATGCTGTAGTTGAAGACAGTATGTGTGCTGCGTCTCCAAAATTGTCTTCTGTGACTCGAGTCTGTGGCGATGGACCATGCCCGCCAAGGTACGAAATCACTCGTTTTAAAATACGCGTGTTTTGAAACTACACGTTAAGCCTTCAGTTTTAATTAATACAGAATACTACAGAAAAGATCAGTAGGTGATTGTTTGAAATAAACATATCGAAAATAAGTCGGTTCATGAATGATGTTCTATTTCTTGAAACACTAGAGCAGCGCCTGAAAACAGTAGGGAATCACATTAAAAATGGTAGAATTAGCTAAACTGTACGTGTGTGCGCGTGTATATATGAAGCTAACATAACCAAATGTATATTGAAATCAGGCATGAAGCCTGACTGTGTTTTGTAGGATAGATGACAGAGAGTCAGTGTAGATATTTATGAAGGCGAATAATCACCACGTCAGTGGTGTATTTGTCTACCCAGAGTTACATGTACCTATCCTGTACTTTCAGGTGGCGTGTAGGAGCGTGGGGGCACTGCTCCACTACGTGTGGGAGGGGCACGCAGACCCGCTCAGTGCAGTGTATTCAACAGTTGGCGCGTGGGGAAGATTTCACCGCCGCAGTGCCCGAGGATTTCTGTCCAGTACCGAAACCAGAGAGCGACAGGGAATGTAACCTCGCTGAATGTCCCCCTTTCTGGCATGTTGGAAACTGGACTACGGTATGATTTATAGTGATTTTGATATAACAGTATTTTCAAAAATACATTGACATTCATAGTAAGGATATCCGTTAATTCAAATGAAATTGCAAATAGGGAGAAGATGAAAAAATTATAGAGATTGATTTAAAGTGATAAATACAAATTGAAATATATTAACCAGGTTAATGATTTCATTCAGTATAAATTTTGAATAATTGAGGTACACAGATGGTTATTTCTCTTATACAGGCAGAACACTGTCAAAATTTTGCTGGCATTTGTTGTGCATTTCAGTGTTCTACACCTTGTGGCGGCGGCCTGCAGAGTCGTATGGTTATGTGTCAACAAGTGACTCCCACAGGATCAATAATAAAAGTAACAAATGAAGCCGAGTGCTTAGAAGAAAGGCCGTTGGCAGAAAGAAAATGCAATTCCTTTGATTGCTTCAATAAAATTTTGCCAAAACCTGCCAAAATTCGCAAAGACTTATCACATTATGTGCAGCTCAAGCCAATGAAGCGAATTCTGTTGATAGTTGGTGGGAAGGCCACCGTTATTCCGCAGACGACAATATTGGTAAGGTGCCCCGTGAAAAATTACCCACAATCCGAGGTGGAATGGACTAATGATGGAGCCGTTATACCAAAATCAAATCATCACTCGAGATTAGGCCTCAAAGGTCATCACAGAATATTAAGAATACGTAAAAGCCGGTTAAAAGACGCCGGGATTTACACGTGCAGTGCAGACGGTGTAGCAGCTGCAATCTCGATAGATTTTCACTCAGAAGAACAAGCGGCAAAATTACACAGTTTACGCAAGAAATATATGAGAAGCCATATATCGACGGATGTAATTTCAGACTCATGGAATGAGTACAACGGCAGCAGCTCGTATAGTTTTGTGACTAGTGACTGGGGAGTATGTTCCCAGACATGTGGTGGTAGAGGCATTCAAATGACAAACGTATCTTGTGAAATGATTACTGATACTTCGTATAAAATATTACCACAACAAATGTGCTTAGACGCTGGTCTTGTGAAGCCCCGAGAATCCCGTGGGTGTGGCTGGGCTGAGTGCCCACACTGGACCCTGGGGGAGTGGAGTGAGGTAACGCAGGGTATACCAATACGCCAAATGGTCCCAAATAGGGAGGGAGGATACTGAGTTGTGGCGAACTCCATAATATGAAAGTGTGAAATTAAATTGATACGTTAAAGAAATTGCCGCTCGTATCGTGCCAATGGGTTCATAACTGAGAAATCTTGGCTAGTTTGTAATAATGCGAGAACAAAAATAATATGTTAGCCAGATTATATTAAACTGATAAAAAGTTAATTTTGCTAAAGAGACTATACATGCATATTTTTCTATCTTTGAGTTAAGTCCCCTAAAAACAATTTACAATTTTGGAATCATCGAACAAGAGAATGAAAAACCTATCTTACAAAAATATTTATTTCAACGAGCTTTCTTTCTGTATTCCACAGTGTTCTAATGATACCTGCCTCGGCCACGCTACGGCTACCCAGCAGATGCAGCTGTACTGCTCGCTCCTAAATGGAACCTACGTAGACAACGCTAACTGTGATAGAACCAGGGTACCCAGCACTTCACGACACTGCCACAACCCCCACTGTCACGCTGTCTGGGAGGTGTCACCCTGGACTAAAGTAGGTTTTGGGAAGAACAGGCATTTGGACATTTGAAGTGTTTTTAAAACGAAATTGGAACGGACAATTGCATGGGGATTTTAACAGTTGTGATATTTGAAAGCAAGAATTAGAATACGCACCTTTTTAAAAGTGCTTGGATTTATATTTTTTATGTTACTGGTTTGCCTGAAGTCTTTTTTTTTTCAAAAGGATCATATATGGTTTGAGGGTTTTCATTTCACTTAAAGGCCGTTTTATCAATCACTTGTTTTCCAGTGTTCCAAAACATGTGGTGAGACGGGCATCAGAAGCCGCATGTTGAAGTGTGTGTGGTCTGGCAGTGGAATTCCTGCAGGGATCAACTGTCGCAATATGGACAGACCGCACGCCGCAGTCACCTGCGAAATGCCAGCATGTCCTAACGGTACGCAACCGGTCACATACGGTAATTGACCTTCTAGATTTGCTGCTAAAGGCGGTTGATATGGTTAATGAAATATTGAAATTTTTTTATTGTGTACAGTTGTAATTATATTTAAATTTCCCGATACGCTATTTGACCTGTGAAGAAAATGTATATTAGGTGTCATGAGTATCTGGTGGTGGGCCTGTTATTGCTCTTGATTACAAGCGAGGTAGTGTGGTTAATATATATGGTTTTTGATTGTTTTATTCATTTTGCCTTCCAGATTGCTACGATCAGTCCAAATTTTGCGGCATGGTTCAAAGATTAAACATGTGTAGATTTAGAGACTACAAAACTCGATGCTGCTATTCGTGTTCTTGACAACATGATTTCAGCATGCAACTTCAAGAAGAAAAATTCATATCGGAGCTACTGCCATACTGGAATATTTTACAGAAAAAAAGATATTTCAGTTTCAGTGTGAGAGGAAAAACACACTTCAGATGGTGGTAATGATAACAAACGTCATTGGGATATTTAAAAACGGATATATTTCAATGATAAATATAAAATCTGATCTGCATATCATTGTGCGTAGGGATAGAAACATTTCTTCAAGATCCGGTGACGGAAACACACGTCGATTCGAGAGGATTGAAAGATGTATACAAGTGGTAGGTTTCTACCAAGAATGTGCTCTTAGACATAGCATATGGCGGGAACTAAAGGAGTCTTAATGCCTAGCGAGGTTCGGGCATTTTAAATCAATTAATAGAAACAGTGAACTACAGACACTTGACGACAAAAAGTCGTTTTTCAAAGAAATGGTTTTATTTAAAATCTAAAATACTTTTAGTATATGTGGCTATATACACAAACTTACAAGCTATTTACAATATTTTGCTATACGTTGATGGCTGTAACATTTTGCTCAATAATAAAGAACAGCATTGATGTAAAAAGATATTTTGCTTTACAATTTCAACATTCATGTAATAAACTAAACTTACATTGTATAAAATAATATTTGTAGAAGATACGCAACTAAACTTGAATCATAAAAACATATATCACAGAATTTGATTTGAGAAGATTTAAAAATAAAACCCATCTTGTTTGTGGATCGAGGTAAAGATTCCTTTAAGCTCCCCAGGTTTTGACAAACCTATGTAAATAGATAATGGGGGCACATCACCATGGCAACTTAGAAGGTTCCTAATCTTGAGAGCTTTAGGAATGCGCATACTTATAACATTCTTGATTGCAAACTCCGAACAAGCAACCAATGCGAAATTAAACAGACCGATTTGGATAAATTTGCCTGATTTGCGAAATTAAAGTTGTGCATAAGAAAGGGAACCTTCTGATATACCAAAAGTCTTCAAATTAAGCCTTTTCATATTGCGTGATGCTAAAGGTACCTTCATATCTAAAATGTACTTACAACCTTGTATATTGCACATTTGTTTGTATTGGTGGGAAGGTGGGTGTTAGGTGTTATCCCATACTTAACCCACTTGTGACGTACTTTGTTTTTTCAATGTCGTTAACAATAATGTTATAATTTTACACTAATGCAGTAGAAGCAAACTTAGAAATTTACACCTACATGTTACATATAGTATTTCAATTTTAGCACAAAAGTTTTTTGCTTAAAAGCACCACCCTACATACTTAGCAGTGAATTTTAATTTTCATTTTTTGATAGGTATAAAAATATGGCACACTAGTCTATGTCGTGCTTTTACCCATTAGTTTTGAATATGACTCTAAGCAAGCACTGGCTGAAGCACACAAATAAAACAAATAGTGAAAAAATACAAAAACTTAAAGGCTAATTTTCTTCCATGTAGCATGAGATAAACATCTAATTCTTTTTTAATTTTTTTACATGTACTTCAGCTGGTTGTGCATAATTACTGCTCTCTTATCAGGACGGAATTATTTCCTCTTATCAAGTGGTGATAAGCAGTGATTGCTCCTTGAACCCTGAGGAAAATCTGCATTTTATCAAAGAATAAAAGAAGTGCCAACGTGCTATGCATGTGCTTATTTATGCAATAAGAAATTAATGGATTATATCTTTTCATCACAATTGAAAATCACAGTGCATGTCTTCAACATTGCACTAATTTGTTCAAGCATCGGAGGTTTCTTATGGACTAAATGCAATTTTGACTTCACATCCCAACAAAAAGAGTCTCAACAAGAAGTTTATGCAACAGCAATCTCTGCCACCTGAGGCACGGGTATGTTATTGGTGCCCTTGGGAAGTTCTGTCACAGTCTCTATGATAGGCTGATACCATTTATGTCCTCTTTCATCCTGATCTCTGTATCTGTAGCTAGACTGAGATGTATCTAAGATGGCAGCTGGACAGATGCTGGATTTCTTCTTGACATACTCCATTCTGTACATGGTGCCATCTTCAAATGGTGCCGAACTCATGAAGGCGCTCTGATCTGGTTTGCAGCTTCTCGCTGGAGCTGCGTTTTTAGGAATGTAGTGAGCTGTGAATGTAGAGATGCCTTCAAAAGGTGCATTGTTGGGCACATAGTCAGGTTTCATTGTTGGACGGGGTCGATTACCGAGATTCCATTTACGGTAATCATGGTTGTAGTTGGTGGAACCATCAAATGCTGCCGAGCTAGGCCTCCATTCTGGCTTGGCTTTGGCCAGGGTTCTGTCCATGGGTTTCTTGGTGAACTCAAGGTGTGTGGTTGACCTCAGGTCCATTTCTCCCTGGGGTTTAACCCACTGCTCAGGCTCATGGACAAATGGACGTTCCACTGGCCATCTTTTGAAGTCTTCCCTACATGTGGTGGTACCCTTGAATGGCTGATCTGAAATAAATGCTGACTGGTCTGGCTTTTGACTGGGAGCCCTGGGGGCCTTCTTGCCTTGGAAATCACGTTTATTGGTTGACAGTCCATCAAAAGCCATGGTAGGGGGTTGCCAAGTTGGTTTATCTCTGACATACTTTGGGGGGATGGGTTTCTTGTTATACGCCTCTCTGTAGCCTGTCATGTCTTCTAGGGGTGCTTCAGACATCATGGCTGCCTCTTCAGGCTTGCAGCTTTTTGTGACTGGAATATTATGGCGGATGTAATCATGCTGAAAGGTTGAGTTGCCATCCATTTTCGCGGTTGGTGGCATCCAAGGTTCTTGTGTGTGGACCATCTTCTTGGGCAATGCCCACTTCCTATAGTCAGCTGAAAAATAAAATATTACATTAGAAAATATATCACTTAAAACTCCCTAACTATACTTAAAAGTAGGATATATTGAATTCAGGTGCCAAAAACAATTTCTTACTGAGCATCATTCAATCATGTCCCAAACCTAAAAATACACTATCATGATTATACATATTAAAGGCCATTCTCTCAAAGGCTATTCTCATAGTAAGGGAAATGTGAATTTCATGGAGATCTTGCATTTTCTTTTCAACTTAAAATGACATAATTCAAAAATGATCGTATGAACTAGCCTTTGAGACCTAAGCAAAAGCCATTTGCAAATAGAAATGAGGGAGGTTGATGACAACAGAAACCCTGAAAAAATGTCCCTATGAAGAAATCTTATATCAAACAGATATGACTACAAATTTCTATACTTATTATTCTAATGTACAAAATAAGATACAGACATTATTGACAATGATCCCCCCATGAACGGAAGGTAAATTAAACTTACTTCTGTAAGTTGGTTCTCCTTCAAATTTTCCTTCAACTTTTCTCTGTCCATCCCTTTTGACAGCTTTTGCTGGTTCTATAGGTCTACCTATAAATAAATTTATTAAAAAATTAACCAAACAAGATTAGCAAATTCATATAAACTAAGAGATTTGCATGGATTAAATAGGTTAAAATACACTCGTTATAACAGCATGCTGATGCTATACGTAACCATCAACTTTTTGATCTGTTCAATTTCAAAATCTCCACTTACTACATAAAAGTAAATGTAACCATTACATTTCACAACTGAGAGGATGTGCAATGCAGATAACAATAAAATAGATGTCATGAAATCAATAAAAACCTCTCAACTGCTTTCTGGATACAATACTAGTTGTTAGGGTGTGCTATTGCCAAGACAACCACCAATAATACATAATTATCATACAGGTTCATTAATCTGGATACCAGACACAACAGGATATTAAATGATCCATCCCGAACTACCACATCTTAATTTAACAGAAACGTTTGAAATGATCTTAGTCAACCTAAAACACACAGGTAGTAATTTATTGCAACAGAATCTGTCATTTAATGGACTTATTGAAAATACATGTGCTACCAAGTTCACTGTTACCAGTCCTCTTCAGAGTTGCCAATATTTCTGTATCAGAAATGCCTAGATCTAATGCGTACCACATGAAAACAAAGAGAATTAACACTAAAATGCACAGAATATGGACGTAAACTCCTAGAACGGTTGACAAACCTGCAACTTTCCTCAATTCATAACTTACATTTTAAAAAGTATTTCTAAACTCTCAATTGTACCTATATATTCTTTTCTGTAAGATGTAGTCATGTCCATTTCTCCCTCCACTGGCTTATACACCTCTGGCTGGTGGACGTAGGGCCTTTCTGTCGGGTGTTTCACGTAGTCAACTCTGTAAATAACGTGCAGTGATGACGTGATGCAATATGAATGAAAAACTGAACATAGGCATGAAAAATACATACGTTAGTGTACAGCAATAATTCATGATGATGTTGTTTCACAGCATTAACATAAACAACTGATCAATATTGTGCTACTACACCTGCAAAACATAAGTCAAGACTGGGTTGGGCCAGAATTTCAATACACTACATCACCATTAAGTGTACATGTGCCAGGCATATCCTTAGTGTGTCCATAAAGGTATTTCCATAAACTACTTAAATCAATCTCTTCTTTCTCCCCACCCCCTACACCTGACAAAACACTAGGGGCCATAGGGAAAATTTATATATACAAATGTGTAACAATTAAAACAAGACAAACACAGTGAATACAAGAAAAAAACATCATCATTTTGAAATGTAGGTGAATTAAAACAAAAAACTGTGCAAATAAACTGACTACAAAAGTTCATAATTACCTGTTGGTTGTCTTGTCTGCCATAGGGCCGCTGCTGTGCATGGCCTCGGTTTTTGGCTTTAAGGAAGGGCGGGGTGGGACAAATCGGCCCAGGTAATTGGTGTTGTATTCTGATATAAGACATGGTGTTCCCCCTCGATTGATGACACCAAGGGGCCTATGAGGGCATCGATGCCGCCTAAGGTGAATGAGAGAAAAAGAGTCAATGAATTATTTCAAAAGCACTGTTAATCATGCCTCGAATGATACAATTCAGGTGGATTCTTCTATTTTTTTTCTCTTGACATGTGAGAAAAACTGTTATCACCTAAAATGAAACACATGTTCTTGATTAATCAAAATAAATAAGTAGATAAATAAATAAATTCCTACTCTGACTTAAGTGAGACACTTTGCAAACAGAACACGTACTTAAAGGTTTGAAAACCCCCCAAAATGCTAATTTTTGTCATCCATAGCTTCTTATAAAACCTTACATACACCTTAAAAATGATTTAGCCCCTTAAATAGTTTTCTGGTGGGTACCTGATGTTCTTATTTTCATTAGAGCTTATAGGAAAATGGTCACTGTTATAATGACTGGCCAGTCATTTTAAGCTAAAATCTGCCTTTACAGATTTTATCAACCGTCAAATCCAAGTGCAGGCAAGGTTAGATAAATGATTCATGAGTATGAAAAAATTGCTTATTTTCCTGGGAAAATCCATTTTAATGGATAAACCTCATGGAATGTGCCTTAAAAAAAGGTTTGATGTAGCAGGACTGGCTTTACTCAACAGTATTCTTTCTTAGGCAAAAACTACTCAGAAAAAAATATACAACAAATAGTTTCGACAGGATTTCATTTTATTATTTTTTCTTTCAAAATACAAAGTAAGTGGATGGAAAGTAAGTTTAGCATGTGGTTTCTATTATGAACTGTGTGTATAACTATTTGGCAATGGGCAGAGTTAGGATAAGTAACTAACAACAATGACATTGATCTGTTAGTTTCAAATATTGACTCAAGGCAATGAAAGTTAAACACGATGTAGATATAAATCTGGTGCAGGTAACTTTTACCTGAACAAAAAGTACCATTGATTTTAGATTCTCATTAAATACTAGCTGAACTTTGGGGACTTTGTAGTTGATTTTATGTTTTACAGTGAGGCTTTACAAAAAAATACTTCATTTTATCAATGTTTTACGAGTACCTTCATATATTCATTCTAAACATGCAAAAAACATCTAAATCTCAAACTCTGCACCCTAATTAAATTTTCCCTTTCATCTGTGAAATGTTTGAGAGATGTAGGGGAGCAGTTGTTATCAGCATACCACGCCCAATCCTATGGTAACCAGGCCCTACTACTATGCCCCTGTGTTATCAGAGCTAGGTATTAACATTCCTCTTGTTGCAAAAGTTACCAGTATATCAAATGTAAGCCATGGCTTTAAAGGAACATGTAATCTAACAAACTTTGTTGTTAATGGCTTGTAATAGAAGTTACATCAAACAAACTGGAAATAGACCCTAGCTGTACAAGAGTTTTATTTGTAATGGACTGCCATAGCATTTATCACTAAGATTGGAACTTATAATAACCAACTTAGCCAAATCATTAATAATTTTACTTCTATGCAGTGAAAACATGCTCACTGATGTCTTACTCTTTAAATTGGTTAAGTGATGAAGCATTCTGTTACTAGGTAACTGCTTATATAAACAACCCTAAAATATTTTGAATGCCTTGAGAGAAATAAATGTATACATTGAAGCACAAAATGCAGTAATGTAATTTTGATCAAATCCCTAGGGATCCGGGTGAGGATGTGAATCGATTACTTCTATTTTAGGTGGTATAAACAAGTTGATTGTCTGTACAAGGACATAGGAGGTAACAGAAGGTTTCATTGTGTGGTTCTACTGTACATGTTTACACAAAAAAAAAAACTTTCATAAATTGTGACTTGTACAGCCCTCACCTTTCACATTAAAAGTTTTACGTAACTTACTCTCTAACTGCAGGTTAACTGTTTGCTTTATTCATAATGAATGGCTAAATATTATTTTTCAAAACACAAATTTAGTAGGTCTCTGGTTTAATGTAAATAAGGACTTACAAAACATCTTATTTTGCTAAAATGTGCTCTACACATAATGATGCAAAAGTATGTGGATTTTCTGCTTTTCAAGGAAGTATTTTCTGCATTTCAAAAATGGATTCCTCCAATTTAAGTTGAATATGTGAAGTAGACAAATATTTACTACTAATTTTTCATACCTTTCTTCTGTTTCATTTCGTGACTTTATGTGCAAGCTAGTAAAATGCCTCATGAATACTGATTTAACATATGAAAACAGCATTTAAATTCCAGTCATGAATTCCATTAGCTAAGCTTCAGCCCACTTGATAAATGATCTTAGAAGTGAACAACTTAACATTCACCTAATATTTCACATGAGGCAAAGGCATGTCATCTTTAAACTTATTTTCTTGAGGGAATTTAAGCATTTATGTAGACATGTACAATGTATACATGTCAAAGAACAGTACACACATGGAACACCATTTGGAATACTTAATTGCTGTGTTGGTTCTACTCAGGAAATTCAATATCCCACTAGCCTTGTGTTATTACATGTAATTGTTTATGCATTTTAGTTGTACCTTGTGTATATGAAGCAATGACATCTAAATTATACTTATAGTATATCATTTATTTAATTTGTCATAAAACATTGCTGCATACAAGCTGATGTATCCAGCTAATTAAGTTGCCTTGGATAAAAGCTTTCATTTAACAAACTTCCACACATTTTTTATATAGATAGAAAAATGAAAACATGAAAAATATAATATTTAACAATTAAGCCTTCATAAACCATATACGATTTTTCATTCAAAACCTTTTACGTAAATGTCATTGCAAAATATAACGGCCACATTTCATAAATTTCAAAAGAAGGCAAGAGATATCCAATGGGTAATAAAATAATGATTTTTGAAACCTTAGCATTATCTGACAAAAAAAGCATTGGGTGATTAATGAGAAAAAGATGCTCTCTCCAAATAGTTCTGAGATTATGCATCTATAGTGGGCCCATAAATTCAGTGTCAACCATCACCAATCCGATCCAAACTTCAAAAATATCAAACTCATTTAGAAGAATTCCATGACAAATTGCCACAGGGTTATTTGCACCGGCCATAGTGTACGCCACAGCCGCAAGCGTCATTGACAGCATCTCACGAGCATTAATGAAACGGGCACCTGCCCCTTATTTTACGCTAAAATACACATTTTACTTACCCACAGTTACATATCTCGCAGATACACCTTCTTGTCATCTTTGACTGTTTTCTGCGACTGTTATCTTCACACTATTAAAGATGTTCTTATTAAACCCGACTTCTCCCGTTTCTGTTGTACAGATAGGCATACGCGTGCACGTTGTCAAGCACCACAACAGACTCTTGTTTATTTAACCCTTTGTAACTAGGTTGTTGCTTGGAGAGGTTGGGTCAAAGAAACAGTTTAAATAATTTGAATAAGACAAATAAAATAACATATATATGCTGACTTCAATTATGAATAACTAAAAAGGTGACATCTTATGGATTTTGGTGAGATATTTGTTGTTTCGAGATCATCAAGTTGTGTTTTAACAAATTTTACGTAGCAAGCGCAACCCTTTGGATTAATGGACTTGCCCTTCCACAACCGGAAGCAGATTTAAAAAATACATGGATTGTTCATTGGTGAATCCATCAATATAATTTGTAATGATTTAAAGTATTGAAGGGCATTAAACTATAAAGTAATTATTTTTATGTCATATTCCATTTTATGAATTGTTTTGGTTTGTTTTGTTCTAAATTCCTTTACCCTTAACTGAAAAATATTCCTTACATTAGATGCAGCCAGGAAGCATGCAGTGATCGAAGCAGACGGAGTACTATTTACACATTTTTATACTACAGTTGGCTATGGTTGTGCCAAATTTATTGGTTTTTACGTATTAATGCACCAGAATCAGAAATATAGGTAAAACGGGTGGGTATTTAAAAGGTTCTAGCTTTTAACACAAAGTAATATGTTAGTTGCGACCTGCAATATTTGGACCCACGTTGCTCATTATTTACTGGACGTTGTGCAATGTATGTTTAAATTTCTTCGCGTATTTCTCTTCAGATCAAACTAAATACATCGTGTAATTCATTACAGTTACAAAGTGTGATCATTCGTCTACACATGGAATTGTACAGAATGAACTACGTCGTCCATGCAAAAGTTTACTAGTACCAGCGATTTGCAATTGGCAGTTGTAAACTACATTTTTAGTTCTTGTAATCTAAGTTGCTTATTCGAGATTAACTGTTTTAGCATTGTTATTAGTAGTGTCATTATCTGTTGGTACTTCTCCTGCGTAAGCTGGCTTAAAATATATTTTTAAGTGAAGTACCTGTACCACTTCAAAACCTAATTTCTTTCCAGAAAAATGAAGAGCAAATCTACACAGAAGCTTGCTGAGCTTCAAAGAAACCCTGCAAATATCAGGAATATTTGCATTCTAGCACATGTAGACCATGGTGAGTTATTATGGCATTTTTTCATTATATCTTTAGTAATATTTAAATTAATGGAATTTGATAAACGTCTTAACCTCAACCAGTAATCTTAAACATTACATAGTTGATTCAATATTCTTGTATATACTGGGGGGTATAACAGAATGCAAGATGAGGAGATAATCATCTATCCCTTTTAAAAACATTTTAAAATGCTACTTTATCTTGTGAAGGCAAAACAACACTAGCCGATGTTTTGGTGGCCAGTAATGGCATCATATCACACAGGATGGCAGGAAAGGTGAGCTCTCACTTTACTTAGTCAAATTCAGATTTTTTTAGTTTATAAAATGCAGATGGTAATAGAATCAAGCTAATATATAAATACTTTCACAACAATATATATTTTGTACATAAAGTGTGTTGTGGGAATGTGTGTAAATGTTCAATAGGTTCCTTTGCTTTATAGGTTCCCTGTGCACAAATTGTGACATTATATGGTTTATATCTATTAAAAACCATGGTGTTTGCCAGAAGCATGATCCAATGAAACTATTAAGTTGCCTATGTTTGAATAAGTACAGATTCTGATAATTTCATATGTGATAAAATAATTCATGTGTGTTGAAATAATTTATATGTTTAAATGATGCCCTGTCAATTTAAGCTACGATACATGGATAGTCGAGAAGATGAGCAAGTTAGAGGAATTACTATGAAGTCCAGTGCAATCAGTTTACATTTTGCTCAAGGTAAGTTGAATATGGACATGTGGATACTGGATGATATATATCTAAAGTAAGTTAAGTTATAAGTTTTGTAAGTAGGAGTCTTTTTTTTTTTTTTTTTTTTTTTTTAAGGTCTGAGGACCAAATACCACGGAATGGCCCTAAAGTATTTTAAGAATACTAAATTTTTGGAGAGGCAGGTGGGCCTAAGTTAATGTCTGAATATCAATGCCAAGATGCAGAAGATGATTAGCTAATCAGATGATCAGGGAATGACTCTCCTTAGATCACTTTACATCCATGGAGCATTTACCCGAAATATGTATATGCCACCATTGCAGACTTACATATCAGAGGAGGGTTTTTAGTCAGTTTTGTTTTCAAGGTGAGCAGGAGTACCTGATAAACTTAATAGACTCTCCAGGACATATAGATTTCTCCAGTGAAGTGTCCACAGCTGTGAGGTTATGTGATGGTGCTATCGTGATAGTGGATGTTGTGGAAGGTGTTTGCCCTCAGGTAACAGTCTACCTGTCAACACCAAGTGACCATATTACTTAGATGTCTCAGGCTAAATATTACTCTTTGTTTACTTTGGTGTTTGGGGCCGGTAGTTAGACAGTTTCAACTGTAAGAAAGACAAGTCTGGAACACAAATGTACATGTGATAATTACTTGCAAGTTGGTAATATTCTAGTGAAAAGAAACCCTCTCTTGCTTTGTAAGAAATTTCTTTAGCTTTAAGATGATTATTTATCAAAATATTTTAAAAACAATATTATGGAAGAGCTTGTTTGGTATTAGTTAAAGGAATTTGTAAAACATGACAATTAAATTCATTTTTTAAATTCCAGACACATGCAGTTCTGAGGCAGGCATGGCTGGAAAATCTCAAACCAATCCTTGTCTTAAACAAGATAGATCGCTTGGTCTCGGAGTGGAAATTTACTCCATTGGAGACCTATCTTCACTTGCAGCAGATATTAGAGCAGGTACTAGGTTAGGGATGAGTGGTAAAGGTTTATATTAGCATATTTAACATGATAGACTTAAATATATATAAATTCCAGTTTATAATGTACTAGTATGCTTGTTTTATTTCAAAATGGTGCAAGTTTTAACTGTTTATTCTTCATAGATGTGCTCAGTAGAGAAATAATATTTATGTTTTCTGATTTCAGGTGAATGCTATTACTGGAGAACTGTTCACAAGTGGAGTTTTTGAGAAAGAGTCCAGTGTAAGTCCTTATCTTCAACAGAAAAATCAAATCCAAAGGAATGATTCACTTTTGTTGAATAATTAATGGACTTTGATTTCATTATGGCAAGCTATGTTACTTAAATGAAATGCAGTGTTGTTCTTCTAAACAGTATTCAAGTTTATTTCTTTCAATAAATTTCAGCAAGCAGAAGAAAACCAAGAAAAGGAAGTTAAAACAAATGGGGATCAGGTAAGGTTTGGTTTATAATGGAAATGAAAAAAATAATTAGATTAATTTTTTAAATATGCCTTTGTTCTTTGAATTAGGAGATTTTATGCAGTTAGTATTTATTTTATGTTGAAAATTGAAATGCCAGTAGTCTATGTTATTCCTTTATTTCTTTAACTAGGTATATGAATGGAGCTCAGCTTTGGATGACACTGATGATGCAGATCTGTACTTCTCTCCAGACCAGGGAAATGTGGTGTTTGCAAGTGCATTAGATGGATGGGCTTTTAGGTAATACCTGCTTTTCCAACCCAGAATATTAATAATAATAACACAAGAGGATAAAATTTGAGTTAATGATTTTGGTACTTTTATTGTCAGATATGAACTTTTTCCTACATTCTACATTTGAATATTTATGAAGCGTTTTTTTTTTTTTTTTTTTTTTTTTTTTTTTTTTTTTTTAGTCACGATACTCAGTGTATTATGTTTACTGTGTTTTGTTCTTATAGCATTGGTCACTTTGCTGAGCTCTATTCAGTTAAGCTTGGAATTAATGCTGGGGTTTTGAAGAAGACACTGTGGGGGGATTTTTATCTGGATACAAAACAAAAGAGGATTCGTAAAGGTGCACAGGTGAGTATGTGTCCATTATATGTCTAATTGGAGTAAAATAGTGTGATGATGTGTTGTGGACACTTGTACATCTTTGGTTTCAATGGATCTAAAATGTGTTTATATCTGTCATTCTCCAGGTGATCAGATTATTATTAAGTTGGATGGGTGAAGAATAGTAGTACATAAAAAATATATTCATTTATGTAGAAAATACACTTATTTTTGCAGGCTAAAGGTAAAAAGCCTTTATTTGTCCAGTTTGTATTGGAAAACCTTTGGTCAGTGTATGAGGCAGTCACCGTAAGAAAGTAAGTACACTTTTTGTAAAATAGTTAAGCTATGAACAAACAGTGCATTTAGTGTAGAAAAGTCAGAGCTTTGCAATTTTTATGGCTGACTCAAAAGTAATGATAGATGAAATTGTATGGTTAATTAAAACTTTTGTCTCATTTTTCCTCATATAATGTTATTTTTATTTTTCTTTCTTCCAGAGACAAGGAAATGATTGAGAAAATAGTAAAGTCACTGAACTTAAATATTCCCCCGAGGGATTCCAGACACACTGATGCTAGGGTACATCTCCAGGCCATTGTCAGTCAGTGGTTGCCACTTTCAAAGGCTGTTTTAGGTGAATACGTATCTTATAATGCAGTTGAATTATAATACACAGGGGGACTCTATGCGAGGTGCTGTCTGTTATTTAAAGAAATGCTTTTTGAAGCCCTGCAGAAATGTCAGGGTATTATCTTGTGATCACAGCACTCTGGGGTTGTGTGGATGGTCCTCTTTTTATTGTTATACCCATATTATGATTATTTTTTACAAAATGTAGATCACATCAAATATTAGAAGGATAAAATATGAATTGCAATCTTTCCAGATGTTGTCTGCAGCCATCTTCCTTCCCCGAAGGATTTTCTGCCAGAGAGGGTGGAGAAACTGATGTGTGGGGGTGCCAGGAGGTATGATTCTCTACCTTCACAGACACAGCAACTTAAAGAAGGTATTTTTATGTAGTTTTCACTGTAGTTGAAAAGTATTGTTAGCTAAAGTAAAATGAAATTGGGAAAGCAGTTGGGCAGAGGGGTTATAATTATGGAATGGATACTGTCAGTTGAACATATAAGATCATGTTAAAAGCTTTGCAGCACCTGTTCATCTGAAGGCTAATATTTATGATATCAGATAATTAGTTATCCCATGTGCACTTTCTTTTATCATATAGATTTCTTATCATGCAGTCCTGGGGAAGATAAACCAGTGATTGTTTTCATTTCAAAGATGTTTCCCTTTGACAGACAATGCCTTCCTCAAAATAAACAAAGGTAAGTAGAATAAAGGAAACTTGCTGTACCTTATTTGTAATGTCTGCGTAATTGGCAATCTCACTAAAACCCTCAATACCATTTCTTTTGTTGTTGTTTTTGTTATAGGAATTCAAAATACAGCCTGTGTATTCTCTGTTTTATATTTGTTTGTCTGGTGTATTTCTTCAGACCTCTCACTGAAGCTGATCTTGCACAGAGACGGCTGGTAGCAAGACAGAGGCATGCACAGAGACTAGCAGCACAGTCAGATGGAACTCAAGAAGCAGCTGTCAGTTCTGGTGAGAATAAGCTGCTGTTATTTTGGATGTTTCAATTTTTTAAGGTTGCTAAGATTGTTGTAGTGTAAGACGCCTAGTTCAAAATCACAAGTTCAAACTGGCTTGATTTGGAATGAGCTCATCCTGACCATAAACTATAATATAATACAATTTACACCAGATAGCTTTTTCCATTAATGTTCAGAAATAGGGAACAATACTGTGTTTATAGTAGCCTTAGCAAAATTTCCTGTCCATTTAGAATGATAGCCACATAGTAATTCTTATGCTAGAATTGGGAAAAGGCACCTTTGAGAGTTTACCCATTACTGAATTTCTGAATCAACTGATACCTGTATTGAGTAATCAGAATTTTTATGGTGTTTTAAATATTATTTTAGAAGTGGCAGTTCAACCAGAGAAACAGGAAAGTGAACCATTTGAAAAAGAGGCAGGTGAAAATGAAATTGAGGAGGAGAAATCTGACCAAGTATTCCTGGCATTTGCCAGAGTGTATAGTGGTACAGTTAAAAAGGGGCAGAAACTATATGTCCTAGGACCCAAACATGACCCCAGCAGAGTACTGGAAGAGGTAAGGAATTCCACTGTAATGTGTATTTTCAAATTAATTTAGACTCATACTGTTCAAGGGCTTTATTGAGAAATGATTTTTAAAAGAGCAGATCTATTAAAAAAAATTATTATAATCATGAATACGTAATTTTGCTACATGTTATAGGGCTTTAAGAAGCCCAAAATTTAGTGAATAATAAAAATTAAAACAATAATTTATCAATAAAAGTTCAAGACTCAGTGTATGCCATTATTTAAAGATTGGAGAGGGCACTTCAATAGATGATAGCCTGACGGTCAGTGAGTTGACCAGTGGTCATCACATCACCTCAGTTACTGTAAATGACCTGTACATGTTTATGGGGAGAGAGCTGGAAGATTTAGATGAAGTGCCAGCAGGCAATGTTCTAGGTAAGGAGGCGAAAAAAAAAAGCTTTTATATAGATTAGTGGAAGAAGCATGTTTTAAACCAAGTTCATATAATATCAAATATATTGCAACTGATTGTATTTTTATTCCAAAATACTGTATATGCTCTTTTCTTTTCTGTTTTGGTTGCATATTTTCAGCATTGCAAAACTGTGAATTAGGTTATTCTATCCACGATAATTCAATATTAATATAAAGCTAAAAGAACATTTCCAATAATTTCAGGCATTGGAGGTTTGGAGGAGCATGTTTTGAAGTCTGGCACTCTGTCTAGCACTGTGGCCTGCCCTGCCTTTACAGCTATGTATTTTGAAGCTGCACCCATTGTTAAAGTTGCTTTAGAGCCAGTGCACCCAGGTATTTATATCTTATAAAAGTAATAATCCTGATATTCTCATTCCACATGCAGCTGTGTAAATATTTTTGAATTCATAGAAGTAATAGCTTAGCATCTGTATTAGTTTTACAACATTTCAGCTAGAGAACAAATGTATGAGAGGGAGACTTTGGTTTGAACAATGAAAAATTGAAAACTGCTTCGATGACACACACTTTTTTGACTGGTTGGTTGATGACCTATGCTTTGATAGACCCAGCCAGCAGTGATTGAACATGAAGCTAGGATAGCTTTTCCATGCCAGACTTGGCAAGTGGCAAAACAACTGTGTTGCATCCTGCTTCTCATTATAATATCATTATTGATAGGATATTGATATGATAAAGACAATCTATCTATTCAACATATCTTTTTTTAGCTGATATGCCAAAATTGGTGCATGGCATGAAGTTGCTGAACCAGGCAGACCCTTGTGTTGAGATCTTGATTCAGGAGACTGGAGAACATGTCATCATGGCAGCTGGGGAGGTCCATCTCCAGAGATGTGTGGATGACATCAGAGAAAGGTGAGACTGTCCAAATTAATACTGTTTAGTTTGAGTAAATTGAGTAGATCTGTAATTTCATCATAAAAAGGAAAGTTGCTGTTGGTTTGAAAATTGATTACGTTAAATATAGATTTTGTACTTGATGTGACTAGAGGAAAAAATAAGTTAAATCTGTAGATAATAAAAAATTGACCTTTTCATTGTATTTAAATAATTATTTACATTTCTCCATCTATTCAATTTTTGCCAGGTATTCCAAAATTGAGCTGAACGTGTCTGCTCCCATAGTCCCATTCAGAGAAACCATCGTACCACCTCCAACAGTGGACCGTGTGAATGAGGCAATAACTAATGAAAAGCAATCCATGGCAATACAAGAGAATTCTGATGAGGAAGACATAGAACTAATTGAACCAGGACTGGTGGAAACATTGACACCAAACAGAATGTGCACAATCAGATTACGGGCCATTCCTCTGCCTTATGAGGTAGCAAAAATTATAGACGATCATGCTGAGTTAATCAAAACTTTAGAAAAATACTCCATGGCAAGGCTGGTAGAAAAAGAAGACACCCAGGCTGCAGAAAGACTGAAACTTGAAACAAAAGATGCTATTAGAGATCTTAAAGCAAAATTGTCAGCAGTTTTCCAGGAAGCTGGTAAAAAGTGGAATGGTGTAGTAAACAGAATAGTTTCATTTGGACCAAAGAGAATGGGTCCCAATGTACTGGTAAACAATATCCCTGAATATGACAGGCCCTCCATATGGAGTTGTTTAGAGAGCATAGAAGACCAGGTGGCTAAAGTAGGGAAAATTAGAGAATATGACAGTAACATTGTCAGTGGTTTTCAGCTGGCTACTCTTCAGGGACCAATGTGTGAGGAACCAATGATGGGAGTGTGTTTTTCTGTAGAGAAGTGGGAGATGCATAGTGAGCCACAGCCACTACCAAGTACACTTACAGAAGAGGATGAAGAAAATGGTGAACTTCAACCAAATCAGTTGAAGAATAATTCAACAGCTAAGCCTAAACCAGATGCTAGTTTGGAACCGGGCACTGAGAAAAGTGTGCAGTTCAAGAGAGATGTGTATGGTCCAGTCTCTGGTCAGATTATGTCCACTGTTAAAGATGGCTTAAGGAAGGCTTTCCAAAGTCAGCCACAGAGGTTGATGGTGGCCATGTATACCTGTGTGATCAGAGCCACAGCAGAAGTCTTAGGTAAGAGGAAACCTGCAGTGCAAGAGAATAAAGCTTTAAAAATAATAAGGTAGAGAATTGGTGGAAGTGCAGAATGAAAAATTGATCAACTGGTTGTTATTTCATGCTTCAGGAATATGCATTTGTTAGAATTATTTTTGCAAATGACTGTGAAGTGGAAAGAACTGCATTATGGAAGAAAATGGATACAATTATCATGTCTTTCTATTTAACTAATTCTCACAAAAGCAACATTTAATTTGTTTTTAAATAGGCAAGGTGTATGCAGTTCTAGGCAGACGTCATGGACGTGTAACATTTGAGGACATGATGGAAGGATCACAGATATTTAGTATAACAGCCGTGCTGCCTGTGGTGGAAAGTTTTGGTTTTGCAGAGGAGATCAGGAAAAGGACCAGTGGTTTGGCCAGTCCTCAGCTGCAGTTCAGCCACTGGGAGGTATGTATCATAGCTGATAACGTGCCAAGAACAAACAAATCTTTGTTATTTTTAGGGGGATCACACCCAGCAGAAGAGTTATTCTGCTGTAGCCGTACCATTTATATGAGAAAGTATGACCAAAATATCTATGTAATTATTTTTTACTTAATTTAATATCATAAAAGTTGCAGCATTTAATCTATTTTAGATATGTTGCTCCATTTGTTCTTGCTTTGTCCACTTATTAAAATTCATGTAAAAAATCTTTGTCTATGTACATATATTTTATGCACTTTTTTGGCCAAGAGGTCTGTTATTCAGATATATCTTGTTCTCCAGGTTGTAGATCTAGATCCATATTGGGTGCCTACCACAGAGGAAGAATACATGCACTTTGGAGAAAAGGCAGATTCTGAGAACAGAGCAAGAATTTACATGGACAATGTTCGGAGGAGAAAAGGTCTGAAAGTTGACGAGCGAATTGTGGAGTTTGCAGAGAAGCAGAGGACATTAAGCAAGAAAAAATAAGCTGAAACACCCAACACATGCGTGTCCTATGTACCTCTTCATGAATCCACTATTGGACAGTGAAATTGAGATTGTGCATGATAGCTGACATATTAAAAACAGGCATTGTTAACAAGTCCAGTGGTTTTTTAACAGTATACACTTTATTGGTTTACATAGACATTAAAGACACTAACAGTCAATTACAATTTTTATCAGGTTGTTGGACCTTTAGAATAATTGTACAAATAGATCTTGAATGTGAGATTCTGCTATTGTTTATAGTTACTTTACAACATTTGTCTACTATTTTACATAGCAATGTTATAAGATATATATTATTTATGTAGAAAATTGTTCAATATGTGAACATGAAAGGATTACACTTTCATGTTTAGTACAATCTGTCTTGTCAAGATGTGACATAACATGATAATTATAGAGCTTAAATTGTACATTTTGCAGCAACTGATAGAGAAACCATAATTTCACATCCATTTTTGCTCTATACAATTAAATTGATTGTAACAACAAAATATACAAATATATAAATTGGGAAACTACTTTTTTGAATTTTGATCTTTGTACCAGTGATGCATATAAACAACAGAACCACAAATGATATCTTGTTACTGTTGCTTCTTTATACTTGTAATAAAAACATTCATACAGCACCCATTTTAGACTACATCAACTATGCTAACAAAAATGTGTATAAAATAAAAAAAATCCTAAAAATTACACTTTAAATTGTCATATCCCTACAAATTCTGTACTTACACAAATAAGTCACTAAAGTGATAGCTGCATGATTCTTTAAAACAAATGTCTATTTTTAACTAAGTAAAAACAAGTTATTGAAACAGTACTATACGTACCATTTTATGTTACAATTACAATACATTAAAGTGGTTTTGATCATCAAAATTAATGACAGTGTGATACCCGTTAAAGCAATTATTTTGGGACTGGTAACAAAAACACTCATTTCAATGCAGTTTATGGCCTGTTTTATCCAAAGAACATACTGCTCTGATGTGACTACAGGTGTGTAGCTCTAGGCATATGTTTTATGACTTCAAAAACTGTTGCTTCAAGTCACATGTGATCAGCTGTATAGCTCCTGGCTGCCCCATGATTCAGTATCAGGAAGTGGGATTCCTTCCAGTTAGGTATTGCATTAAACCCATCTCCTCCAGCTGTTTGGCAACTATATCTTCCCATCCTTTATTGGCAGCTGGGTTGATGGGACTGGGGTGCATGATGCTCTCCACTCGGATCCCCTCAATGCCGTGGTCCTGTAAGGCAGTCTGTGCACTCTGCTGAGCATAGCGCCCAATGCCAATTATAATTTTGGCATCCAAGAGCCTTACCACTCTACAAAATGCTGTGGCGCATGCCTGGCTGACAGACTTCCTCACAGCCACTTTCAATTGTGGAGGAGTGATATTTTTGCCAGTCTTGGACATATAGGCAAGTGGACAGAGATTGTGTATGTAGCAGTTTTGAAAGAAGACTTCTGGTTCCTTGCACACTTTTGCTAGAAATCCCCAAAACCTTGCACCGCTGACCTGAAAGATTATAAGTTACATTATGAAAAATGATTTTTGAAGGGGCATTGGTAATAAGAGTTGCTTAAAATATAGTTAAACAGAAAGTCAATCAGATAAAATAAACATCTTTGCCTGAAATGTAAATAATAAACCTAGCATTTAGCAATATTTTCTGAAATAACAGTAATACACCATTCATTCAAAACTGAAGACGCTTTCATGTAGAAACTAATGTAACAAACCTTCAATTATATTAATGAAATTGACAAAGTTCATTTATAGATCTGTTTTTATGGTTAAACTTTGTAGAAGCATATACTTTACCAATATGCATATCCCAATTTACTAACCTCACTCCTGGTACATTCCATCCCCTTTATGAGACGCTGTGGATGCTCCACCTGTGGCTTGTACACTGTGCCAGAGATTTTCAGCCAGTTTTTAACCATGCTCACTTCACCAAATGGAATCTGGGATATATAAGATGTAATTTTAGCATGTTTAGCGTGTTTGTCATTACAATTTACTTCATGTTTAATGTCTGTGCAATCCTATCTCACCTGAAGGCCCAGATGTATTTAACAAAAATGCACTTTGTTCCACTTTGGAGAAGAAAAAAAACATATGATGCCGAGGACAAATTATAACTGATACTACTTGATGAATTGTTATTTTTTTCAAATCAAGTTAAAAAATCTGCACTCATAAATAAAATACATAATAACTGTCTCTATCATGCAAAATGGATAAACTATGTACCCATTTCTAAACTTACCCCATTTTGAACCATCCCAAATGGTCCTGGGTTCATCCCTAGAAACAAGACTGGCCTCGTGGAGGTACAGTACTTCTGGACAAAGTTTGAATGTGGTTCATAAGCATACTCTAGTGGATTGTAGATATGAGTCACTGGTTCCCCCACTGGAATCTGACACAAAGTTCTGCACAAATCCAACTCAATCTTGAGAAACTCCTCAGCTATGTTGATGGTAGCATGATTGTAATAGGGAATCTTTCTGCTGTTCATCTCAATGGATAAATTTGTGTCTGGGATGCATTTAGGCATGGGGCCATCTGCTGCCCAGAGAGGGCTTTGGGTGGAGAATTCTTGTTTCACACCCCCAAGAAATCTTTCGGATGTGTTATTTGCAGGCATCTGTGAACAGTTCTGTAGTGAGACATTAGAGTTCTGTCCACAGTTATACTGTGGTTCAGTGCCTCTTATTTCAGGCTGAGACCCATAATTATTAGATTGCAATAAATTCATGAATGGTTCATTTTTAAAACTGATGTTGTTCTCTTGTGGATTATTGCTTTGGAAGACTTGGCTATACTGTCCTGCTGATACCATGCTGTTGGGCATAGAGTTATGTGCATTGAGATTACCACTGAATAATACATTGCCCTGCTGTTGACTGTTTATCTTTGGTTGTGCACCCCAGGACCCAGGAAAACTGTCCACTTGATAAGTTGCTGGGACAGGAGAATTTGCCATTAGGTTTCTCTGCTCTAACTCCTGCTGTGTATTTCCATAGTAACTCATGCTTGGTGTCATTCTGGAAACCCCTTGATAATACCCATTTGGCTGACTAGGTTGCTCTTGTTTTATTTGTGTATAGCCAGGTGCATTAGTAGGTAAATACATAGAAGAATATGACATTGCACTGTTCTGTTGAGACTCCTGCATTCCAGCATTATAAATAAGCGCATTCTCTCTTCTACCATCAGGTGACATTTGGTGCATTGTAGAAACAGAGGATCTAAACTCCATATTGGCAGAAGAAATATGACCACTTGGTGCCCATGAACTATTCTGTTGTGGCACTACTTGGTTTTGGACCTGGTTATAATTGTATTGTCCTGCACCTTCAGTTGGGTTATAATGCTGTTGATACTGGAAGTGCTGATCTTCTCTACTGAGAGACTGTGGAGGGTGTACAAGTCCATTATTGGAATACATCTGTTGGGAAGAATAGGGCACTGGGGGACTAGGACTGTATCCATAATGATATGCATTTACTGGTGCTCCATTTGTATTGCATTGGTTCTCTTGCTTAGGAGCAGGATATCCAGCCATCATACCATTTTGCACCATAGGTAAAGAATTTTGTCCCACATTGTACATTGTACCAGTGCCATCTGGTGGAGGATCCCCCATATTTGTCCATTTGCAATACTTGTCTCCACTAAATGCACCATCAACAATTTCTTCTTTGTACTTCCTTTTCATGTGTAATTCTTCCATAGCTGTAAATGGTTAAGAACATGATTAGATGTATATTAAAATGGGTACAAGTTTACTTTTTTAAAACTTTTGTTTACAATGTGAAACAATACAGGTGCATACACTTACAGTACGTTTCACAGACAATATACAGAAAATAAACTAACTGATTTTAATAATTTAATATTAGAGGTGATCTTAAATCAGGGAAGGAAAAGAACATATTCAGTGATATCTACATGTCAATCCAACTACTTGCTTATTTAGAGTTAATTGGAATGATGAATTCTATTAACCTTGTTGTGAATTGAGTGAATCTATAATAGTGGATCAAATATAATCATTTAGTTTTTTAACTTTTCAACTGTCGTATTCTAGCAGCAAACATGTATAAAGACGTTTTATGCCCAAATTATATCCTAAATTTATGGCTGCGGCGAGGATCCCGAGGCCGGACAGCAAATGACAAAGCTAGCCAGCTTACCTAGGCAAGGCCAGTTGAAAAATGTCTTCCATTGCTTCATGTCAAGGAAAAGATTACTTACTTTTTTAGATCCCAGTCGTGTTGAATATTCAGATCCACATTCCAATATTTACAGTGGTTTCTCAACTTTGTAAATACTCAAAATTTACTAATTTGCGGGACTCTTCAAACAATTCGCAGACCGGAAGTGTGCAATTGGACATGAAATGATGACGTCAGCAATTTCTGCGTAAATAGACGCACGTGTTTTTCAAAGAGTGATAACAAGAAAGAGAGAGTGTGTGTGTACTGTAAGAGAGAAAAAGGGAGGGAAAGGGGTATATAAGTAGTGTAAAACAAAGTGAAACTGTAATTCAGCGGACAAGGTGGATACTTGTACAAGTGTTTGAACCCCCTTGACCAGACTTTGAACATGCGTAGTACCGTAGAGAGGTGATCTCGAGTTTCCAGTGCACTGTGAAACTCAGGTGTTGTGAATGTTTGTGAGCGTATGTTTAAAAACTTGATTTATTGTCACGTCAGCTATGCGTGTCCTCAGACCTTAACCTCGGTACGACTGCATGTGCACTATGTACAGACGCCAGAAATAGAGGTGCGTACGTCGTACGTGGGCATTATCTTATTTCCGGATTAGCGCTGACATCGCTAAAGATAGGATTTTCTTATCGTTTACACTGGCAGACTAAAATATGTGCCCTTCCTGTCCAACATTAAACACTGGCGCACATAGTATTCTGTCACATAAAATTGCGTTTTCTAGTATTATGAGAATTCGGAATAACAAATACCATTAAAATCGGTTGGTCAATGTGGAAATAAAACAACGTCCGTCGATCTTTCTGCAATCAGGACATGGAAAAAATCATCGGCAAACGGAGGAGGGTTCAAAAAGGGCCATGTATCCCCTAGCTTTGAAGGTACCTCTGCTCCTTGAAATATGGATGACAAGGGAAAAGAGAAAAAGTAAACAATTTTTCATTCATATGCATTACACGTATTGCAGTAAAATTGGCCGATACTATTGTATATTTGAACGAAGCAAGATAAAAATACCAGTCTTCATACCCTGTAGGTGGCGATTTTTATGGACAAGTTTTGTGGTTGATCATATGTCTTTGCCAAATAAAGACAACGAGGGGGAAGGAAACAGCAGACAGGAACCCCTACTTACAAAGGCTTATTATAGAAAATTTTCGGCTTTTATTGTTTTTTATTTATATTTTACTATTTTCAAGCAAGTACTCTAGCAACCCAAGCAATATCCTTAGGCCGATCGACAGAACTTTGTATTAAACGTTGTACCATGTCTGAACCTTTATGACTCCTTCCGTCATTCAAATAACTTTAAAAATTCGAAATCGGTGGAAGAATCATAAAGACGATAGTAGTTCTTCCTAAACGAAACCTTAAAATGGTCTTGAAAACTTTGTTTGGATACAGTGTTCTGGCTGAGGAAGTAAGGTGACGCTGTGAATGTACTTAAAGAGTATCCAAAACGTGATGAAATCTGTTTTTGTGAGTATTTATCATCGGGCTTTTTTTCCCTTTTAAATGTCAAAAACCTACACCAACTCTACTTCTATTCACCCAAGAAAACAGTAGGGGAAAAGTTGAAACTACCCCTGCACTCGCCTTCATACGAATTTAAAATGTTTTTAGAAACAACTGCTTCCCCCAGCCACACACGTGGCACATCGCCCAGACTTAACACACACGCGTCTAGACCATGGTATCATTGCACAATGGTGTAAACTAAAGAATTACGGCTTCGTAATTGAACAAAAGTAGAAAATTGAGTCGAAATAACTCGGTATAATTTCGAACGTTCGTCGGAATTGAATTCGTGTACAGGTTAAACGAAAATGTGTGCACTGCAGATAGATTTCAATTCACTCGCGGAGAAGTGAACTTGTTAGGATCCATTAGAACCTAGACGGTCCCGTTAATTTGACAAAATGCATTTTAAGGAGAAAAAACAATATTAGCCACCAGCCAAACATTACGAATTGGCAAACGTGCTTGGGCCTCGGGCAATTAACTTTTTTAAATGGAAACAATTTGCTTTCATCTGGTTGTGGTGTCAAGTCATTGTTCCTTCCTGCCGTGCGTGAAAAAAATAACACTCATTTTTCAAACTCGATACCCAGAAGAGAAAATGTACTGGGAATCTACATTAAACGATAACTCTTGACCTCAGACAGATGCGATAAATTACAAACGTTTCCCGAAATCCTGGCTGCGTAATTTTCACCAGATCTAGAAAATAATAAGAAAACTGCAAGCTAAATTTTATCGTCTGCTGCTAGAATGCCTATAGCCACGTGAAATTAAGTTGCTGTTACGTACATGTAGCTATCGCGAGGTCCTCGATTTTGTCCTTGGCGCGTAACCTTTATTAACAATTTTTGTGCATATCTCACACTGAGAACAAAATTATTATGCATTTTATCTTTCATCTTTCTTTCCGATAAACGAGATGCACTTCAAAGCAAAATGGATTTTATCAGAAGTCTGAAGACATGTTTTCGTCTGTGAGACAAAAAAGCGTCGAACACTGATACAGGAAAACGCCCTTATGTCCAGATGGGCATATTCTGCTCTTGTTCAACATGTCCACCGTTGGACTGACTTATTTTATTCACATCAACATGAAAACACTTTTTACTTGCACATTCCAAGAAAGTTCAAGACCTTTTCATAAAAAGTAACTTGTAAAAATTATCGTAACTTGCATAGAAAAATAAATAAATAAGTAAAAAATAAAACAAATAAATAAAACAACCTATTCCCAATCCACCATCAGAGAAGACGACCGGGAATCATAATTTTGATGAAAATATTCAAAAACGTTTACAGAATTAAAAGCGCATTCTTCTTTGCAGTAAACATCCAGGCAGGACTGTTATGTAGCCAGGTAACAAAGGGGTTTTCACCTGCAGATACCTTCCGTTCAAGGATATAACGATCAAGATGAAAACAAGGGCAAGAGTCAGCAAAAAAACACCTGGTGCACATTACGTGAACGTAAATCTGAGATTGTCAAGACATACCCCTTGAATTCGATCTGCACTTTTCCATAGAATTCTAAAAAATGAGATTTTATCCAGGAAACGTGTACTAGTGGTAATGTCCACACAGGCTGGTGACGTCAAAAGAGAGTTTGTCGATGAGTTTTGAATGTGAACAGTAACAATGAAGCAAATAAATAATACAGGGAAAGCAGTCTTGAAAATATGCCAGGTGCAATATATCAAACAAATATCATGTTGAATTATCCAGTAATAAGAGATAAAAATAGCTATAATAATTAAAAACATTTTTATTCAAATATACAATCTGCTGCTTACTGCCAATACATAAAATACCACAGTGAGTACTTGGTCGACCCCCTCCCTTCATCTCGACCCTAATAGCCTTGTGTACTAAAACAGATTTTCACCAAGAAATAAATCACAATAATCACTTGCATAACCCTCCATCAATGTCACAGAGAGTCTGTAACTGGGAACCCTGTATTGCTGCGCTGCATGTTCTGTAGTGCTCCTGGAAAGTTGCAAACAACTCGCCATGCCGTGTAGCTTCCTCTGTCCCTTAAAAGGAGATTCAGACATGAATGCCTGATTAATCATAAACACTGCCATTTTTTAACATTGTCAGAGGATCACCTTCTTAAATAGATGTGTAGTTTATATGTCTTCAAGCGGCAGTGTTGCAACTATAGTAGATTAAATACATTATAACTTACTGACTAGAAAAGTAAATCACAAAATGGCTTAAAATGTCCATAAAGTTGCATACCTTTTAATGATATGTATTACACAAAATGACCTCATGTTGAATTTGAGCATTAAACATTAGACACATCTGCATGGTCTTACTTCCCCACCTCTTATATAAATTGCATGTTACCAGTTTTAATCAAAAGCAGTGAAAATCTTTTCTAAAAACACTACATATTACACTGCAAATATTATATCTATGTACTTGCAGTTTGAGTTATGTGTTTGACAATAAGATAAGCTATCTAGATACAATATGAATCTTGAATGTACGTCAAGATATTAAAAGCCGATATATTTTTAAATTAAAGAAAATCATTTATCATTTCTACTTTGCACTCTCAGATGGTCAAGGATAAATGTTGACAGAGCACCATGACGCATAAATTATAAGATAAAAATCTACATAAATCATTTTCCAGCATACTCAACATACATAAGCTGAAAATGCCATTGGTTGCCGGTTCTTTACTGTGCTGAACCCTCTGAAATAATGTACTTCATGCAAAAAAAAGAGGCATCAATTAAATAAAAAGTACCAGCATTTAACTTGCTTCCATAATGCAAAATATTTCTGTCTGGCAATATGACAACAAATGAGGGCACTCTAGGAAGTGGAAATGCTTTAGAGGAATGGCAGGGGCAGTGTGCACACCCTCCTTAATTTTAATGACATACACAATGTGCCAACAAAACCATTATATACAAGGTCAACACAGTACTACTGAGATACTCTCACTTTATATCATTAGAATAGTCCAGATGCAAGTAACCCCACAGAGGTAGTTTTAAAATCATATCAGTAACTGCCCTCTATTCCAGCAAAAGAATACTGTTTAATTATTAATACATAAATAAAACAAATTATTCAAAAGTTATGAAAAGTAAAACTGGTGTGTGAGTGTGACTAAAAATGCACCAGTTTCAGAGATTAATGGAAACTTGAAATACGAAACCTGAAGTATAAAATACTGAAGTAAGATGCTTTAGATTTGTAAGTTATTACCTTTATGCCAGCTAAACTACATGTAAGTTATTGCAAAGGTAAAAAAAAAAATATGTGTATGCGGGGCAGAGGGAAGTTACTGTTATGACTTTGAAACTCAGTGTGTGATTTCAGGACTAAAAAAGGGAAAATGATCAAAAATGTGAACATCATACCAAGTTTATGCCAGGCTGTATATGTGACAAAGGGAGGATTTTTAATTAAAATCCTGTCTTGATGCAAGGTGCGTGATGCATTTTGAAAATCTCAAGCAACACTGCAATCAAAGCATTTCTTCCTTGAGGCACCAAGCTAAATTATACAATAATTACAAAAACACAATGTGAACAGTGTCCAGTCATTTATGCATGCTATTTGGATAATTTTTATTTTTTATATGAGAAACTTCTCTCCCTTATCAATGAAAGAACTAACTCCTAGTGAGTTGGCACGGCTTGATAAAGCAGCTGCTACTCAACAAGCTAAAAGTGCAGGACAAAATTGAGCAGTAACCCTGACAAGGAGAATTAACTCCTTCAGGGTAAATAGGGAGGGCTAAGGGCAGACTTCTCATAACACTGAAACAGAGACACATTAGGACTGTAACCTCTATGTCACAAGCACATACTAGTCTGGAAAGATAAACCTCCATGCTGCCCGCCTCTATAACGCCTATATAACGCCCACTGAACATTTGGCACAAGCTGATCACATTCGTCATTGCAAGGACACCCAAATGACTTCTAATTGCACACAAACAGTGGGACAGAACCCCCAGACAGGAGGTTAACCATTTCTGCACCATTGACCAACTTCAAACATGTTATTTTTTTCTTTTTCCACAGAATCCAGTAATTAGAGCAATTGCCAGACATGTAACATTCAGCTCAGTTTGCTGCTAAATGAGATTTGGCATTCCAGAGAGTTCATTGTTTTCTCTTGTCGAACACCTGGTGAGGTATATATTACATGGTTCTATAAAAATACCGCTTTGTTAACAATAAATAAATATGCATGACTTGATATGACGTGATGTGATGCATCAATATGGATTCCATAATTTCATGGCATAAAATGAATTTCAGTTATCTACAATATACCTAACGTTATCTCTTTTCTTCTATATTGTCATTATCACTATCATTATCCTCTTTAGGGTTTCTATGAAAAATGTCTGGAATATTGTACACCATTTCCGACAGCTTCCATACAGGTGCAAAACTAGCTGCTTTTGAGCCAAGGCACATCTGGTACTGTGCAGCATCAAGGTTGGGATCACAGTGAATTGGATGGAAAATGTGGACTAGACCCAAATCAACTGACCTGAATATTGTCAAATTGCTTAGTGTGACAAATTTGGTGAACAAATCCACATCTTCTTTTCCCCAGCCCTGAATGGTGGTGTCAAAACCACCAACTTTCATAAAATCACTTTTATAAGCACTAACAATGCCATAGCCAAATTGTCTCCAGTACCCTATGTTTTCGGTAAATACAAATGGAATATTAGGGCAGGGATTTTGATTGCAGACCATCGCTGGATCGTACTGACTGAAAACAACAGGGAAGTAAACTTGCTGCCCACGGATTGTGTTCGAGCGTATCCTCTGCAGAGCATCGTTGTTGAACGTTATGTCTACATCCACAAAGAAAAGCAAAGTCCTGGAATCAAACATTGCTGATCCTTGTTGGAGAGCTACACCTCTTGAGAAAATGCCTTCATTATGAATAACCCTAAGATCGTATGAAGGGTATTTGTCTTTGAGTTTCTGAACAATATCATCAACTTCATGTCTTGCATCATTCTCAGTGGCACTGGGAAAATTAATCACTACCAATTTGACATCTTCATGTAATTCTAAGCATACTTTTTCAAAGTTGTGCATGAATTGTTGCAAGATGTTTAATCTTCCTGACAATGGAAGAATAAAATGGATGGTTTTGCCTTGAGATGAATGTTTAAGGTCTACATTTTCTACATTACCATTAGAAAAATATGATAATTTATTAAATTGGTCATGGACTAGTTGAAGAAGGTTGGGTGTTTCTGGGGATGGAATATGTGTGGGGTCAATCGGTTTGTTCCATGCGTCTTCCCGGAATTCCGTCTCTGCAAACTGTTGCTGTAGATAAGCATGCCTTCTTACTGGTACAGTCATCCTTCTGCCTTTATGCTTACGATATGTCAGCAAGAGATCTAACACATACTCAGCACCATGTAAGGGGTTAATCCTTGTGTAGCCATACAAGATCTCCTTGAAGTCTATAGTTCTTCCTCGTTGGCGGGCATTTTTGTTAATCATTTGCATCATTTGCATAAGTATATCCTGAAGTCCTATACGCAAGGCTCCCCCTACATTAACTTTGGGGTTTACCATATAATGCGAGTGTAAGTGATTCCCATACGTGTTAACACTCCTGGTAAGAAATTCCCAAACGGGAACTTCATCCCCACAATTTGGCACAAACTTGGTGAGTGAAGGTGGAAGTGCATATTTGTTATCATCAATATGGTCATGAGCCAGCACCGGGTGTATGAGTTCAGACATACGTCTTTCCTCTTGGTGCAGGAACAGGATCTTATGCCTGAGATCAGTAGATTTTCTGGCCTGTAGGAAATTGTGTAAACGGTACAAATATGGTGGCTGCTTGAGAGGATGGAGAGTGATGGCACGGTGGATGTCCTTAGTATTCAAGGAATTGGTGTATGGTCTGCTCTCTTCTTCATAGTTTTGGTAAAATAAACTCTGCATCTGCAAAATCATTAAAAAAAGAAGTTACAAAAAGTGTAGGGTATAATCTATAAAGGGTGACTGTTAGGCCCATTTCATTAATGGAGAAAATGTACATAGCATACACTGTGGTAAAAAGCCTTAAATTTTTATCCATTAATTAATTAATAAAGAAATAATATTATTAAAAATTCAAATACGGCCTCAAGTCCTGTTTCAATAGCTAGTCCATAGAAAACATGTAAAATTTCAGTAGCCAATTACTTAATAATAAAAAAAAATAAATTAATTAAAAAAATAATAATAATATTGATTTCTCATATAGCACATTCCATTTTCTTACATAATTAATACCTATTAAAAGATGAGTTTTAAGAGAGACCTAAAAACTGTCATAATGACTTTCCATTCTCAGATCACAATTCCAGAACACAAACAATAAAACCCCCGTCTCCATAAAATTTAAGAATAAAGTTACTCGGAATAGAATAATTAAGAAAGTCAAAGTTAAGCAAAAAAGTTTGTTTACTTATTGGACACATTGCTGCACTTGGTGGCCATTCAAGTATAAGGAAGTGCTCAGCAAATAAATGCCATGTATGCATTGCCCACCCTAATTGTTAACACATAAAGATATCAATGATGCACATGATAACCCATGTCCTGGCTCCATCACTGTGTACATGAATACACTGACATAAACACTAAGATAATAATGTATCGGAATAAAGTAGCTTGTCTGGAACGATGTCACTTTTTTCTCACCACTGCAAATAATTAACAATATGATCACCTCTTATTTCATAATTTATACTGACACTAACCCTGACTTCTATGACCAATGCACAAATTTCACTTTTTTTTATTAACAGAAAGAAATCTGATAAGTGTAATATGTACTGAGTGGGAGAGTTCGTACTTATTACAACCTTATTAATACATACCGAAACACTGGGTTAAGACGAATTCAGACACATGAATCATGTTACGAACTAATAAGTCATTACTGTCAATGCGCCTGTTGGTTCCATTCCTAAATGTGGGAAAAAAAGCACCCACAGGATGCTTGTTGGTACAGCATAGACACATTAATCATTGAGATACAATGTGCTAATCAACAAGATTAGATAATTGGAAACACACTCTTAGGCTTCATTTTCAGTCAAACTGTGAAAGGTTAACGGAGTGCCTCCTACCTTAAACAGACTACAGTAACTACCTGAACTTTTCAGTGGTGGAAAATTGTGAATTTTAGAGCTACTGTATTTTTAGGTCATAATTTCTTAAAATTAGGACATTATCCTATTAAGTGGTAGCGACAAAATTAAAAAGCAGGCTACTCTCTTTATGTATATAGTACTATTCTATGCAGTAACAGCACCACAAACGCTAGATTGAAAAAATAGTTTTTGTGATTATAAAATTTTGTATTTGAAAGTTTGATAATTATTGCCCATTGAAAAGATCAAGTAGTTACGGTACATAATCATGATTGTCCTATATGTCTCATCCACTGTCACAGTGATCCTGATATGATGGATAGATTAATGTGTTAGATTGGCTTTTCTCTGGTTAGATATTATAAGTTAGCTGTCTTTTAAACTCATAAAATTAAGACATTACGACATGATTTGGAATATACCCTAGTAACGAACATCAGGTACACCTAAATATGTGTCATAAAAATGTCACTTATTATAAATAGAAAGCTGAAGAGACTACTGATAAAAACCCAAAAACTTACTGTGAGACCCACCTGGCTTTTTTGACTTATAATCAAGTAAAGATACAATTTTATAGTCAGTATAAGATAAAAGTAGAAACACCTCTTAGAAATAACTTCCGTGTCCAACTACAAATCCCTAATAAGTTCTAGCACATTTATTGTTGTACATGGTCGGTACAGCTATAATCATGAACCTCAGCAATCTCAATTAAATTATTTAGTTAATAGAATTGTGAGAAAAATGAGTTTATCTTCATGATATAAAAATTACTAAAAGCTTTAAAGAATGTCAGGTATAATCATCTCTTATTTGAGATGAGCAAAAGTAATGTTTCAGATTTTGGACAACTAGGCAATTATCTAATGCTTGCCTGATGTTTCATTTATGCAAATATATTAAATCAATCTATTCTGTCCAGGGGTTATACAGACCAATTGTCAGATATGCACTATGAACTAGACATATATACATCTCTTGCATGCATACCAATGATATCTTTTTCACCATACTGAGATGACTTTCCATCCAATATATTAATAAAACCAAGGACTTTTTGCACATCTGTATTATTTCAGATTGTGTTCAACAAAACACTTTGTTCTCAAAACAATTTTTTTCTTTTATGTAGATAAATAAGATGTAGATAAAAAAATGTCTGAGACAAATAAGTAGTTTTTCAACCAGGATGGATGGTTGTGCTTATGTTTGCAACCCAGTAATTATATATCCTCCCTATAGATTCTGATCTGCATAAATTTAATTGTCAAATTTTGATTGAGATGATCACCACTGATATGTCTATTTGTGAGACACTTAAGGCCCCATTCCCATAGATAGCATCAGTCTAGATGTGGATCAATCCAACTCCATGGGGACTATCATTGAATGCAATCAGTTGAATAGATTAACATGCCTCCTCTTGGCGTTAGGTAGAAGACAGAAAAGCAGGCAATTAAGGGCAGAAGTAGTAAAACGATTAAAGGCATAGAAATAATGCCCTGTGCTTATAAATTTTTATAAAAAGATAGAGCAATCTTCCCAAAAGGCCAATTACAGACATCGATTAAGTGCAGTGTCCAATGGATGACGCTGTGGCGCCATTTTGCGGAAAAAATGCCGCGCTCAATCTGGGGATTTTTTCTTTAACCAAGATAGCTATTCAAGTGATTTAAACGGCATCATAAAGCTGGGTGAAAGCACTACAAAAGGGTGCCAGGGAATCGTTTTTAACTATTTAATTTTGATTTTATCGTCTTTTAAGTTAAATTATCCCATATTTCAATGGGTAATTCACTTCAAAAAACGATAACTTTCAAACTAACAATTTCCACCAACATCCCTGATATGTGCTTATAGTCCACGTTTTCACCAACAATTAGTGCAATTTTCGTAACGATTGGTTGCTAAGATAGGGAGATATACCTGAAACTGATTCACTTATCTCTTCAATCTGGAAAGCTGTTAAAACAGCCAAAAACATTCACAGGCTGGTTAACAGAGCTTATTAGTCAAATGCTTAGCTGAAAATTGTACCTGTTATTAGTTATATGATCAGATGGAACCATTGCTCATTATCATCTAAAAATATTTTGTTTGGGTGCTTTGAAATGCCAGAAAATCGTGCTTTTGTAACATTTTCCAATCAAGTGTTATATTTGTAAGTGCAGAGGGCCCTAGCCTAGTGATGTCAAGTAGGGTGTCAAGGATATGTAGAAGGAAGCACTAACAAAGACGATTACGTGTAACCACAATTAAGAGGTGGGAAGTTTCAATGGGTCTTCCTCTGCAATCGAGCAATTTTACCTGGGAGCTTCCTTCTCTGCGGTATCTCTCGAAATGTCAGCTAAGATAAAGGGGAGACGCTCAGCCGCACAAGAATCAGCAGTAAAAGTGGCTGAGAGAAGGCTTTTGAATTAAATGACAGAGTGTGGTTTAGTTTTGAAACCACGTATGTGTTGATTGTACACGTAATCGGCTTATAATTCATTTCCTTTGCTCTGCCCTGTAATGGCAACTGCCCTTACCAACAGAGGTGTGGCTTAGTTGTCAGTCTGACTGGGGCGCATGCCAGTTGAAAAACTCATCAAAAGACACATTTTGCTGTGCAAATTAAAAAAAATTATTACGTTCAACATTAGATACTTTTTTGATTAATATAAACACATGAAATATAAATATTAATATAAACACAAAAAACTTAAAAACATGATTTTAAGCCTAGTTTACCCTACTACTAGCCTTTAACCAGTACATAAGAAACAAGAAGAGGAATGTCATTCAGTTAAGCTGATTGCACTCAGCAAGAGTCCCCACAGAGTTGGATCAATCCATGCAGACCAATGGTGTCTATGGGAATGAGGTCTAAGACACGTGATGTAGTCTCCTCAAATCAAACAAGGGGGTATTGTCTAGATGTCACAGCACTCTGGGGCCTGTTATCAAAATTACTTGTGTTGGAATTTTATCTCAACTTTGAAACCAAGTTAATGTTTTGTGAAAAATATTATTAGATTTATTTTGACCTATGATAAATCTGTAGAAACCTATCTGCATGCAAATTTCAAGCCTGTGGCTAATGTTTTAGATCTACAACTGGTTTATTTTAGTGAACCAAGTCTAAAAATGAATCTAATATCAAAGTAGACACAAGTTCCATTGTTAAATGAAGCCTCAGTATGCCTTTCACTTAAGTCATTATCTGGGTCTACATCCAAAGCTGACCTGAAACAATCTTATTTTCCTACTTTGTCCATATCCATATTCTGTCCATAAATCATTTTCCTGGTGTGTGGAAGTTGCTACTCAACAAAATAGATAATGCATTAGAAAGAGTTATTAATGTCCAATGCTTATGCATAAATTTAGACAATTTTTCTATTGTTCTATTTGTCATTAATTTAAAAGATAAGCTGTAATGACAAAACAGATAAAAAATGGAAGACTCTATTTGTAGTCACATAATTTTACCTTCCTTACCTGGATCCAACATTTGCTTAGCTCTCTTTCTTTGTAATTCAATGCAAGTTTCATGTGACACATCCACACTAATAGAAACAAGTTTATGAATTATGAGTACACACTTCAGTTCATGAATTTCAACACTATCGAATGAAACAGCCAGAACAGAGGATGAGTTGCAGGATTCACTTTATTCGCTTATGCAGAGACTTATACACTACAATTTTCTTCGGAATCCTTCAAGACAGACCAAAGTCAAGAAAAATAAAATCAAGGTATGTTTTGTAGGATTTGGAGAAGACTTGGGTCAGAAAAAAATGACAGACTAGCAAGAGT